CACGTAAAGAAAAGAAAATTTTATTGGACTTAATAACCTTGCAAGGGTATTAAATATCATTTACGTGCATGGCATGTAGGTAGTGATGGCTCCAGGAGGTAATAATCATGTCGACTGTTAGAAATGAATGATCATAGCTCTGTGAGATCTAGATCATACACGTAGTAATCAAAACCCACGCAAAACCATCAACCTGAAAAAATTTAAAATTTGAAAAAAATTTCAAAAAAAAAAAACAACTAAATTTTAGGGTTGAAAAAGAAAAGTCTATTTTTGAATTTTAATAATAGATTTTGCGGGGGAAAATCCCGAAAATTTTTTAAATATTCAAGGGAAAAAAAAAAAAAAAAAATAACAAACAACAAAAAAAAGAAAAAAAAACCCAAAAAAAACAGCAAAAAACAACATCAACAGCAAAATAAATTTAAAAAAAATTCTGAAAACTTTTATCCCTGTAAATTTTTTAATTTATCAAAAAGGTTTAAAAAATTTTTAAATGAAAACTTTTTTTAAGTAATTTCATCCCTTTTATCCAAATTACAAAAGAACTCGTTTAAAAACAAGTTTTGTACTTACATTTAAAAAGTGGCATCAATATGCACGTTTGAAAAATAGGTGCAGGTCTGTTTAAGACATAGATTATTATCAGTCAACAAAAAAAAATAACACCAAATAAAAAGAGTTGGCGATCTTTATTATCATTTGTAACACATGTATGGCAAGTTGCGTAACTTGACGGTTACTTTTCAAAAATAACTCACTCTTATACGTTTAAAATTCACATGCATCACCGTGCATATCCAATAACGCAGGAATGTGCAATTTACGTAAAAGTAACGCCGGATCTGTGCAAAGCTATTGCAAAAACGAATAACACAGAATGTAAACAAACCAAAAAAATTCATTCTCAATCAAATTTAAAGAAATGAATTAGCGCATACGGCTGCTACGACATTATACTTTAATCAGCATTACATTTTGTTCAGGAACTTGTTCACTTTCTTAGATCATTCGTGAGAAAGACATCCTGATTACCGTTTTGTGGGTGACTTTTGTATTTCGTCAAACAAATATATACATTTAACACATTTAAAACTTTATTTTTTTCATATTCTGTATACCTAATATAAGACATTTGTCAAACTACAAGTAATAAGCAATAATCGGATGAGTTAGAATCAGTAACATGAATAAAGAATAAATCAAACGCTGTTATGTATGTTTTGTTTTATTTTATTTACTTTGAGTGGTAGTCACTTCCGTGCATTGAATTATTTTGTAAGTTAGGGATGAAAATGCCGCTCTGTGGGCTTCTTCAAAAATAGATAAATCAAGTCCTGAGACTCATAGAGTTCTATGCGTAGTAGGTTTAGAGCAAAAGTATTGATCATACCTTAATAATAATAACATAAAAGTGTAACTTGGATAACGAGTGCTATATATCGGCGTTGTTCTTTATTTCATGTCCTTGAATAAGTATTATCCATTGATACGGTCTGTTTTTGAGACTTTACATTTTTCTAGAGATCCAGCAAAAAAGTAATAAATAAATAAATAAATAAATATACATAAAAATAGATAATACCATTAAAGGATTATTTGTTTGCAATTTGCGCTACTCGCTACTGAAAATTACCGATCGGTACAGGTAGGTTATAAATTTGGTTGGTTTAATTATATTACACAAATACGGCCCATTTCATTGCTATAAAACTATTGTCCATTGAATGGAGATACTGTAAGGTAATTTTGGACTCGTTTTTTCCTGTTTTAAGACTATTTTGAGCAGGTTAAAAGTGACAGCCTCGGAAAAATCCGGGGGTCTCGCAAGCCAAATATCTACCCAGTGAGTCTTTTCTTGAAAGTTTTACAGACGCTCAATCTTGTCCGGTCGAAGAAAAAATGCTGCCGTTTTAGGCAGATACATATTATAAATGCTGCCGTCGATGGCAGAAATACCATGAAAGTGGCTAACATTCTGACAGAAAATCAAGTTCAATCTTTTATCAATTCCTCTTTTCTTTGCATTCTTTTAGTCGAAATTGAGACGTTAAGCTATCATTTCTAATATTTTCTCAAGATAGAAAAGTTATTAATGCGGTATGTGCATCGAAAAAAGCTTTTTTAGCAACATGCAGTTACAATACAAAAAGTGATGATTTAGTACGATAAAATTGCACTATAAATAGAGAAATGAACATGAAAAACTTCATTTTTCTATATTCATGCATGTGTGCTTGATCTGTTGTGTCTGTCAGTTACATGCATACAATACTATATGTATCTTAAGTTTAGCAACGCACTCCCTTTTTATGACATAACGCCAATTGTATATTACAGCAAGTAACTTCTGTAAGTGGACATTCATTTGCTAGCATATGACATTATTTTCTCGAGGTAATAATGTTCATCACTTTATGACAAATAAAGGCTGAAATTTACTTAATCGGCGCAGATTATAAGTTATTAAATTGATGTAATAAAGGGGAGACTATTAACCTCGCAACTGGCATCAGTGTATCATAAAACAATGTATGTTAATGTAAAATGGAAAGATAATATTATTGACAGTTCAGGTATTTTCCTATATTATCAAGTTCTTGAAAAATTCGACAACGTGGATTCATTTCTTTAAATTTTCATGTTTGTAATAGCGTTGTAGTTTGCCTTTGAATTACATTTACTATGCTAAACTATTAACAACAGTTCTGACATCACGTGCTCCCATTTAATTATATACATTTTTTCATTCATTTTAGTTGTTACCATGACAACTTATAAAGATGAACCTTTCGATGATTCATATCACAAGATGAAAATAAATCCTGTATTTATAGGAAAAAAAATAGATTTTTTTATTTGTTATATACTTTTTCTCTTTTTTTTACCTTTCAATTCATAAGACTTCTCCTTTAATTTTGTATATTGCCTAAATTAAGAATGAAAGTAGTCCGGCAAGACACTATTCAAACTACGGAAAATATGTTTCGCTGCAGTGAAAAATAAATCTACAGTGAGGCAATGGCTCCAATATTGTGTACATCTTGTGCATTCAAATGTTTCCTCGCTGGAATGTTTTCTTAGATGTCTTTTCAGTAAGACTTTGGTCTTGTAACCTCTGCCACAAATGTCACAGTCAAATATCTCACTATTAACAGTCTCCTTTAAAGATACATCAAGAAATGAGCCAACTAATGGAGCCATTGCCTCGTCTTAATCATCGAAAGGTTCATCTTTATAAGTTGTCATGGTTACAACTAAAATGAATGAAAAAATATATAATTAAATGGGAGCACGTGATGTTAGAACTGTTGTTAATAGTTTAGCATAGTAAATGTAATTCAAAGACAAACTACAACGCTATTACAAACATGAAAATTTAAAGAAATGAATCCACGTTGTCGAATTTTTCAAGAACTTGATAATATAGGAAAATATTTGAACTGTCAATAATATTAACTTTCCATTTTACATTAACATACATTGTTTTATGATACATTGATGCCAGTTGCGAGGTTAATAGTCTCCCCTTTATTACATCAATTTAATAACTTATAATCTGCGCCGATTAAGTAAATTTCAGCCTTTATTTGTCATAAAGCGATGAACATTATTACTTCGAGAAAATAATGTCATATGCTAGCAAATGAATATCCTCTTACAGAAGTTACTTGCTGTAATATACAATTGGCGTTATGTCATAAAAAGGGAGTGCGTTGCTAAACTTAAGATACATATAGTATTGTATGCATGTAACTGACAGACACAACAGATCAAGCCTATGCATGAATATAGAAAAATGAAGTTTTTCATGTTCATTTCTCTATTTATAGTGCAATTTTGTCATACTAAATCATCACTTTTTGTGTTGTTACTGCATGTTGCTAAAAAGCTTTTTTCGATGCACATACCGCATTAATAACTTTTCTATCTTGAGACAATATTAGAAATGAAAGTTTAACGTCTCAATTCCGACTAAAAGGATGCAAAGAAAAGAGGAATTGATAAAATATTGAACTTGATTTTCTGTCAGAATGTTAGCCACTTTCATGGTATTTCTGCCATCGACGGCAGCATTTATAATATGTATCTGCCTACAACGGCAGCTTTTTTTCATCGACCGGACAAGATTGAGCGTCTGTAAAACTTTCAAGAAAAGACTCACTGGGTTGATATTTGGCTTGCGTGACCCCAATGGATGAACGTCTATATTGATAACAGGAAATCCTGCCATTTACTTAAAACTTGAGATATTTTGAGCAGAAAACATACATTTTCACGGATTTTTCCGAGGCTGTCACTTTTAACCTGCTCAAAATAGTCTTAAAACAGGAAAAAACGAGTCCAAAATTACCTTACAGTATCTCCATTCAATGGACAATAGTTTTATATCAATGAAATGGGCCGTATTTGTGTAATATAATTAAACCAACCAAATTTATAACCTACCTGTATCTATCGGTAATTTCCAGATATCTGCCATCACTGCAGTGATCTGCCATCACTCACTGCCGCCGGTAATACGGTGTTAAGCTACGGTGAAGAATATTTTGTTGCATCGTGATCTTGATAGAGATCGCAGGTTTGATTCCTTGAAGGGTCACAGTGGTGTTAACACGTGACTCGAGTAGCCTACGGTGGAGTCAAGATTTGCTCTCGAATAAGCACAATCACTGGTATCCACGTTAATAATAAGAGATGTAAATGAAGATTCTGTCTTGTTCTATAGAGAAAAAAATTTGTAAACGTGTAAATGTACCCGTGTAGTCTAAATGTTTTCATACCGGAAGAGATCATATTTTTCATTTTACTTTGAAAGCGTTGCATGCAATATGTTTATTAGGCCTAATCTGTTGTCCTTGTTGCCAACAATACAAACGAACAAATGAAATAAATATATAAATATATATACTCAATACACAACTAATCACATCGAATGAACAAACTTTTGCGACACGTGAAACTAATAATAAGCATTACTGAATCAATAAGCATGTGCACAGCTGTTACCGGAGGTGACGTCACTTAAGTCGTTTCCAAATAAATTCATCGTAAATATAAAATATATCGTCTGTACAAATTGATAAAATTGAGATAAAATGTATTCTTACCTAAGTTTATTCATTTTAATGATAGGATTTAATGGTGTAAAGGTACGTTGACTTTAATACTTATTTATTTTTTTGACAAAGTTTAATTAACAAATGTCACGTTAATACATGTCATATAAGTTTGGAAAATAAAGGTTGATGTACTGAAACGTGTTTACAGAAAAGACCCGACTATAATTTTTAGGAATAAAAATTGTACATGCATATGATAACCTAAGAAAAGCGACTTAAACAGTATATACTCTTGGTTTAGATACCGGGGTCTTTTCAGGATACGCAGCCGTTTAAAGTGTTAGGAATTCGCTACACTAGGAACGCACGAGGCGCACGTGGCTCCGAACGCCGAGCGCCGAATATCATGGAGTTTAATATTAAGGGATCCGATATGAAGAAATTGTGACAATGATTTTATTTATCAATCTTTTCTAAATATTCAGTCGTAACTGAAATTAATGAATAATGAACGTCATATTAATTAAGTGTGGACTACACGCTCAGTGTAATTACGGAGATTATCAATGTCTGCCATTATAATTTGTCTATATTAAAATACAGAATACTGTCACAAAATATATGAATTAATTAACATAAATCAAGACTAGATCTAGCAAATTTTTATGAAAAAAAAAAAATAAAAAAACGTGTCGCGTTGAATTATATAGATAAGTTTTCTATTTAAAGATTAGATCATATTAGAACGTTTATTTCTATTATGGGCTCGTGTGTTTTTAGTTTTGTAACAAATCAGATGGGTTTCAATAAGGATAAATTTGTTATCCCATTAAATGCCATGTGTTACAACAAATCAATAACTTAGATAATACACGGTGACAGTACAATAATGGTACAATAATGGTAAATATCAATGCGATATCAGTCTTAAATTTCATCTTTTATATCTCCAATAATTTCATCAATAGATGCATTAAGAACATTCCTCTGGAGTTAAATCTACTTTAAGCAAAATTTAAAATCATTTTCATTTCACATAAATTATCCGTCTCAATAAAGCGTCTTTTCATTCGGATCAATTTTGATTAAAATTGTACATGTTACACGTAAAAAAGATACGGCACACTAAACGAATTTCGATTTCGTAAACTTTCGCACATGATCGTATTTTACCATTTTTATGAAATTCGTCTTTTTCTTGATATACATATAACACGAAATAATATGGTTACTGAATACTCACTGGAATAAAATTCTTGATAATTCTGTTAAATATGCCAGTCGCCAAAATTAATCCTAGTGATATAGCCTAACGAGCAATTAGGCAATCTAATCTGAGTTGCAGACATCCCTTGCACTCGGGTTCAAGCTTCGAATTAAGTTGTTCGTATTTCTAACCTAGCTTATCAGTTATATTAGTATTTTTTTATTATGAACAATGTATACAATCCGTCACTTTGCATTTTCCATTTTTTGTTCGATATGCTTAACTTTAATGTGAATACTGTTCAATAAGTGAAATTATTAATGTATTTTATTACGTCAATGCAATACATGTTTGTTCTTTGGCATGTCGATTGATTGCTTTTTTAAGATACATTATGTTTGATAAAGTTTTGTATTATTTGTCATAAGAAATCATCATTAAAGTAATAATAAAGGTCTTTTTTTTTAAAAATAAATGAAATATTTAATTTGTAGTGGTTAAAGGAACAATAACACAGAACTTCATGTTAGGCACGAAGAGTAAATAAATCCTCCAGCCGCAACATGTTACCTTGTAACTGTCGATGTGAGTAAAAACAAAACCAAGTGAAATAAAGCCTTTTTAAAAAAGCCAGTTCAGACCCGCTTCACGGTGCATATTCATATCGGTACCCTCTTTGCGTAATCTGCTGAAACGGTACCCTCTTTGTACGTGCACAGGTCATTCTCTGCTAATAACAAACCAGCGATGGATAACAATCCAGTAAAATTTCATTGTAATAAGGAAAGGAGGTATGACACGTAGAAAAGATGTATACCACGGAACACTAGAATGTTTTATTTATGTGCTGATTTGTCACGTGCCCGTTTTTCATGTACTGCAACTTCACAATAAGCTACAAAAAATCGACATGTTTTGCCTCGCCCATCACCTCGACATATTTTTCGGGCTGAAATGAACCTGTGGCTTGATTATATATACATCATACATATTTAATATGTTCATATACATATCATCTTCGGACAAATGACAGTATATTGTCAAAAATAAATGTAAAATTCATAAAAACACTATACTTTCGGTTTTGCAGCGGCACGGGCTACCTCTCTTCATTAAAATTTTTATATCACAGGTACCCTCTCATTTTTTAAAATATGCACGACATATGCTTTTATTTGCGTTAATCGTTAAGTATATAATATTTACATAAAAGTAACAAATATTACAAACTTAACAATTAGTTAACGCAATTAAAAGCATATGTCGTGCTTTGAGGGTACCTATGTGTTAAAAAATGAGAGGGTACCTGTGTTATAAAAATTAGTGTACAATCCTTTGACTCCTTATGGTTATCATTTGGAAACCAACCATCTCTTTGATATTTAACAGATTATAATATCTATGTAAATATTTAGTGGTCTGAATCCAAATTAAAATTCAAACTGTATTTCATTTGTTTCAGCCGGGTTCTAAAAAATATTTTAAATCAAGTGGCTCGTAAAAAACTCATCTCCAAATTATTTCTTTATTTCTATATTGCAATATTAAAGACAAAAAGGAGCAAAAAAACAATGTAAAATTTTAGTGGTCTGAGCCCAATTTTAACGCCACCTGTATCTAATCATGTTACATCTGTTTAAATTCATTGACTATATATAGAGCAACATATTTATTAAAGTTCAATATGGGCCATAACTATGTAAAAAATTAGTGGCGTCATTCCATAATTGATCTTGACCTGTTTTTTATGATGTAAAACAATCTTCCAAAAATAGTTTAAATTAATTGACTCCTTTAAGAATAATCTGTGCAAAATTGATGATGAAAAAGGGGACACAACTATGTGAAAATTTAGCGGTCTGAGCCCAATTTCGACTTTGACCAGTATTTATGATATTACATCTGTGTATTAAAAATTATAACAATCCATTGACTCCTTTATCTGGAAAACTTTTTCTCTCTCGAATATCTGAAGATTAAAAGGGGTATAATATTGTAAATATCAAGTAGTCTGAACCCAAATTTGAGCATGGCCTGTATTTAATAATGTTACATAAATTATTACAATCTGTTTACTTCTTCAAGAGTAATCGTCTGGAAGTCATTTTTTTTACCAAATATGAAGACTTATAAAATTGAGAGTCTCAACCCAAATTCTAACTTGACTTGTATTTTATGATGTTACACCTATGCACCGAGAATTATTACAAACTGCACCGAGAATTATTACAAACTGTTGTCTCCTTCAAAATGATTGATTTTTTAAAGAAATCATGAAAACTTACATTTTTAATTATCATCATATCTTTGCGCTTTAAGCAATACTTGCTGCTTTTTTAAAAATGGCGTTGTAATAGAAGGTTTTTAGCCACTATGTAAGATAAAATTTGATTGGCCAATTAAATTTTGGAGTCCAGCTTATATAAAGAGCTGCAAGCCAAGCGTTTTGAGTTTTCTCTTGTTTCCTCAGTAAAATCTTAACGTTATACCGGCAACATATAATCTGAAATTCTTATATTGACCAACAGGGACTCTTAAACAGGAATACAATGTATATGCAAATAGACTTAGAAATAAATAAAAAAATCTTTTTTGTGTGTGTGCTATTCTTAGCAAGATTTGCAATGCTTTTCAATTTTGGGTAATTTTACACAATTAGAGAAGTTATGTTGGGAAAACGGAGTGAACGAATTATTGATGTAGACCTACATAGTTGGAACACTTGTCTTGCAAAATAATTTCCAGTCTCGTCATGTAAAAAAAAACTCGGCGAAGTCCCTTCTTTAAAGATAGAATATATAAACTAATAAACATCTTCCGCACATAATTAATTACAAGACGAAACTTAAGTTCCTATCATTTGGATATAATTTCATAAATATGGTGGAATAACGGTTTGAAATGTCTACATAATTATTTAAGATTTACATTTCCTCGCATTATTATTAATCATTAAAATATTATGTATGTTTATGTTATACAGGGGAGTGCAGTTAATCCAAAGACAATGGCTGTCGTTATTGGCAATGAACCGTCTGTTATGGCCGAATATATTCAAATAATGGAGGATCTCACAACAATAGAGGGCGCTTCTACAAAAGTAACAGTAGAGTACCGGTGTACTGATGATAAATTGATTGGCGTGGAAGTTGTCGCTGACATCAATCTTGAAGTTTCACAAAAAATATTTCAAAAAGTGTGGAAATGTCGTAAAAGTGAACAATTTTCTGGCATAAAATTTAAGAAAGTGAAATTGAAACTTCCGCCGGATGTTGCCTACAATTACAATGCATTCAACAAACACGTGACATCAACTTCAAGGTCAAAGGTCAGGGTATGGATGCTTGATAACGAATGGTGGCCATTTTGTTATAGAAACAGTGACTGCTACACAAAGTCGTCTGTTAAAGTGTCTTACAATGTGAAAATATCACCTCCATTTTCAAGACCCTTTTACAAACTGTACAAACAATGTAAGTCATGGCCTTGGAATATCCTTGCTGCAGTAACGTCTGTTAAAATACCAACTTGCCCTTTTGAAGAAGGTAAATATTACAGATGTTGTATGTTTTACATATTGTTTGACCCAAGTTAATAAGCAACGAAGCTTCACATTTGTACCATCTGCGGAAATGGTTTAGCGCCTAAGATTAACATTGGTCCTTTTATGACTTGTTAACCAACATCTTGAGTTGCATGTCAACAAGTTAGCCCTTTACATGTGTTCCATGACTTATTACTTCTTAGGGAATGCTGTGATCTTTTAAAAGGAAAACTGCTTAACAATATTTCTACATTTTGCTGGAATTTAAGCAATGATCTTGTTTTTTAATATTATTGCTATTTTTCTTGTATACTTAACAAGTGAATTTTACCCAGGATTTTATTTAAGCGCTACATTTGTGATATGTGTGGGGGAGGTTGCGAGAGGAGACATAGTTGTCAAAATGGCTGTTTGTTGTTTGTGTGTGCCTGCGTTTGAACTTGTCCATGCCATAACTTATTCGTGCATGGAGGAATTTTCAAATAACATGCTTTAAGGTTTTCATGCACAAATGTTCATCATGAGAATTCGTGTCATGTACTGTACATGAACCAGGTAATTGGGTCACGGGTCAAGGTCACCTAAGATGATGTAATATCAAGATACTGCTTTGGGTATAAAGAGGATGTGCTGCGCACATTTCGCCTATGTATAAGCCTTTCTCCTTTATCTAAAGGTTAAAGGTTCAGGTTTAAATTAAGTCTTATAAAATCCACATATATTTCTCAGAACTGTTTGTAATAGGAAGACTGTAATTTTTCAAAGGTCTTATTCCTTATTTCTTCAATGGAGCTATCAGGATCTTCATCGCAGTATTTCCTAGCCTTTTTATTAAGCGCACTTCATCCCCAGTCTCGTTGGTGAGATATGTAGTATTCCCATAAGTCAGTATGTTCTTGTTTTTTAACGTTATCAGCGTTATTGTCAAGTTTTTCGTCACTATCTTGCTTTTCATCGTTTTCGTAAGAAACCTCAGATTTTGCATCGTAACGATGACCAGCGTATAATCTAGATGGTTTCAACTGATCGAAAACATTCTTATAAGTTTGCGTTTTGGCTCCTCTTCTGATGAATGAATTTCCATCGTCGATATCACTTTCAGACATATTTTTTTGTATATTTAGGGTGTAAATGTCTATTCAAATTCTATTTTCTTTTAAATTCTCTATAGCTGTGATAGCATGTGTACACCGTAACCGAAAATGATTCAATGGAAAAACTAAGTAGTTTACTTCATTTTTATACGTTTTGTTTCAACATGACTACTCATTTTTCTGACTCATTTGATCATTTCTTTCCACTTTTAACTTGCATATTTGCTTGTTTTGCTTTGTTATTGTATATTTGACTACAACATACATTCACTTGGGTTTGTTGGTGATCTGTATTGAACAGTTAATGTAAAGATGAATTTATCATTTCTACAGAGATCATTGAAGCGATTAAATATCCGGTAGTGCTCGGGGGAGATTCTTATGGCGTCTATAGACAATTTCTGCCGTTTAACAACCCCGACTTGGAGAGGGAGAGACAAGAACAAACCGAAAGACCAATGTATGTACACTCACTTAAAATAATACGTTATGCATGTTTATGTAATTTTTCACCTTACAAGGACTGAACTGACGTTTCTTTCACATGGCAGGACTTGAAATATTTTTTTCGTAGATTTTCGTACCAATTGATGTAAGTCTGGTCCAATTATTTGTGTGCACATCTTCAGCTCCTCCCCTATCTCCTTTCTTTCCAGAATGATCATTTTTATAATTCAAAAGGATCACAAAATGAAAAGCGTTGCAACGCTTTTCGGTCAAAACCGACTAAGAATTGTGCGGAAAAATCGATTTCCAAAATATATCTAAGTATATTTCTTTGTTATCCTTTTCATAATTTTCCGTTTTAAGTGCATGGCTTGATTTTGGTTAGATTTTATAATTTTAGAGTTTTAGGCATTTGGACTTCAAGTGGAGTTCCTTTAGCCATGGTACATATATGTAATTATAGCATAAAAGCATGAATATTTATAAGTGTTCTTTTAATGAATTAATATTTTCTTAGAATTTTTTAGAAAGCAAATCTTTTTTTTTACTTTACTGCTTACTCATTATTTTGTTATTTTTATCTTTTAGATTTACAATATCTATATGGCTATACATTTTGGAATACTGTCCAGGTCGACCGCGTCCAGGCTTGCTATGTAGTATAATGCATCGTTTTACGTGGGATGGACAATTCCGAACTATTATGGTGCTCCTTACACCGGAAGGTTTTATCTAATATGTACATTTATTGTTTTAATCGGTTATAATTTTATATTAGATAACATGGTTTTAGAGAATATAAGACCCTTGTTACCTAAGGAAAGATGTGATAAATGTGAAATAATTTGTCGAAAAGAAGCCGAATGAAAACAAACTAACAAAGTAGTATTTTGACTTCCATACAAGATACTAATTCACTATAACTGTATTTATTGCCAAAAAGCATCAGATAACGCTTAAAACGGGCATACTTCTGCTAATTATTACACATTGTATACACGTTAAGGTTGTTGACATCAAACCACTAGCCCTTCGAATTCACCGCTGTGAGTTCGATTCCCGCCAGGCAATTTGGATTTTTTTCATGTGAGGAAGGCAACTAGCTAACTTATCTAACGTCGGTGATTCTTCCAAGGTGCCCTTTAGTGCCTGAAATAATGCCAGAAGGAGCACCTGATGTCTTCCTTGGTCAGTAAAGGTGGAAAGTCACCATATGCCTTTTATAGTGTTGGTGCGACGAAAAAGGTTAACATAAAAATTTAGATATTACCAGTATCAATTGAATAAGTAATGGTTTTTCTTACAGGTCGAATTCATATTCAAATACAAGATATAGCTGGACACCACAAAGCCGGCTTGTCACATTTCAGTATTCCTAAACACCAGTGGACTAGAGTTATTGTCCAGTTTCAGATGCAAACAGTACGTTTATATTTTCATTTTATACACCGTTTTTCATTGAATGATAGCAGCGTTTATATAAACTCTATTCACGGCATTTGTCGATGTATGTTTTTTTTCTTCTAATTTTTAATACGTTTGCCGTATTATGAATTCGTTATAAAGATTCTTCATAACCCTAGCGGGGTAGGGTTATATATGCAAACAACCGTTTAAATAGAGCCATATAACCTGTCAAAAACTGTTTATTATTGATAATATACATTGTACATTATGTTTCAATGGCACTTTTGAAGACTTAAATTACTGTCATGATTACGCTTATTATTTTCGTAAAAGGTCCGTGTTTCACGTTTGGGTTGAACTCCTCTAAATACTTTCCCTCTTCTTATTCCGACTAAACATACTTAAAATACAATCCTGCAAAACTTGTACATGTACATACATACTTTCCGTATAATAATTTCCAATAGTTTTTACTTCTCAATTAATAGTTGACGAAAACAATTAGCATGTTACATGGTTAAGCAATGCCAAACACATGCAAAACAACTGTTTTTGTTCGTTTCAGTGGCGTTTATTTATCAACTATGGTGAACAATTCAAAGAAACATTAGAAACTGAGTACAGGTACTTATATAATTGGGCGCTCTTGTGTATTACTTATTGTATTTTTATTTAAAAAAATGAAAGCAACATAATCCCTGTTTTATGCCGAAATTTGAGCTACCAATACAAAAAATATAAAAACAATCAATCACATGCATATATTTGTCTGAAGGAAAGTAATCAACTCATTTTATCATAATTTTGTAGTGTTTAGGCTCAAGGTCATATATCAGTCAGAATCTTTTCCCAGTTTTTTTGCATGTGTTATTTCCACAGAAAGTTTTTATACATGTTTCATTTTCCCCGGAAGGTTTTTTGCATGCTTTATTTTCTTAGAAAGGGTCCTATATATATATTTGTTATGCTACATTTTTTTTTGCATTTACGTATAAAGTGCCGAAATAAAGTATGTGTGCAGACATTTTTTTCTATGATTCTTTCCAGACATGCTGGAGAGCCTACATTTTATGACGATGCTAAGGATCTAGTCACTTTTGGTGGATCTGAATACATGGCAAGTTTCAGGGGTTACATTGGACAGGCAACAATTTACAGAAACAAAATAGTAAATCCAGATAAGGTTTGTTTGTTTTTAGCTAAATACCAACAGTGATTTCCGGTTATCTACCAGTTAACTTCCGGTTAACATCCCGGGATAAACATTCCGATACAATTTATTTGTACAGTTTCCATCAATTTTTTAATTGATTTATGCGAATTAACTTCCGGTTTCCGTCACAAGGAAGGAAATTACTGGTAATAGGGTACAGAAACATTCGTTGTGCAATAATGCTGATCTTTCACTGCACTAAACTCGACTTAAACCAGAGTTCTTGTGTTTAAAGTGTTTGTGCCTCAACATACAGATCAGTAGTTCAAGCTCTAGTCAGCCGACGACCATGCTTCTTTGTATAATGACACCACCAACGGTAGGGTCCAGGAGGCGGGACCGAAAAACTTTGTGTCACAGTCGAACATATAGTGTTTGCTTAACTTGACTAAATCAGAAAAAAAACAAGATAAGTAGATATGTTTTCGAAAAGCATTTCTGGTTCAGGTCAGATTGTACTAAATTCATGGCTAGGGATAAAGTGCTGTAAAGATATACAGTTATAAAGATAATATGAGGTAAACTTGTTTATATTTCAGATACCGATGCCAAGCAAGTTTCATCCAATGTTTGAGCTTCAGCTTACCCACAGAGAGAAAAAATGTGGCGATTATTTAGACTGGGTTACGGATAGAGTCAACGTGCATAAATCAAAATATGACGTCAGCTTGAGGAAACGTAAGCAGTGTTTTAAGTCTGGGTTTCGTTATGTTTATGCTTCATTGCTTAGAAGATACGCAAAAAATGATTATGTCACGTTCAGTCAGAGCATCTCGGGTATTATTCATTATCCAAAGTTTGACGGAAAAAGCCGAGAAGATGCGATTGTGTCACTCTTATATGACAGTAATATCAATTTTAAGTAACATTTGTGTGACGGTAATGTCATCTGTTGGAAGAACTGTAAGCATTTTTATGTACCGTTGTGTGTGATTGGTAACACAACCCGGAAGGTTAAATGCAACTTGACTTAATATTGGTTTACAGTTGATATTCATATAAATGAGCATATTAAAGGCACAAAATATCTGTCATTAAGATTTTCGCATTGCTGATGTATTTTCTTTTTTTCTGACTTAACTTTACATCAGTAAAGATGCAAATACAATGTATGACGTCATATTGACGCTTGAAGAAAAAAGTCGTTTGAATTTGTATGTAACTATTTTCGTATTCCTCTTCCAAATTTTAAGGGACATGTCGCCATCCCTTTGTTGAGATCGTTGAAAAGGCAATGGACAATTGGAAGGCCGTTTCACCTTTACCAACTTGCAAACTTACAAGCAAGAGGACAACTCGTAAACGAAAGCAAGTGGATAGAATTATCAAGAAAATGGTTTGGGAAGGTAGAAATGTAGATTTTAGCGAAATAGCCGACCTGTTGTACAAGAACGCAACAACTGAGTTGGTAAGATGACATTTTGCTGCTTAATTTTCCTTATTTATTTTTATAGCCCACATTGTTCTAGCAGAAGAACTAAAACCTGGCACCCGGTATGCGGTCGGTGTGCTATTGGGTGAGTTCCACCAGCAAAAACGTGATGTTACCATGTCACATTACGGATTGGGTTCGAGTACACTACAAATGGTTGACAACAACACTAATAATAAATGAAAATAACTAATAATGAAAACTTGTTAGTGTTTAACTAAGCGCAGCCACTGGATGAAAACGCGTTTTGTGTCATAAACATGAAGGTAATATGTTGTTTTGACTCAAAAGGCAACAAGGGTATTTCTTTCAATTCTTTATACCAAATCGGCAATCACGTGACTTTGAGGGCAACATGATTGAAGCCTACACAGAATGAAAAACCTTATTACCATTATTTTGTTTTCTACACGTATGTACATAAACCTAAAATGATTTCGAGCGGTTTATGTACACATGAACCACGTGTATTTTTTTTTAAACACAGTCATGATCTATTCCTTAACTGTATTAAAATAGGAAGCCGGTTTAGAGAAAATACAAGTTGTGTTTCCGGTTCTTAAGCAAGCTGCGTGCTACGGAAACATGGACGCCATGTACATGATTTCTACAATTCTCAACAATGGTATATTCATCAAAGCAGACGAAATTCAGGTAATTCCTGTTGTTTTTTTAGTTTGATATAAAAACATATGTTACTCTTTTACTCTATTTTATCTTGTACACTCGTTATTCATACATTGGGCTTTATTATGGCTAACGGCCATTAGTTACTAGACAATCTTTTCGGCAAAGTGTTCACTATTTCTTAACTTGGCACTATTTCTTAACTTGGGCGACACAAAATAGTTCTTTTCAAATGTTGTAAAGGTTAAAAATATATCTTCTAGTTAGATTATATTTTTTATGTACAATATCATTTTCGTTATTGTAACCAATATGTGATCTGGGGAGTAGTTAACTATCAGTTTAAGAAACACTTTGTGATGTACAAAATATTTGGCTGAAATTTAAGTCATTTTAGTCGGTATTATAAATTGAGGACCTCAATTTTATGCCAAAGAGCCCCTTTTTGGTAAAACACATTTGTATACGTTTTTCACCTACCCAGATGTCGCGGGTTCGAGCTACAACATCAGCTTAAGACGTATCTTACACACCGAGAAGTTTATTTTAATATTTAATCTAAGGTCAGATTTTTTTATCAATATTTTGTGTCGGCCTTTCACCTACAAGCATGTTTGCCAGCGGTTTTATCGGTATAAAAGGTATTATACTTAATCTAATTTTATTATATATATTATTTTGCCACAATAAGATTACATACAGTTTTACATATTTCACTGATGCAATCATCACTTAAGGTCATGTATGCAAGAAAGATCAACCCAGAGTGTCTTTACAGGCGTCTAAAGTGAAAATGCTGCCCTTGAAGGCAAACATTTATTTTTGAGGCTGCCTGTTATGAATCTTTCTAACATTCTAACAGAAAACCAAGCTCACTATTATTTTCTTATTCGTATCGTTCCTTTATCCACATTGAAGCTCCGTAATATTTCCCTCCTGAGTGCATCGAAATAGCTCTTCGTGATTGACAGCATTTACCAAGGGGCAGGACGTGAAGTGGTTGCACACTTGGTTCAAGCGAGCGAATTGGTTGCAAACTTGACAAAATGGCAAACACGGCGTGATTTTTTGAAACGGTTGAACGAATTTTTGCCAGGCAAGTGGGTTTCTTTGTTATTTTGAAGTTCATTAGTATGTCTATTCCATTATGCAATATATATACCACACTCGGTTTAAGGTTTTAGCATCCTAGATTCTGTTTGACGAAGTTATTGAAGATATAAACTGATCATGTAGATATTTTGAAATTTGACATGTGACTGTTCTGGTCGGTTTTTCTCCTAATTTATTCAAATTTGTAAGTTTTGAACTGCATTTAACAATAACAAAATATGTTTCTGTCAATGCTGTACAAATTGGTTTAGTTCGCAAGTCCGAAGATAACGTTCAATACACAAAAATATCTTGTTCAAGCACATTTTGGTTGCAGACTTATACTTCAAGCATTTTTTGGTTTGCAAACTTATTCTTATTCTATTGAAATCCATAGTACAACTTTGCAAAAGGATTGTAGTAGTTTATATTTATTGACCTATTTTCAATGTCAATTATTGACATTTATGTTCTTTTACTTGTTTTTTGTTATAAATGTTATTTATACTTTCTTCTTTTACAACAAGTATGCACTTTTTATGTTTCAAATTACATGGTTTCTCAGTTCAATACTATAATCATCAGTAAAAGCCTGCAAACAAAATAATAGCACATAGAAGAAAAATATTTATTGATACTTCAATTCTAAAATATGTCATCATATGTAAAATGCAAATGAAAACTACATACAAAAAAACGTATGTGAGAGTACTGCTGTATGTAAGTGAATTATTTTCATTATAAACATAAGGATATGTGCTCACATACGATGTTACTCGGCAAAAAATTTTCCAAAGTTTATCAAAAACCACAATAAATGTTTATTTTGTTTGTTTCGTATGTAAAGATCAGCAGTTGCTTTAGACATAAAGTATGTAATGTACTTATAAACCAAAAGTTAAAATGACATGCTTGTTTACAATATTTCGGATTTGATGTACATATCATAATTATATGTCAATTGTATTCTAAAAATTATTTTGGCTATTAGATCATAATATAACTGATATACGATGGTAATTTACATTGACTGATATGTGACAAAACTACTTAAAGTCATTGTTCGAGTTAGGGAATTTGGAAGATGTTTCGATTGGTCAATAATAAGGAACAATTTAAAGACACATGTGAATAATGCCCTGTGTGTCAATGTTAATATAGTTTGTATCTACTATACAATCAAATTTATTTCAAAATCTCAAAAAAAAGAACAATAATGAAAGCTGTTTGTTGCTATTTTTCTCTTCTTTTCCTTTATAGTTAGTCATGCCAAGATATAAAAAAAAAGTCCTAAGACTTTGTAAAAAGAAAAGAAGTATATCGAGGAGAAAAATGATGAAGATAAACACAAATGAACTTCAATTAAGCATATTTGTGTTTTCTATCTATTTGAAAGACCCTGTGTTAGGATATATCTGCACGCATGCACAATTTGTATATATATTTCTTATTAGATGAACGGGTATAATTGCCTTAATATTGCTAATTATTTCTCGCTTAAAAATATGCATGCCACATTATTGACACACAAAGTTTGCAACCAAAAATGCTTGAAGTATAAGTCTGCAACCAAAAGTGTGCTTGAACAATATATTTTTGTGTATTGAATGTTATCTTCGGACTTGCGAACTAAAACCATTTGTACAGCATTGACAGAAACATATTTTGTTATTGTTAAATGCAGTTAAAAAACTTACAAATTTGAATAAATTAGGAGAAAAAAACCGACCAGAACAGTCACATGTCAAATTTCAAAATATCTACATGATCAGTTTATATCTTCAATAACTTCGGTCAAAACAGAATCTAGGATGCTGAAACCTTTAACCGAGGTGTGGCATATATATTTCATTATGGAATAGACATACTAATGAACTTCAAAATAACAAAGAAACCTACTTGCCTGGCAAAAATTCGTTCACCCGTTTCAAAAAATCACGCCGTGTTTGCCATTTTGTCAAGTTTGCAACCAATTCGCTCGCTTGAACCAAGTGTGCAACCACTTCACGTCCTGCCCCTTGTTTACAGGTAATACAAAATTCACTTCGACCAAACTTTCCTACGAGTATAAACTTTTGTTTGAAATTAAGTGTCCTGTGTGTCCTTAAAAAGTGTTTAATTGACATGAAAGTTTAAAGGCATATGCTTGATATGTTTAAAAGCAAACTGAAAACTGTATAATTAGAATTTATTCAAATTTTGAATGAGCTTAGATCAAAAAGCAATATGTGAATATGACAATTGTTACAACTTATATATTGTATTTTTTCTTGCAGCCCATCACATTATTTTCTATTACAAGTAGGAAAAGTCAAATTTAGATATATAAATGCGTACTTTTGAAAATACGTATGCCCCCAGGGTAATATTTACCAACAGAGTGAGAAATGTATTATCTCCCATATCTTATGCATATAAAACGTTCATGTTTGCAAAAATAGAATAATTCATGTTATATACAAATAACGAAAGGTGGAAAATACTTCAAACTCAAAATTTTCCAAGAAATTATATAAGATATTTCTAAAATTTCAAAGCAGACTTAAAAGGACGAAAACTGATTCCAGCTAGGTTTGCATTACTACAGTTGTATATAAACCATTCTGTGAAAATTAGCCACCTTATAAATAAGGCAAAGGCATATTTTTAGTCTGCCCTTTAATAAAAGGGCGGACAAATCTTTGTCCCTTTCTCGTAAGACAAGGGGAATCTTGTGATGCGTGTATGTGGTCACTTTCTTTCGAAACATGTCCTCGATGCATGTATGTGGTCGCATGGTTGAAAATCTCTAATATAATGACAACTAAACGTTCGTAAAGGCGTTTTGGTCCAGCAACAGTTACCTCCCTTTAAACTCATTTGCAATGCTATCAGGGGAGGTCACCCTAATTAACTCTTTTTGTAAGCGTAACAGTTATTGCCCTTTGAACCCTTCCGCCACTTGCAATGCTATCAGGGGAGGTCACCCTAAAAAAACTCTTTTTCTAAGCGCAACAGTTATTGCCCTTTGAACCCTTACGCCATTTGCAATGCTATCAGGGGAGGTCACTCTTATCGTCTCTTTTATTAGCGCAACAGTAACCTCCCTTTAAACATTTACGCCATTTGCAATGCTATCAGGGGAGGTCACTCTTACCGACTCTTTTTTTAGCACAACAGTTACCTCCCTTTGAACCCTTCCGCCTTTTGCAATGCTATGAGGGGAGGTCACTCTTACCGACTCTTTTTTGAGCACAACATTTACCTCCTTTTGAACATTTATGCCATTTGCAATGCTATCAGGGGATGTCACTCTAATCGACTCTTTTTTCAGAGCAACAGTTACCTCCCTTTGAACCCTTACGCCATTTGCAATACTATGAGGGGAGGTCACTCTTACCGACTCTTTTTTTAGCGCAACAGTTACCTCCCTTTGAACCCTTCCGCCTTTTGCAATGCTATCAGGGGAGGTCACTCTTACCGACTCTTTTTTGAGCACAACAGTTACCTCCCTTTGAACCCTTACGCCATTTGCAATGCTATCAGGGGAGGTCACTCTAATCGACTCTTTTCAGAGCAACAGTTACCTCCCTTTGAACCCTTCCGCCATTAGCAATGCTATCAGGGGAGGTCACTCTTACCAACTCTTTTTTTTAGCGCAACAGTTATCTCCCTTTGAACCCTTACACCATTTGCAATGCTATCAGGCGAGGTCACTCTTACCGACTCTTTTTTTAGCGCAACAGTTACCTCCCTTTGAACCCTTCCGCCTTTTGCAATGTTATTAGGGGAGGTCACTCTAATCGCCTCTTTTTTGAGAGCAACAGTTACCTCCCTTTGAACCCTTACGCCATTTGCAATGCTATCAGGGGAGGTCACTCTTACCGACTCTTTTTTTTAGTGCAACAGTTACTTCCCTTTGAACCCTTACACCATTTGCAATGCTATCAGGGGAGGTCACTCTTAACGACTCTTTTTTTTTAGCGCAACAGTTACTTCTCCTTTGAACCCTTACACCATTTGCAATGCTATCCAGGCGAGGTCACTCTTACCGACTCTTTTTTTAGCGCAACAGTTACCTCCCTTTTGAACCCTTCCGCCATTTGCAATGCTATCAGGGGAGGTCACTCTAATCGCCTCTTTTTTCAGAGCAACAGTTACCTCCCTTTGAACCCTTATGCCATTTGCAACGCCTACAGGGGAGGTCACTCTAATCGACTCTTTTTTAAGTGTAACAGTTACCTCCCTTTGAATCCTTACCCCATTTGCAATGCTTTCGGGGGAGGTCACTCTCATGAACTTTATTTTAGCGCAACAGTTACCTCCCTTTGGACCCCTTTCGCCATTTGTAATGTTATCAGGGGAGGTCACTGTAATCGACTATATTATTAGCGCAACAGTAACCTCCCTTTGAACATTAACGCCATTTGCAATGATATCAGGGGAGGTCACTCTTACCGACTATTTTTTCAGCGCAACAGTTACTTCCCTTTGAAACCTTTCGCCATTTGCAATGTTATCAGAGGAAGTCACTCTAATCGATTCTTTTTGGAGCGCAACAGTTACCTCCCTTTAAACCTTACGCCATTTGCAATGTTATCAGGGGAAGTCACTCTAATCAATTCTTTTAGCTCAACAGTTACCTCCTTTTGAACCCTTACGCCATTTGCAATGTTTTCAGGGGAGGTCACTCTTACTTACTATTTTTGTGCGAAAGAGTCACCTCCCTTTTGAACCCTTCCGCCATTTACAATGTTATCAGGAGAGGTAACTCTTACCGACTCGATTTTTAGGGCAACAGTAGCCTCCCATTTGAACTTTTATGCCATTTGCAACGCCATCAGGGGAAGTCAATCTAACCGACTCTATTTTGAGCGCAACTGTAACCTACCTTTTCATTCGTCATTTTAAAATAACAATCTGAAATCTCGGAATCTGATTGGCCATTGTAAAATTAGTAAATTAACATAAAAATATTTTTCTGATATGGTACACGCGTCTAATTTTTGATTGATATTAAATAGTCTGGAAACGAAATATATGTACTCAAAAAAAAAATAGAAATCTGACTTCTTTTAAATATTTTCTAATTTGTGATTTAAATCAAAACATGTGAAGTGAGTATCCATGTATTGTCTAACAATATTGACCTGGCACTTCATTAACTTTCGTAAAGGTCATTTAACAGTATCTATCGAATATATCGATACATTTTCTAACTTCACTCGTCAGTGAGGTGTGGTGTATTGGTATAGATGTCGGACTACCGTTCTGAAGGTCTCTGGTTCGAATCCTTACCAACATTACCTTATGATTTTTTTTTAAAAATTTACTTTCAAAAAAATAACTTGAAATCGTTTTACTACAACTGGTTTTAGAATACCCTTTAAAGGGTGTTTTTATACACAATTATATTTTTTTGTTATTTCATTACAGAATCTTTCAACGCAACTCCTTGTGACATTATGCAATCTTATAATTATGCTTTAGCTCACACACGCTATAAAGGCAGTTACATGTATTTTAGATACTACACAGATACTGCACAGAACAAAACGGTTTGCAATAGTCTCTAGAAAATGGGAATTTAAAAATTAAAAGAAAAAAAAATCGCTGAAATAGGGTTTACGTCAATTGCGCTTGAGTGATTTTCAATTTTTCACCATTGTAACAATTGGATATTTACATTCATATCGATTTAAAAGTAGAACGTAACGGTTACGGAATATACCGATTTCAGGGTCAAATGCAAGAGTGCCAGGTCAATGTTGTTGAACAATACTATAGATACACTATACATGTTTTTGTTTTGACCGCGTATTGTCAGTAGAATGCAGCTAAGCGTAAAAGTTTACTTTTTGCACGTGAACCCAGTGCATGCTGAACGATGTCAGATTGACAATGATGTAAGGCACTATACATGTGTTCAATAACAATTTATTGTTATTCACTTCTAAATTTGAGAGCTTTCACAATACCACGTTTATCAGAAGCAGAGAGAAATCTAGCAATAGGAATGCTGCCGGGTGGGGCAAAGGTCCAAGGCCAGGTAGGCCAAGGGCAACTACCCAATGGGACGACCGTGCAATTATTTTAACTCACTTACGTGACAGGTTCTGACCGGCGACCTTGACCGCGTCCGCGTTTAACGTAACTGCAAAAACCATTCGCAATAGGTTGCGCGCGCAACAACGCCCAGTTAGAGCGTGACGCCCATATACAGGCGGTATTCTCACTTTACGCCATCTTCAGGCCCTATTAGGTGTGTATGTGCGCACCGTCACTGGCGGCGACGTGACTGGAATGCTGTCCTGTTTTCAGACGAGTATCGTTACAATCTCAGTCATGCCGACCGCCGTGTAAGGCGAGGATAACTCGCGCTCGCTTAGCTACAGCCAACGTCAATACCATGCAATGGCCAGCAATGTCTCCAGATATGAATCCGATAGAGCATATCTGGGATGTGCTTGGCAGAAATGTCCGACGACATCACGCCCCACAAAATATCCCCCATCTGACAAATGCATTGATAGCGGAATGGAACAATCTTCCAAATAACCTTGTTCAACGTTTCGTCAATTCTTTGCGTCGACACGTTGACGCAATACTTTGAGCCAGAGGTGGCCACAACGAATGAATTAAATGAAAAAAACGCATGCATTTTAAAACTGTTAATGAAATGATTAAAACCTATCTGCACGTAGTCAAAACGTTATAGCTACAAAATTGATAAGTTGAATTTGACCCTTTCCTTAGAACTAGCGTTATTTAACAAACTTAAACATAATTAATAAAAACAAAATGCATATCAATGTTGTGCATGCATCTCTTTTTCATGTCCAACATTCGTTTTTGCATTTCCTGAAAATAATAATAAAATGTACACTGTACAACTGTACACTGTACAACATTACTTGTGCCATAATAGGGAACGCAGCTTCTCATACATAGTTTATTAATTCTTTTATTCAAATTAGACATATTCACCTGTCAAGAATCTTTATAACTAATAATATAAACGTCACCATTATCCAATGAAAAGCGACGTTACAAACATGCAGTATTATAAATGTTATACGTTACGATTATCCAATGAAAACATGGCGTAACGTACGTGTGTATTTGCAATGTTTTGATAATACTGTTTGTAACGTCGCATTTCATTGGATAATCGTCGCGTTTATATAAACTACAATGTATATTAACGGCTGCTGTCAATTCATTAAGTACTTTCTTTTTCTCATATAAAAAGTTTGCTGTATTAAATATTCGTTTCAAAGATTCATGACTGGTTATAAGGCTGTATAAAAACGATTATTTGCAAAATAATTCTCGGTCTCTCGCCTTACGACTCGGTTTAAATATGCAAACACAAAAATGGCAAGAAAACGTTAAAACTTAAAATATAGACACCCATTATATCTTACAGAGTCAAGCATATCTTATGTTAGCTGCATTAGACAACCATAGATTGGCTGCCCTGTCACTTGGACACAAACATAGGTACGGTATTGATGGTGTCACGGAAGACTGGGAGCAGAGCTACCGTAAGTTCCTCGTGCAAGAAAAAAAAAACATATACAAACAAGACCTGAACCCTTATCCTGCTGAATTTGTGCAATTGTTTTACACTCGAAACAGTCCATTCAAATTTGAAAAGCTTTTTATTATTGGATAGCAAATATTGAGCACCCAACAGTGTAGAGCCTGGTCAGACTACACAGATTTGCAGGCTTGTATGGCTCTATACTGGAGGCAAAGGGCTATCACTTCCGGTTCCAACAGGTTAATGGTGAAGGGATCTTGTCCTCCGTCGTAAGCTCGATACACTTCATGTCCGACAAACGAACAAACATTTAAGTACAGAGTACAGATGTGCTGGCTATTTGTAACTTTATGTTTCAGCATATTAAGTTAAAAAACGAAATAAACATCAAAACTATCAACGTTTTACTCCATTACAAAAGCTTTCGACAAATTTAAACGTGGCTATTGGCATGGGTCGCGCTTTGAACAAACCAGCATGGCTATACTCACACGCTGGTTCTAATATTAAAAGCGCACCACATTTAAATACGGCAAATGTCATGAGTTTGTTTTATTTAATGACAAAGCTCCCTATATCAGAAAAGTGTCTATTTGAAAATTATTTTGACATGTCAGCATAACTGTTTTTGCTTCATTTTAAACATGCATATACTGTTGTAATTTAAGTAAAATAAACATTTCAGGCTATTTCAAGTTTGTTGCCGATACAACCAATGCAGACAAAGAAAAACATAAAGACACAGATGTAGGTTTTTTACACCTTATTCTCTTACTTTGAAGCGACACGCCTCCAAATAAGAAAAATAAATCTATAATTTGTGAAACGCGAAAATATTCACTATCCGAGTAAAACTTTGAATGTACAATGTTTCATGTACAAATTCACAATATTACAGAATTTACTCCTTTTATCGCAAAAAAGGAAAGAAAGAAGTCAACAGGCGTGCTACTTAAAAATTAAAAAAGCCCCCAAAACAACTTGTATAATTCGCAAAAAGTAATAGCAAAGTTAATAAAATGAGAATGTTTTATAAATTCTTTTACAACTTGGCGAAATTTTGCTAGTTAATGTTCAAGCCATAGTGCCTATACCACGTGACTCTCTGTGATCTGTCTGAAACCAAAAACAAATACCACCGAATCTGGCTGTTTTGCTTATCCGCCTATTTCTACTGCGTTACTAACGCAGTAAGGACCATTTTTGCATAATCTGACCTCTTTTTAATAATATTCGTGGATTGAAAGTGTCGTTTACAATGTGGTAACTTTGTCCACTTAACAATATTATACTTTTAAAAACATTTTCAAAATTTCATGAAAGTTAGTAGAATCTGAAGGCATGCTGCTTTAATATGTTTACGATAAATAGTTTCAACTCTGACAAGTCTAGATCTGTTTCTTGAGCTAAATGGTGATCCACATTTCAATACAAAGTCCAATTAAAGATGTTGTAATAGTCTAGCAATAGTCAAGTTTTTTACATCTCATAAACGTTTGGAACATCATCGTTTCAATCGGCGGTTTGCTTGTGATGTAAGCTAATTTATCAAATAAAGAAACGATAATTAAAACGACAATAGATAAAAGATATGCGAATTGAGCCGCATCCCAACCCACGGCTTTCTAGTAGTGCTTTCAGCCGGGGCCCTGGGTACAATTAATTCTTTACGTCGAAACACATTAGAGTACCAACGGTCACTATTGGAACGGAGAATCTTTATATAAGTCCTACCCTATGAATTATAAATTTACCACCACACATTCAGAGCGAGCTGTTACTATTGCTTTTCGGTTGCTACAAGATTTCAGTGTAGTAAAGAAATGTATAACAATATATATTATGCTGCTGGTGAATAAATAATCAACAGGAAATTACACAACACCCCTTAAAAAGACGTGCTATAAAAGGCGTGAGAGGTGACGAAAAAGAGGTTGGTGAAACCATATACGGCTGTTAATTTTCCTTGAGAAAACAAACAAAAGTTACTGGTGTGTTTGAAACATAGAACAGGTTTTACAAAAAGGAATGTGTAGTTGTTGTGTTTCTTCTTTTAGAGCTTTGCTGAAGTAGTTTTAAAAGATACTTTGCTGCTAATGTCTGTTGGCAGATTGCACTTAACTTGCAGAATATATGCAGAACGTCAAAGACTATGAAGTAAAAACATATGAACACAGCCATAAGGAACATTTGAAAGCAATACGGCAAACATAATATTATGGATATCAAATCCCGGCTCCTCTCTCTTGTTGTTGGTAAAAACACTACTCAATCCCCTGTTACCCCCTTTACACCTGAGGGGGGCGGGGTTACTTTTAACTTGTTTATTAAATGGAGCCAACATTTAGACTTTTGCATTGGTGACCAACTTTAAATCTTGTGAATTCATCTTTTGAATCACTGAATCATTAACGTTTACAATAACCTGGTTTGTTCATTCGTTTTATGGACCCTTTTCGCTTCTTGAATACCGTTTCATTTTTGTTCTTTTTGACAGGAACGCAATTGCATTCTTTTTGGGACAACATAAACAAGCAATAAGATTTCGTTTCAGTTAATGTAAAAGTATAAGCAGACCTTATTTTTTGTATTTGATTTATTCTACTTAAGAAATGAAATAATCATTTTTAAACATATATACACGTCCGGAATACATTGTAGTAGCAATTTTGAGAACATTCAATATTTAACTTTTCACGATTCCAGCTACATCATTGTGTTAATGAACGCAAAGTTGCAGCTTGACAAAGAGACATGTTTATCAATTATCATCATTATTATTACTTTAATTCCCGTTAACAAACTTGTTTACTTCCAACAGTAGTTTTATCTTTCCTTTCTAAGGGGATGGTGACAAAGTCTGGATGTTTTTTCCTGGTTTTCATTAGCATAACGCTTTACAGTTTCTCCAATACCTTGGTAACTTTAATGAATGTCTTTATATAATGACATATGGTGTCTTTAGAAGGCTTCAGTTTTCTTAACGTGTCTTAAAACGCTGCCGCTACTCTGGTTTCAGTCCTATATGAAAATAGCGAAAAGTCGAAACTTTAGAGGTCGTTCAAAAATAGGCAAATCTAAAATGTTGCTGACCTGGTTTGATTTAGCTTGTTCACAGCGTTCAAATTATCAATCACTCTGATGGAATAATGGTTTCGTAACTTTCGTTGCAGGGTGGACACGGGTTCAGTTCTCATTCCAGAGAGGATAATTTGAATAGTTTAGGCGTCAATTTGAATAATGAGTATAGTTGCAATTATGGTCAGAACATTGCGAATTTCGCCCATTCTTGTTCGGTGCCCACCTGGGCGCTTTATCAGTGGTTTGCGGGACTATAAAGTGCGGAAGAGTAAATAAAATGATTGTTGCTCTCCCTTGTTAATTGATCTGTCAAATTTACTGGGTTATTTAATTAATGTCAGTATCGATAGGGCGAAATAATTCAGTTTGATGAACACAATAAGATAGATTAAATATGAAATCCTAAAAAAGAGGCTCGAAAACGACAATATACATGATCAATCGTACAAGTAGATACCTAAATACTTTACTGGTTGTTATGCATCAACAATAAGATTTTTATAGACTCCTTTACATTTATCATACATATAAATGCACCGCCCAGTTAGTTCACTGATTGGTAAAGCGTTGGACGATCTCCGGACAGTGCAGGTCACTTTCATTGTGTTCATTGTGATTGATCATAAAACCCCTCCTACGGTCTTTCGCTTTTTCATGATCAAAAGTATCTAGCACTTCTTTGCAAAAGTGTAGACATCGAGTACTGTACTAAACTGTTTTACAGTTTGCCATGAAACATTTTTGCCCAATTTTGTTCGCAGCAATGACCTGGAAGCTAAAGTACAAAATCCAACGATCGCTGATTTTGAAAAGATGAGTCATCTCTACGAGGTATTTCTAGAAAAAGACTCATCCTGTTTTCCAGTTTTAAATTCCAAGTGTAGTCCTATGGTCATTTTCACTTTCAAGCAAATATCAAACAGTTTGCTTTTTCCGTTTTACGGCCTTTATGTTTCTTTCTTTCCCGAGCATGTTGAAAAGGTTAATAAGTACTGAGAGAACCATGTTGGTTATCATCACATCACTTTCTTAAAAAATAAGAAACTATTATCTAAACAAAAATGTGATCCCGTTACTTATTCCTTAAAGGAACTCCACTGAAGTCCAAAGACCTAAAAGCATAAAATTTGAATTCTATTACATAGATCAACTTTGACATTTAAAACAGAAAGATATGCAAAAGATATTTAAGAAATATATTCAGACAAAATTAAAAATCATATTTTTGGGCTATTTTAACCCGATTTGAATGAAAAAGCGAGCAACGCTTTTCATTCGGATTATTTTTTACCATCTGAATAATCATTCTGGAAAAAGGAGTGTAGAAATTTTATGTAATTTTGCGCAAATGTTATTGGTCTAGACCTACATCAAATGTAATATTAATCTCAAAATAAATATTTCCAGTCCCTCATATCAAACAACCTTTGAGGCCTGTGGTTTGCAACTGCATATTGAAACTGAAACGCCCGTACCGGACGCTTGAGAAGTGGTCTAGTTGTTGAAATGTCTGTCCCTCAACCTAGGGTCTGTGTTGTTTAAACCCTATTGTTTCCTAGCAAAGACAAGTGCTTGTTCAATCAAGTAAATAGAAGCATGTTTGGATTAAATAAAACAAACTTTGTGAGTATGTATATGTATCTTTTTGTATATCAGGTATTCACAGAGTCAATAAGACTGACAGATGAAGCGGCAATACATGAACAGACTGACGAAGATGGAGACATTTTTCATTGGTTGACTCTTCAAGCAAAACAGGGCGTTCTCTCTGCTCAGGTGACTAGTAAATTTCACAGTTACTTATACCCCCCACTGAAAAATTGAAACAACAACAACACATGTATTTTCGAGTTTTTCTTACATAAAGTTTTAAATCCATTTTAAATCCTCATTGAGCTAGGAATGTTATGATCCGGGTCTTTGTATCTGCCCTATTTTGTTTTGTTTCTCAACTATTTATTTGCCCAAAAGTTAGCTTTTAAAAATATTTTCCTTACAGTATAAACAGAACTATTTTTTTTGGTATTGGCGTCAAATTTTATGTAACAGAATTTGTTCTATTGGTGTCGCAATTATATCTAACTAATGGGAACTTAGTCCTTTGCCAATCTATTAGACTGTTTGCAAATTGCACATGGACGGAAGTTCATCGTGTTGATGTTGATGAACACCAAATTACAACATCTTTTTCTTTAGACAGAATTCCATCTATAAAAACACATCAGTTTTATGCGGATCATGAATAATAAATTGTAAATTCATTTTTTTTTTGAAGAATCGTATTGGACGAGCATTGTTTTGGGGTCAACAAGGACTAAAGAGAAACCTAGCGTCTGCTGTCGAATATTTCAAAATGAGCGCCGAAACTGGTGACGCTCAATCCCAGTATGACTATGGTATTGTACTGATGAGGGTAGGTACAAGTGTCGTCTGCGTTAAAAATAATTCTTGTACTCGTACTTTTTAAAAATAACTGTTGTGATTTTCTTCTGTTTTGCTGACAGATAAAAAATCCATCTGGCAACATTATGACGACATAAGTGTAAATCGTGGGTGTACAGGTCAAAGTCAAAAATAACTTGTAAATATTGTTCATTGTTAAATGTTTTGTTGAATAAATAATTGAGCCGCGCCATGACAAAACCAACATAACAAGTTTGCAACCACCATGAATCCAGACCAGCCTGCGCATCCGCGCAGTCTGATCAGGATCCATGCTGTTCGCTTACAAACCCCTTTAACAAGCAGAGAAACTGATAACGAACAGCATGGATCCTGATCAGACTGCGCGGATGCGCAGGCTGGTCTGGATCCATGCTGGTCGCAAACCCATAATGTTGGTTTTGTCGTGACACGGCTCATATGTTTAAACCAAGAACTACTTTACATTTTGCCGTAACTGTTTTAAGTTCATGTGAACAATCAAGAACCCACATGACTCACAGATAAATTGTGTATGTACCGTTAACATTCAATTGATAAAAATGAACAATATTCTTATCCTTTAGAAAGTTGTTATATTTTATCAGTAATTGGTCAATGACAATTTTCATAGTCAATCTTTTTTTAGCATATTCAGTTCAACTTGACAACGATTAACTTTGCATTATGACACTTCAAAGACGCATCATGCTTCAGAAATATTTTTTTAGTCTTTTGAAAGGCCTTACATGTGATAATGTTTTCATAATGAATTTAGAACATGCCAAATGTTGAACAGTACAAGAACATGTCAGATATTAAACAGTGCTTGCGGTCATAACAAAAATGAAGATAACGATATTTTGACTTTCATACAAAATACTAGAGCAATATAATTACACGAATTGCCAATTAAAGAGCAAACGATAGTGAACACCTAAAAATGCAAGTATTTTCTCGTGCTCGTTATGCTATTGTAGCTTTGGCAAAGGTATGCAAAAATTGAAGGTATACAAAATAGTGGTAAGTGCTAACTGTAAAATCATATGATTTAGCAAAAACAAAACTTCTTTCGTTATTTGTTACAAGATATAAGAAAACTGAGCAAAATGTTTACTAACAAAATTATCAACTGCTATTTTTATGTTTAGAATATTGTTTATACCAAAGTAAATGTACTGATAAAAAGGTTAACTAGTCACAAATAGCTCAAAATATACTTTAACCATTACCACTCTAAAAATCTTATAATAATAATTTTCAATTTTCATCTTTTTATTGAAAAAAAAAAAACAATAAAAAATAATGTACAAACTGATTAGCGAACTGTGAAGACCATGAATTTGGTCTGCACTAGTCAGATTCGCAAGAACAGGTTGAGTGTTAAATTACAAAGAGTTAACTGATACATATAAATTATTTTTTCTAAAAGCTGCACCATAAAAACCTAATGAAATGATATTGTTACTGATTTGAATTATCAAATTAATACGCAGAAAGTCCGAGCGGGGCCGAAGGCCCCGCGAGGGCTGTAGCGCTCTTAGATAACATGTATGACGCGTATCAATTCAAATGAAATCAAATTAAAAGTAAATGCAAATTTCAAAAAAATATATATCCTATACCTAATGAGCTGTGAAAAAAATCCTTAGTTAACTGGGCGCCGCCATTTTGAAATCCTTTTGAACTAAATATAGATATCACAGCGCTTTTAATGAGCGTCTACATAATTCAGAATTGCTAGCAGACGCATGCTTAATAACACTTCCCGTGAAAGAATGATGTACAAAATCAGAAAATAAACATTCATTTCATTCATAAGAACTATAGTAACGATATTAAATGTAAAAAGTTACTTTTAAATCCTTTTTGATAAATTAGCAAATTAAAAATAACGTAAAAACAACATATGTGGTTAGAGATTAACAGAAAATGTTGGACGGGATTTTTCAAACGCCGACGCATGCGCAGTGGTCCCTCTTCCGATGATAGGTTCAACACCACCAATTTATTCGTTTCTGTTAACGGTACAAAATCTGGTTAACATGTACACTAAACATGTAATGCTTTAATCATAAATCATAAGAGCTTACCGCGCCATAGGTAACACCTAATTTCATATTATGATTATTAATATTCTTCAGGGCCAAGGTGTAAAGAAAGATGTTGAAGCAGGACTTAACGAGTTACAGAAAGCAGCAAAACAGGTAAATGATGTCTCAAAATGTATATTACTTCCGTAATACGCGGAAAGTCCGAGCGGGGCCGAAGGCCCTGCGAAGGCTGTAGCACTCTTACATAACATGTATTTGGCGTATCAATTCAAATGAAATCAAATTAAAAGTAAATGAAAATTCCAAAAAAAAATATATATATCCTATACCTAAAGAGCTGTGTCAACTGGAGCTAAATATAGATAGCGCTTTTAATGAGCGTCTACATAATTCAGACTATGGCTAGCAGGCGCATGCTAAATAACACTACCGGTGAAAGAATGATGTACAAAATCAGAAAATAAACATTAATTTCATCCATAAGAACTATAGTAACGATGATAAATGCAAAACGTTACTTGATAAATCAGCACATTAAAAATAATGTAAAGACAACAGATGTGATTAGAGATTAACAAAAAATGGCAGACGGGAGTTTCCAAACGCCGATGCATGCGCAGTGGTCCCTCTTTCGATGGTAGGTTGAACACCACCAATTTATTTGTTTCTATTTACGGTACAAAATACCTGCATTAACTTATTAACGAATTGCATGATAGATCTGGTTAACATGTACACTAAACATGTTATGCTTAAATCATAAATCATAAGAGCTTTCCGCGCCATAGGTAGCACCTTATTTCATAATATTTATATCATAGCTCAAGAAGACACCAAGCTCGTAAGGAGAGTGCATTCCTTGACTAAAATTTAAAATTCTTATATGGATCAAGTGAAGCTCTTAAAATAGAAAAAATGCAAAGCATAAAGAAATATACTCAAATTAGATATCGATTTTTTGCGCAATTCTTAGTCTGATTTGAGTGAAAATCGTTGCAAGGATTTTCATTTTTTGGTCATTTTGCACTTTAAAAATGATTATTCTGTTAAAATAAGGTGAGGGAATGAATGATCTTAAATTTCCTATTATTTGTAATTGGTCCAGACCTCCATCTAAACATTTTCAGTTCCGTCATGCCAAAAAAACCCTTAGTGGAGTCCCTTGCCAGCGTTTAGATCTGTTCAATGAATATTTGACTTCGACCTTCAAATGTATTTAATTTTTACTAATATTATTATTCAGGCCGAAGGCCGGTCTGTTTTAAGTTTGACTTCCTGTAAAATTTACATGGAAGAACTGAATATAAGAAGAGTTTTCATTGGTCATTTTAAACTTACAAAATGAAATCTGGGAATCTAATTGGCCAAATAAAATTTAAAGGATTGTTCTTGTTATTCTAAGATGGTTCTTAACTAAAATGTAAATGACAGTTATTGCCATTATGAAATTAAATGTAAAGGATAGTTCTAAAGTAAAATGTACAGGATAGTTCTTTAACTTAATAGTTAAATTGCTCAGATATTTAAGTTCTGTTTAACAATACTTCTTGCACTCATTATATTTTCTAGTGAACTGTTATTTTAGGTAAAAACTTAATGAGTTTATTTTACACAAGATCTGAGTTTTACATTTTGTCCAAAATAACGAGAATAATACCAGAACGTTTCAGATACCCTTAAATAAATGTCTAATATAATTTATGATTATTGACGTGTCCAATTGATAAAATGTTTATAATTTATATATAATTTTGCATATTAATCAAGTATTTATGAAAAAAAATTGCCTTACCGATTGTGTACATGTAGATGTTAGTGTTAGAAATTGAGTTTACTCAATTTTTTTCTGGATTAATAACCCTGCAAGAAATTATTATGTCATTGTTATGCAAGCTATGCTGACATTTCTTTATGACTTTGCATGGAAAATTAATAACTAACTTATTCAGGTTAACCAGTTTTTCTTAGGCTCAAACTTTTATTGAAACGATAGATCTACCTCTTCTTTTTACATTGTTCATAGTAAAATGTATGAAGCTTAAAATGCAATATATTATCTTAATGATATAACAATAGTAAGCCTATTCATATAAAACTTTTTATCATCCCTTTTTTGTTATCATGTTCAGAATTGAAATTCAGTAAACTGACAAAAGAGGAAAATCTGCTAATAGAAAGCAATAATATTTTCCAAACTGTCATAATTATTGACTTTAATTAACATGTACAAAACATACATGTATGTTCTATAAAAACAACAACCATAAAGATCAACACTTTTGGAAGATGTTCAAATATTTACCTTTACAGAAAAATCCAGCTGCAATTAACGCTATAGGTTGGCACGCGATGAATTTTGAGCGGGACATGAAGAAAGCAGCCGAATATTATGAAAGGTCATACAGACTCGGTAACCCGGATGCAGCGTATAACCTGGGTATACTCCATTTATACGGTACTTATCCGGACAAAGAGAAGAACGCGGTAAGATAAGGTGTCGGCCTGGTGAATTTTCGCACTCTTTGTTCTATAGTAAATTAGTCTTATTTGAGGCTTACATCAACACTATCTAAGGCAAAAGAGGCCCGAAATATAATGTTAGCCATCAACTCTTTTGAGAAATCTCCATTCTGTGTTAACACTGTTTAAATTCATCACTTTGGAAACTCCTGACTACTGGTGCGTGGTACATCTTTAACCCTTCCGCCAACAAATGAGTTCCGGGAAAATACACAAAAAATAACTTTTAAAGTCATCCTATAACACACAAAAAAACTACACACATGCAATAAATACACTTCAATTATGACCGATCAGACTAGAGAAAACTTAAATTGGACCACTTCAAAAATTTAAAGAACTACCTACTACAACGGGTTCGGTCTAATTCCGTACCAGGCTGAGACCATAACTGTCATGTTCCTTTGTCTCTTCATTGCCAATTTACTTAGTTCTTGCGAAATATGATAAATTATTTTACTCGCTCCGTTTTAAACAGAAATAACACGAATTCCGGATGTTTTACCGGGAGTTTGGAAGTCATTCACTGCTTTATTTTGGCTTGTTGTTTCCAAAATGTAATGATTTTCCTTCTTTCACTATATAATTTGATTTCCAACTTTAGACATCTTGCAGGCTCTGACATTCAAATTTTGGAACTTAATTGAAGCCGTGTGAGTGAAAAAGTTAACTTTTTTATATATATAGTCTGTGAACAATAGTCTTCTCGATTAACTGGCATTTGGTTTCAACTCATTTGTATTTATTTGAATGGTATGTCACATTCTTGTTAAAATGTATTTTATTATACAGGGGTTAAATCAGTAATTTGGCAAATCAACATTATAAATGCAATTAAGTTGAAACGAAGTGCCTTTGACTGGATAACGTTATTTTTTGTGACAAAAATTAAAGGATCAAAAAGACATTGAGGTCATGTAGTTACAATCTTAAATATCAGTCAGTTACTGAATCACTCAATCAATCACTCAATCAAACACTGAATCAATAAATCACTCACTCAATCAGTCAATCACAACCTTTTTGTATTTTCTTGAGAACCGATATTAAAATGTGATTTTATTATTTTTCATCAAGGACTTGGCATTGGACTACTTTATATATGCTGCATCACGTGGACAGATAGACGCCGGGACAGCAGTTGCCTACCAGACTATCAAGGGCACGAGCAGACAACGCCGTAATGTATACACAGCTGTAGAGTAAGTTAGTTTCTCAGTCTTCTCAAAGGTCATGATGGTAATAATGATTATGGTGTTAAAGGGACTCCACTTTGGTTTTTGATTACACGGCGGGACTCGAGATTAAAAATCCATTGGATGGAAGTCAAGGGCAATAACTTGTGTCCAACATTTCAGATCATTCGCTCACCGCGTTTTTCCTGATTAACAATTCTAATTGTGAAAAATGACCAAAATTGAAAAGCGTTACTCAAATCGGGCTAAAATTAAAACAGAAGAAAGCAAATAAAAAATACAATATTCAAATCACTTCTGTGTATAATTCTTTACTATCTTTTGCATATCTTTCTTTTTTATCTTTCTTTTTCAAGTTACCAAGCTGGTCTATATAAGATTTTCAAGTTTTATGTTTTAGACTTTTGAATCTCAGTGGAGTTCCTCTAATAACGTGAATGAAACATTATTATGATGATAATGTTTATAATGATTACGATTAAAAGGTGATAAAAGTAAAGACATTTAAAGCAAAGGTTGGGAAATTAGTTGTTTCCAGCATTATGATAATGTGTAAAAGTATGAGATCATTTAAGGTCCGTTGCCCCAACGGCCATTGACGGTAGCGGGTTGCTCTACGTCACGTATTCACGCCTATCAGTTCTCGTTATTGTCACTTTAATATGTCAATGAACGGGAACTATCTTAAAAATACATACTAACTAGCACAGTATTGGAATTTAAATGAATGAAATTCGTCAACAGGAAAATTAATACTCACAAGTTGGAAGTGAAAGAAAGGTAGTCAATGACATTTGTTTTCTAAGACTGAGCAACCTTGTTATTGCCTTGGAATTTAGTTCCAGTTCCGGTTCTGGACCATATTTGATTACTCTGAGGCTAATATACGAAATAGTAGGTCCGGAAGGGTATAGTTGACTCGTTGAAGCTCTACAGCCTGATCCCTACATGACCCGGATCTTTTAATTTTGAATAATCAGATTAGTGGATTACAATAGAATTTTCACTACAAAATATTGCTCTACTAACGAGCACATGTCAATGATTGTGATTAAATCTATTTTTATACAAATTATAGGTCATCTGCTGCGTATGAATGTTTTAATATACACACAGTTTCAATTTCAATTTACAGGTGGGCTCGGTTTATCGCCGAGAAGAATCCCACGATTGGTCTTGTGCTTCGAAAAGCCCTTCAATTTTACCGGAAAGGGAAAAGGTATACTAATGTACTGAACTTCTTCTTTTTACATTTAGTTTTTAGCTCGACTATACGAAGTATATGGAGAGCTGTCCTACTCGCCCCGGCGTCGGCGTCCGCGTCCGCGTCCAGATTTTAGATTAAAGTTTTGGTGCAGTAAAATATTTTTCACTATAACTTTGTCATTTCTTAAGGTATCAACTTCAAACTTCAAATATATGTTCCTTATCATCAACCACATCTTATGTGACAATGTTCATAACTCTAGCACCAATATTTTCAGATTTATCTCCCTTTGAACTTAGAATTTTCCTTAAAAAATACTATTTTTTACTGTTACTTCTTTATTTCTTAAGGGATCAACCTCATACTTCAAATATATGTACCTTATCATCATCCCCATCTTATGTGACAAGGTTTATAACTCTAGCACCAATATTTTTAGATTCATCTCCACTTGAACTTATAATTTTCCTCAAAAAATGCTATTTCTTACTGTTTTTTCTTTATTTCTTAAGGGATCAACCTCATACTTCAAATATATTTACGTCATCCCCATCTTATGTGACAAGGTTCATAACTCTAGCACCAATATTTACAGATTTATCTCCCTTTGAACTTATAATTTTCCATAAAAAATAATATCTTAAATTTACTGTTTCTTATTTATTTCTAAGGGGATCAACTTCATACTTCAAATATATTTACAATGTACGTTATTATCATCCACATCTTATGTGACAAGGTTCATAACTCTAGCGCCAATATTGCAAGAAATATCTCCCCATAAACTTAGATTTTTTTTACTAGAAAAATGTTATTTTTTATTATAACTTTTTTATTTTTAAAGGTATCTACCTCAAACTTCAAATACTTATTCCTTATCATCAATTACATTTTATGTGACAATGTTCATAACTCTTGAAGCAATATTCACAGATTTATCTCTCTTTGAACTTAGGATTTTCTTTAAGAAATACAATAACCTCTTTACTTTTTAAGGTATCTACTTCAAACTTCAGATATATATTTCTTATCATTACACAAATGTTGTGTGACAAGGTCCATAACTCTAGCATGACTATTTCAAGAATTATTCCCCTTGATCTTGGAATTTATGTTGACAAATGTTATTTTTTTACTATAACTTAATGCATAATTATACATAATTGATTTTTCTTTCATAGTTTTGTCCTCCTTACTGCGTCCAGTATTTTATTAGTCGAACTTCGCTGTCTTTGTGACAGCTCTTGTTGTCAATATTTCTACTAAACACTTTTTTATAAAAAGAATGTTTATTTCATGCTTTCCAGTGTTTTATTGTAATATATCAGATGATTATATTCTGATACATGTAAACCACTACTGAAATTTATAAAATATAATTTCCACTGTAGCCGGACTATATCTGAATGCAGATGAAAAAAAAAATCATAAATAAATGGAATAACAGGCAGAAATAAATGCCGTCATACGTAATTTTGCTTCTTTAGGAAAAGAAAGTCGAGGTCTCCAAACATCATGTTAAATGTAACAAAATTAGAGAAATTTAACAGAACTATATTTAAAAATTGATGATGTGACGTCATGATGTGATAACGTCAAAAAGGAGAATGCGCGACGTTAAGCGGCAAAATCAGTAGAAAAATACTTAAAATCACTTAAAAAGCATGAAATAAAAAGAAAATCTATTTGGTTTACATATATGATTGAAATATATTTCATTCGTGAAAAAAAAGGCTACGCCACTCGTGAAAATATTGCATCTGATGTTCACTCAGTGAAATTATATTTCAATCTTACATGCAAAACACACAAATAAACTCTATATAATTATTCACTGCGCTACATATGAGCCGCGTCATGACAAAACCAACATAATTGGTCTGCGACCAGCATGGATCCAGACCAGCCTGCGCATCCGGGCAGTCTGATCAGGATCCATGCTGTTCGCTTACAAACCCTATAACAAGTAGAAAAACTGATAGCGAACAGCATGGATCCTGATTAGACTGCGCGGATGCGCAGGCTGGTCTGGATCCATGCTGGCCGCAAACCCATTATGTTGGTTTTGTCATATAGTAAATGCAATAACATTCTAAGGTTCGTTAAGCCCCCAAAAATGCTGTTTTAGTTATTATTTCCTTTTTTTACTTTTGGTGATTTGTTACCATTTCTGAAATGGTTATATAGTTTGACTATCATTCGCTTTTTGACCATTACATGTAAAGTCATATTGATTTACTACAAAGTATTGAGCCAAAATTTCACTTGATTTTCATTTTGCTACTTTTATGGCAAATTGTCGTTCACATTCAAGGCAACTTTCTTCACTTGATATTTGAAATACTTATAGAAAATGTTCACAATTTAGACAAATCCACTTTAACACTTAATCTGCTGGAACACCGTGATTAGTTTTTGTTACCAGTATAAAGGCAGGCCAGCCAGCATATCCGTGCAGTCTGGTCAGGCTTTTTACTGTCGGTAGCTCAATTTTACAATTTTGATATTGAAATCCCTTAAATATCGAACGGACTGTTCCAAATTTAAATCAGGGGTAACCATTACATTGATTCAACAGGTTGACATTTATATATTTCAAGAAATTGATATACTATAGTATTTTACTTTTCAGAGACATAAGTTTATTTTACTACGCTCTAGCAGCGGATGCCGGTGTTGAAGTTGGGTCATTCAACAATGCATGGTTATGTGAGGAGAATAAGGTAATAATGATAATGTAAGAGGCTATGTGGTCAAGGACTGGTGGTTATATGTTCCATTGTGAATCAGCTTTACCCCTCTATCGACCATTATTGAAATGCACGTTTGTAACAGTGATGTTATCATTATTCTGTATACAAGGCTGCAGTTTATGAATATGTTTTCCTTTGATAACAGAGGTTTTGTGTATTTAATTGAGTGTAGTGGCAAGGATTTTGTTTCCATGTTATAATGATAATAATTATATTACATGTAGTTCAATAGTCTCTTGACAGGTAATATGACCGTATATAAACGGTTGTTCGCAATATAACTATCTCGTTAAACGGCTCAGGTAATATATGCGACCAATCGTTTATATAGTGCCATATAACCTGTCAAAATCTTTATAACAAATAAAGTAATACTTTGATAACGTGGAAACAAAGTCCCTGCCACCGCATATTTATTAATTTTATGCTTACCCTGTACCATAAACAATGTTTGTTTTACACGTGTTTATAAACAACGTGCATTTTGTAACCATATATTTATTGACAGATTTCTATAAAAATTAGAGACCTCCTGTAAAGTTCTTATCCGGAACTTCGCATATGTAGCTTTAGCCAAGCCAATCCCCCGGTACAAACAAACAATCGTTTACTATAGTAGACTGCCGTTCATAATAGATTAGTCTGCTTGATGCACTTATTTTCCAAAATGTAAAAGCAATGGTAAACGTTCCAACTTGTACATTAGACAAAATAAATATACCTGCCCCAACAAACGTCCTGTTTTAAAACGAGTACGAAGTTTATTACGCAACTTATTAAGCATAAAACATAGTAAAATGTTTATAGCCACAGAAATACAAATGAATTTATACATACTATGAGAAACATAATTACTTTCCGGAAACTTTAAGGTGACAATATGCCCATCCAATGGTATATAGTAAGTCAACAGATGAAAATCAAAATAAGTTTACATTTTGTCATTATTCCTTTTAATGTTATCAGTTGCTTTGTTGCATGAATGATAAAGTACTCAGATGGCCCAAGGATGTGCATTTAAATATCCAAGGAATTTACCTGTAACATCTAATTCATAAAAAAGAGTGCAGTCGTTTTTAACTTAGGGAGATTTATATTTTATCCTGATCATATTTCAATATCAACTGTTGGTCAATCACCGTTAATAATAGTCAATCTTTTGAAATATATAGTTAATTTAGCTCCCCTTGACAAAGAAAAAATGAGCACAATGTCACTTTTATTATCATAATCAAATTGTAAATTATCATGCCATAATACTTTTATTCTTTCCAGGATGGCATCACGAGTTTTATTGAGAAAGAATGTATCTGGAGCCGATACAATATGTCTACACAACGAGAGCCACAGTTTGTTGATCCATACGGTAAATGTAAAAAAGATAATTTATTTGGCAATGAACCAATTTGTTGATCCAAGCGGTAAGTATAAAAAAAGATAATTTATTTGGCAATGAAACAATTTGTTGATTCATACGGTAAGTTACAAAATGATATTTTTTTTTTGCAATGAAACAATTTGTTGATCCATACGGTAAGTGTAAAAAGATTATGTATTTGGCAAAAACAAAATTTTGAGGATACTGTACGTGAAAACAAAGTTCAATTATTTGGCAACAAATTTTAAAATCGAAGTGCCGCTACTTCAATCCTTTTGTTTGTAAACATCTTGTCTCTAAAGGAATGGCAACAACAAAAAGTAAATAACTAGATGATGTTAATGGACTTTCTTTGTGTTTTGATACACAAAATAGGATTGTCGTATACTGACGTAGTTTTATAGGATCGGTCAATAAGGATGCTTTAAGTATGAAACAAACTACAAACTTAAAGTATTATAATAGAGCAGTGTTTAGGCCAATCAAATGCATTATTAAGAAATGCACATATAGGCCTAACACTAAAAACAACAACTTGTTTTCTTAAGCACTTTATTGATATTTCCTGCACTACATGTATATTACAGAAACATTCCAAATTCACACGACCTTATGATATACATACCCTTTTCTTCACAGAAGTAAAATTTGGTCAATGTGAGTTGTTATTTTATTTTTTTACATACATATATAACAAATAAATCAATAACAAATAAAGAAACAATGAAATTGAACATCAATATATACATGGCGATGAAAAATTCTATAGTAAAATACTAGCATAGCATTGTTACTGTTAAAATGTTTGACATTTACAACAGAAGAAGATGGCGATTGCCATTCAAGAACATCACACTGTGGCTATAAATAGAAGTCAATTAAGTGCCTTGTGAAATGCTATATGTGTTCAGAAGCGACCCAAGTTTGTTGTCAGGAATTCTGGGATGGCTACGGTATTTGCTTTCAAGTGTCATGGATCTTTGATATCTGTTGAAATTGACGCCATCATGCCGAAGATGTGGGAGCGATAGATGTCGCATCATTTTAGAATTACTGAAAGAAATAATAGGGTATCATTAGAAACTGTTTCAATGACGTAGCTAATATATGAACTCTTCAACTCTCCGAACAGACCTTATATTGTTATACCATATCAACAACAGCATCTTCAACGAATACAACTATTTGCTCCAAGTAAATAATTTGATTGCTGCTAATTAATACGTTGTGACACTCAATTTATGAGGCTTAATGTCAATGACAATTTTGTAAAGTCGCTCAATTTGGATAACTTCCCGCTCAATACCATAGCTTCAAAACCCGCATATGCGAGGGTTACAGCTAGCTTGCGAAAGGTATTATAGTAAAGCTATTCCACTAGCTTACGAAAGGTACGGTAAAGCTATAAAGCAAGCTTACGTAAGGTATGGTAAAGTTCATAACTATCTTAAGGTTTGGTAACGCTAAACAGCTACATATAACTAACGAAATGTATGGCAAAGCTTTACAGCTAGCTTACGAGCTATACAGCTAGCTTACAAAAGGTATGGCAAAGCTATACAGCTACATGTACCTCACTAAATGAATGGCAAAGCTTTTCAGGAAGCTAAGGTAATGTGCGTGATAGCTATACAGCTAGCTTATTAAAGGTATGGCTATCTCACTAAATGAATGGCAAAGCTTTTCAGGAAGCTAAGGTAAGGTACGTGAAAGCTATACAGCTAGCTTATTAAAGGTATGGCTACCTCACTAAATGAATGGCAAAGCTTTTCAGGAAGCTAAGGTAAGGTACGTGAAAGCTATACAGCTACCTTACAAAAGGTATGTGTTTTTATTTAGCTCCTCACTTACATGTGAAGTGTTGCAAAGATATGATATTCATCTATCCATCATGATGGTAACATTACTTTAAAATAATTCTAAGTTAAAAATCACAAATCATATTTAAGCAATACCTTGTCTCCGATGTTCCATACAGTAAGGCTGATGCCTCGGCAAGGATGGACCTGTTTTCAGAAATTATATCCACTGTATCCTCATTACCAACCTGGAAGAAAAATAAGAGAGAAAAAATGTATTTGATTGGCATATACGAGTTTTTCCAATTAAAATGTGCATTTCACGTGTGTAAGTGGCAAATTCCATTGAAAGGGCACACTTTTCCATTTGTAATTATACAGTTTTATACCTATATATACAGTTTTTTATAAGTAAACTATCGTTATTTGTGTCTTTTAAAATGTGATTCTTTTATTTATTGCTCTCTTTGTGCTGAAACATAACATAACTTATAGCTTTTCAAAGTTATCAACTGCTTAATTTTGGCATATTTTCTTATATCTCCCCCTATGTTCAGAGGATTCATTATGATGCTATTTTTGAACAAGATCTGTAAAAATTTCATTTTTCAACATCCTGTTAGAAGATCTTATAATAAATCAACTTTAAATTTTCTGTATAAAATGAGCCGCGTCATGACAAAACCAACATAGTGCGTTTGCGACCAGCATCCGCGCAGTCTGGTCAGGGTCTAAGCTGTTCTCTTACAAACCGTATAACAAGTAGACCCTATAACAAGTAGAGAAACTGATAGTGAACAGCATGGGATCCTGATCAGACTGCGCGGCTGTGCAGGCTGGTCTGGATCAATGCTGTCGCAAACCCATTATGTTGGTTTTGTCGTGACGCGGCTGAAATATACTTTAAGAAAAAAATGAGTACCTGTTTCACGGTATCGGGATCATACATTTTGACTGTCATAGTTGTATCAAGGTCAAGGTCAATGTTCTCCAAGGCGATACTTGCTTCACAAACTACGGTCTGTCGCTTCAAAATTCTTGACACTGTGCGGAGCTGTATATTCAGTACATAACCAATCAAATCTTCATCAGAATTCATGTAAAACGTCTTCTTAATATCAGCATTGCCGTTATTAGAACGAGTTGTCCGTGATTTTCCTTTTTGCGGTTTGCGCTTCCCCGTGAGTGTAACTTTACAGAGCATTTTTCTGTTGTTCTCCACTGAACTTTCTACAGAGTGTAAGATTATTCGTAACTGTCGTGACTTTTGGAAATGTTGCATGCTTATTGTAATTACTCCATCAGGTTTAGGTGTTTTACGCAAAACTGATGTATTCTTATTCTTTGTTGAAGCAGACGACAAACAGTTGAGGTTGAAAGACAGAGATTTTGCCATACATTCTTGGTCAAAAGAGACGCCGGCAGCCTTCTGTATATTATCCAACTTCTCGCAAAACACTGAATAATTTTTTGAAAACGTTTCTTCAAAGTCCGTCTTTGTTCTTTCATTTGGCGTTGTGTTACTGTCCGTACTAACATTTTTTGTTGACTCCTCATCATCTATTGCATCATCTTGTTTCAAATTTTCTAATTCTGTTCTCCACCAATACTTAGATGAATATTGTTCGTCTTCAAATGACTTCTGTTCATCCATTGATCCTTTGTAGTCAATACAGCAACCAGAATCTGTAGATTCTTTTTGTTGAGATACTAAACGGCCATAGGCGTTTTCATTCCCGATTGAAACTCTTTGGACAATTTCTGTGTGTACAATTTCGCTTTTTCTTCTTGACATCCTGTTATAGCACAAACTTGACGTCGATCCATCAAGGGCTCTGGCAGAAATAGACATGCTACAACTTGACGAATGAGCCGTCGTTGATTTCATTATATTTTTCACTTCTAAACTTGCATTATTTTTTTGATGAAAACCCTTTTCGATGTTAGAAAAACCATGTCTTGCGTCATCTTCAGGCCCGTTATCGTCGTTGTTAGAAGAACCATTCATCTCATCATCTTCAGGTCCGTCATTGTCTTGAAATGCTGATGACCAATATGATTTTAAGCGATTGAAGTAGGTACATTCCTCCGTCCTTAAATTTTCGAACTCTGCGCTTCTTTTCCTTTGGTAATTTTGCTTGCTGTAAAAAGACGCAATTTTGGCTCTCCGCGGCATTGTCTGCGTTCTTCGGAAAGATCTTCCAACACTTGCAATTACGTCTCCAACCCATTCTTTGGCTTTGTCTACAGATGCCCCTGGTTGTTCCATCTTCAATGTTGAATGGTATCTAATGAAGTGGTTTGAAGACTTTTTCTCTTATATAGGAAGACATGTGCTAATTGATATATCGACAATTCAATAATGGTTGAGATGTCCATACAAAAGTAGGAAGAGTGAAACATTTGTTATTCATAAGTTTTCTATCACAGGAGTGTTTAATTGTATCTTAAGTTTTATGGGAATGGTCACATAAGTTTTTTTCCGGCATGTTTTGTTTACAAGAGTGTGCTTTTACCTGTTTTCTCTTCATCATTAAAATATGTACAATAAACTTCTGATTGGAAATCGAAAATTACATGAAGAAAAAGTAATAGTTTTAAATTTAAGTAACGAATAATGTAGATTTTAATGTAATATACATTGCATTTATTGATATTTTAATGCAAAAAAATGCTGAATATTTAAGAAATAAAAGTAAAAATTTGTAGCTGCTATATAAGACTTTAGATAGGTTATTAAAAATAACAGGTTAAAAACATTACTGTGAATGAATGTTACAGTTTTATATTTGTTATATATGTTTGCTATTGAACACATGTTTGCTATTGTAACACATGGTTGTTATTGGACACATGTTCGCTGTTGTAAGACATCTTTCTTATTGAACACATTGAACACATCTTTGCTATTTAACACATGTTTGGCATTGTAAGACATATTTGCTATTGAACACATCTTTGCGATTTAACACATGTTTGCTATTGTAAGACTTCTTTGTTATTGTAACTTATGTTTGTTTTTTGACACATGTTTGCTATTGGACACACGTTTGCTATTGTAAGACAAATTTGCTATTGGACATATATTTGCTATTATAACACATTTACTTTTGAAACATATATTTGCTATTGGAACAAATTTTGTTATGGTACAAATGTTTGCTATTGAAACAATTCTTATTTTGCTTTTGTAACATATGTGGCTTTTGGGTCACAATATCTTAGATTAAGGTTTTATATTGATACTATTGTTCACTTATCAATAACAAATTGGGAGTGTTGCCCTAATGTTATGGTTATAAGAAGAATCGTATTTTACTGGTAGAATTTTTACATTTTTGTGGACATTTTATTTTTGAAAGTGACTTTAAGATGAATGCACAAGGTTTTGATACACCAAAGAAAAGATGAGTACTCACAGATCACAGAACTTCACTGCGGGCTTTAGACATTACGGCATAAGTAATATTTTTTTCAGAAATTAATGTTCTATTTAATGTACATAAAACCTAATAAATTGTGTGCAAAATTTCAGATAATTCGCTCTAGCCAGTTTTTTTTCCAGAATAATTATTTCAATTGTGTAAATGACCTTACATTGAGAGGCATCGCAACGCTTTTCTCTAAAATTGGGCTAAGAATAGTTCAAAAAGCGATTTCAATTTATTTCTTAGTATATTTCTTAATATCTATGTTCTAAGTGCCCCAGGTGATATATATTAGAAATTCACATTTGATGTCTGGAAATCTTTAAGTGGAGTTCCTTTTAACATAGTGTAGAAAGACGTAATACAATACAAATCTTTCAATAATATAAATAATCAACAATATATTATATACAATAACTTACAATGATGTATTCATGTCGACTTAATCATGGTCTGCACTTTTCGCTATTCGGTACGTACTTGTTGAGAGAAATGTTCCCCTAAAATGATGAATGGCTTAAGCCGCTTGATATTTCAAAAATTGATTTTTGCCTGATTTCAATATAAAAATTGTACTGTTAAGTAAGTACCAATATGCTGGATGCGTTGTTACGCCGCATGTTGCTCTCAGTGAATAGTTTGAATATAGCTCTCAGGTGAACTTTATACATCGACACCTTACTGCAATTGCGATGAATGCCTGGAAAGATTCACAGTTTGCCTTTACTTTGACATTTCGTCTTTCTGTTGTTGTAAAATGGTACTGTATCTATAAATGTAAAACATATGATTGATTTTATTTTTTACGTCAAGAAGGATTCCATTGCGTCAAGAAATTCGAACTTGTTAGTGTGGCGGCTTGTCGCAAAGACCTCATTTGCCGTTACATGCATGTTTTTTACGTGAACCTTCACTCGACAAGTACCACCAAACATCCGCAAGGGAGATAACCCATCGATAACAGTCAAGGGATCCTCGCAACTGAAAATGAACATGATGTGCATAAAACACTATATTAATTAATGATAAAATTCAATTTCAATATCAAAACGTGTAGCTTTACGGCCTTTCTGTGGAATTGTGTACATGATTGACAGTTTAATTGTAAGTTGTAACTAAATGCAACACATACATACATCAGTGTATCTTTAAAGGCGCATTATCCTTCAGGATCGAATAAATATTTACTTATTTAGAAAGGTCAAGCATGTGGGTTTTATTCCGTTAAGATAATTGTTTAAAAGCGTTGCTTGTTACTTGAAGAAAGTAGCGCTTAATGTGAAATTATTTATCTATAAAGTAGCAAAAGGTAAACAAAGTAGTATTTTGACTTCCACACGAAATTACAAAATCCTTTTAACTGTACCAATTGCCATAAAGCAACAGAAAAAAATGATTGTTTAGGTAAATGGCCGATGAGTAACATTTTGGAAACAAAATAAGTACACCAAAAATAAAAAGCTTTAAGGTTATAAAAATAAAAGCATTATAGGGACATGATGGACTTATAAGATGTTAAAAGTTATTTTTATGAAGATTCTAATTCTATTTATAGCACTTTTGAAAATGGGGGATTTTTACTGGTATGGCTGTGGAGGTTCAAGGGACGCGCATCAAGCCGCAAAGAACTATGTCGAGGCCGCCAAGAAAAATGATCCTCAGGTAAGATTGAACGGAGAAGAGTTTCTATATTAACTGTTTGAAACAATCCAGTGCGTTTGTTTGTTCCTTTACAGCCACAGGCGAGCTTCCGTTACTTAGAATTTGAATCGATATTATCCGTCTTCCGTCTGTTAGCAGTTTTCGTTTCCAGTCTGTATCTTTTGAAGCTGTGGGAGGAAATGAAAATACTTGGCAGCAATGCAAACTATAATGGCACAATAGGACTTTCCTCAGGTCAGGACCACACTTGATCATTGTGTATGAATTTCAAACTTTCGTGTCCGCTAAGTATCTTTTGAACAAATAGAAATAAATTAAAACTTTTGGAAGAAATATTACATATAATGAGACGATGTGCAGAAGTCAGGTTTGGGCATCGGTCCTGCCCCAGAGGTCACTTGATTTATATAGACTAATATAGGAAAATGACATCCTGAGACTTATTGTGTGAAACTACAAGTATGTGTAAGATGTCCAGAGGAGGTTGAATATTAAGCCCGTAACATCACTTTGTGGACCACAAATAGCTGGTATTAATCATGTCCCTTGAGTCAATATAGGCCCCGCCCGGGGATCACATAGTTAATTTATTCTGCAAAGGAAGACACATTCTAGTCTTATTTTGTAAAACTACCATGCCTAGAGCTTAGATATTTGACATGTAGCATTGCCTTTTTGACATCTACAAAACTGTCATTAATCATGCCCCTTGGATCAATATTAGTCCCGCCCCTGCGGTCACTTAATTGATAAAGTCTTGCACAAGACATTTCAGACTTATTTTGTGAAAACTTGAAATATTTGTCCTGTAGCATCGCCTTTTTGACCTCTTCAGATTTGATATAAATCGTAGTCCTTGGGTCAATATTGACCCAACCATTGGGGTCATAGAATTTATATTGACTTCTACAGGAAAACTTATATCAATATCCAGAGCTTAGATATTTGGTATGTAGTATTACCTCATGGACCTCTACATATTTGATATTAAGTAGAGAAAGGTATTGGAAAATACATCTTTTGTATAAATACTATGCCTTTTTATTCGGCATATAGCATTGCCAAACAGACCTCTATAAAAGCATTATGAAACATGGAACATAATTATGGTAAAAATGCGTTCACCTTGGACATAAGAAAAATTGAGATAAAACATTTTTAAGACTTATCTGTTGATTGGGTCTCTGTCCTTATTGAAATATTATTTTTGATTATTCAAACAAATTTACACTCGGGCTTATATTGCCCGCCACTGCTGTGCTCTTGTATTGAGATCATGCAATGCTTACGTGCTGTTTGGCAGCTTTTGTTTTCAAAACAAAATAAACGCGGGAGGCAGTTTTGTGAGCAATTGTTGTTCTAAGATTACAAACCGATCCTTTGGTCTGAAAATTTTGATTAATTATACTTGTGCGTCGGTTCTGACGGAGAAATCCTCACGTTGCAATAAACATTAAACCTTTGCGTTGTGTGTTTTCAAATTAACAAGAGCCATGATAACATGGCCATCCCCCGCCAAATGTGTTTGCTTATTGGAAGAATGTATATGTAGTAGAGCAGAATAATGCAATTTTAAGAGGTCTTTTGGTAATGAAAACTGATGTCTAAAGTGATTACAGATTTGAAACCTATGTGAATATTGATGGCTGAAAATAACAAAGGGCAATAACTGAAAAATATACAGGGTAGAGTTACCATTCATGTGTACTGTACTCCTCCTAAATATGATCTATCCCCTATGAAGTTTCAAGTTGATACCTCAAATACTTTTTGAGCTCCGGACAAAAATGTCGGACGGAAGGACGGAGGGAAAGACAGACGGACGAACGGAGACTAAGTTATATTTTGAGTTTCAAGTGAATACCTGATACAGTAAATACTTGATGAGTTACTGTCTAGACAAGAAATAAGCATGAAAAATAACAAAGGGCAATAACTGAAAAATAATGCACGATAGCTTTATCATTCTTGTGCGCAGCACCTTTCCTGAATGAGATCTATCATTATGGGTGTTCTTCATCCGTTATTTTGGTTCCCTGTCCAATTATATTTGGAATACGCCAGGAGGTAACCTGCACTTTTGTTTACCAAAACAGTTTTTCTGGTCTCCTGTCTCATTACGTTTTCCATTCAAATAAATATTCGGATTCCCATGTCAATTAGCATTTATACAAATTCGAAGTTTTGCGAACTTTCGTTTTCTTTGCGCATTCACAATTTTTTGATGAATAACTCATAAATTACGTAACATTTTCACTGATTACAGTATAGAATTTAGTACATTTTTTGATAAATTACAGTCAAAATAATTACATTTTTTTCGCAACTTATCCATAAAATAAAGAAAAAAAATAGGAATAGACAAGTTTTCAAGTTTCAAGTTTTTATTTTCAACTAGGCACATCTTGGCATCAGACGCCCAGTTAATATCAACTTCCGGTAAGTTCCCGTTTCACGATAACCTTTTCCCGAAATGGAATTATTAATCCCGAAATTGGATTTTAAGTGAATTTATGTTCTCTGACGGCCGCATTAAACTTAGATATCATATTAAACATGAAATGGCCGTATTTAGAAAGAAGAAAAGTGTATGGTAGTGTTGTGTGAATTGTGCGGCCTAAAGTGTACATTTCTAAGTGTACAATAATCATAAAATGTGAAGTAAAAAGTGTGCAGCCGCCGATGGGTTTAATAAATAAAGTCATAATGCCTTCCGACTTCGTATATGTTGGAACCGAGACAGGACAGGTTCGTTTAGAAACACATACATCTTAAAGTGTTCCATTTTTCAAGATTAATAACCCAACAAGAAATTATTATGTCATTGTTATGCAAGCTATGCTAACATTTTTTATGACTTTGCATGGAAAACTAAGAACTAGCATATGCAAGTTAACCAGTTTTATTTCGGTATCTTTTTAGCTCACCTGAGCACAAAGTGCTTAAGGGTGAGCTTTTGTCACCACTCTGCGTGCGTCGTGCGTCGTGCGTCCTTCAAAATATGTCGTCAAACTTTTCAAACAACATCTCCTCCTAAACCACATGGCCAATTGCAACCAAACTTTACAGAAATGATCCTTAGGTGGACCCCTTTCAAAGTTGTTCAAAAATTTAAATTCCATTAAAAACTCTGGTTGCCATGGCAACCAATAGGAAAAACTTAAAAAATCTTCTTTTAAAAAACCCTAAGAGCTAGAGCTTAGATATTTGGCATGAAACATCTTCTAATGAGTGTCTACCAAGTTTGTTCAAATAAAAGCCCTGGGGTCAAAATTGGCCCCGCCCCGGGGTCATAGATTTTCCTTATATGTGTATAGCAAAAACTTAAAAAATCTTTTTGAAAAAACCCAAATAGCTGAAGTTTAGATATTAAGCATGAAACATCTTATAGTGAGTGTCTACAAAGTTTGTTCAAATAAAAGCCCTGGGGTCAAAATTGGCCCCGCCCGGGGGTCATTGATTTTCCTTATATGTGTATAGCAAAAACTTAAAAATCTTCTTTGAAAAAAAACCTAAATAGCTAGAGTTTAGATATTAAGCATGAAACATCTTCTAGTGAGTGTCTACCAAGTTTGTTCAAATAAAAGCCCTGGGGTCAAAATTGGCCCCGCCCCAGGGTTTTTTTTATTTTCCCTATATGCACATAGTAAAAACTTTAAAATCTTCTTTTAAAGAACCCAAAGAGCTAGAGCTAAGATATTTAGCATGAAACATCTTCTAATAAGTGTCTACCAAGTTTGTTCAAATAAAAGCCCTAGGGTCAAAATTGGCCCCGCCCCAGGGGGTCATTGATTTTCCCTATATGCATATAGTAAAAACTTAAAAAAATCTTCTTTTAAAGAACTCAAAGAGCTAGAGCTAAGATATTTAGCATGAAACATTTTCTAATGGGTGTCTACCAAGTTTGTTCAAATAAAAGCCCTGGGGTCAAAATTTGCCCCGTTCCATGAGGTCATTGATTTTCCTTATATGTGTATAGCAAAAACTTTAAAAATCTTCTTTTAAAGAACTCAAAGAGCTAGAGCTAAGATATTTAGCATGAAACATGTTCTATTAAGTGTCTACCAAGTTTGTTCAAATAAAAGCCCTGGGATCAAAATTGGCCTAGTCCCAGGGGATCAAAATTGGGGTCATTGATTTTCCATATATGTGTATAGCAAAAATTTAAAAAATCTTCTTCTAAAAAACCCAAATAGCTAAAGCTTAGATATTTGGCATGAAACATCTTCTAATGAGGGCCTACCAAGTTTGTTCAAATAAAAGTCCTGGGGTCAAAATTGGCCCCGCCCCAGGGGGTCATTGATTTTCCCTATATGCATATAGTAAAAACTTAAAAAATCTTCTTTTAAGAACCCAAAGAGCTAGAGCTAAGATATTTAGCATGAAACATCTTCTGATGAGTGTCTACCAAGTTTGTTCAAATAAAAGCCCTGGGGTCAAAATTGGCCCCGCCCCAGGGGGTCATTGATTTTCCCTATATGCATATTGTAAAAACTTAAAAAATCTTCTTTTAAAGAACCCAAAGAGCTAGAGCTAAGATATTTAGCATGAAACATCTTCTAGTGAGTGTCTACCAAGCTTGTTCAAATAAAAGCCCTAGGGTCAAAATTGGCCCGCCCCAGGGGGTCATTGATTTTCCCTATATGCATATAGTAAAAACTTAAAAAATCTTCTTTTAAAGAACTCAAAGAGCTAGAGCTAAGATATTTAGCATGAAACATGTTCTAATAGGGTGTCTACCAAGTTTGTTCAAATAAAAGCCCTAGGGTGAAAATTGGCCCCGCCCCGGGGGTCATTGATTTTCCTTATATGTGTATAGCAAAAACTAAAAAAATCTTTTTTTGAAAAATTCCAAATAGCTGGATTTTAGATATTAAGCATAAAACATCTTCTAGTAAGTGTCTACAAAGTTTGTTCAAATAAAAGCCCTGGGGTCAAAACTGGCCCCGCCCCGGGTGTCATTGATTTTCCTTATATGTGTATAGCAAAAACTTAAAAATCTTCTTTGAAAAAACCCCAAATAGCTAGAGTTTAGATATTAAGCATGAAACATCTTCTAGTAAGTGTCTACAAAGTTTGTTCAAATAAAAGCCCTGGGGTCAAAACTGGCCCCGCCCCAGGGGTGTCATTGTTTTTAACTATATGTGTATAGAAAAAACTTAAAAAATCTTCTTTTAAAAAACCCAATGAGTTAGAGCTTAGATGTTTAGCATGAAACATCTTCTTATTGGTGTCTACCAAGTTTGCTCAAATAAAAGCCCCTGAATAAAAACTGGCCCTGAAGGGGGGGGGGGGGAGTAGATCATTGTTTTTCATGTGTGTGTAGTAAAAACATAACATTGTGAAACATCTTCTAATGGGTGTCTTCTTAGTTTGTTCAAATAAAAGCCCTGGGGTTTAAACTGGCCCCGCTCCGGGTGCCTTTATACAGGTGAGCGACCTCAGGGCCATCATGGCCCTCTTGTTTTAAGATACTTCTTATTTATACATGTTCTCCCTCCGATAAAAGGGATACATACAACCTTTAACGGCAACAATAATAACACATTTTTATTGAATATTTGTTAAAATTCTTATAATGTTTCATTATCATATATTACACTAAATTGACATCTCATAAACACTTACACCACAGTTTTTATCCATATCTGTTGAAATAATTTGTATTAGAAAAAAAAACTACGCAGCAGTGTAATAACGTCATCCTAATTATCTCATTCATAAATGCGCCAGGAAGACGTCAATTTAAAATGGGAAGAACACTGAATTATCGACTACTGATGTAAACACAATACAACAACAACAACAACAACAACAAAAATAGCTGTAGTGATCTTGTAGCTCAGCATGGTGAGCGTTTAGGATCGTTAAATGTTTGTCGTCCGTCCACCTTTAATCATTACCACTCTAGTGGCCACATGTTTGCCTCAATCATCATCAAACTTTGTCAGGATGCTTGTCTAGGCATTTGTTCGGATGAATTCGAACAAGAGTCATCTCGGATGCAAACCCAGGTCACATGAGCTAAAAATAGGAAAAATCTTGTTAACACTCTAGTGGCTACTGTTTTGATCCAAATATCCTGGAATTTAGTATGCAAGTTTATTTTTATGATTGTTAGGTCAAGTTTCAATATGGGTCAACTGGGGTCAAAAACTAGGTCACACCGGCCAAATATGGAAAAACTCTGTTAAAACTCTAGTGGTTACATTTTTGACCCAATTGTCGTCAACTTGATCAGGATGCTTTTGTAGATAATTGCTGAGATAAATTCGAACATTGGTCATCTCAGATAAAAAATCTAGGTCACAGGAGCTAAAAACAGAAAAATTTTGTTAACACACACTGGTGGCTACTGTTTTAATCCAAATATCTTGGAAATTGGTCTGAAAGTTTGTTTTGATGATTTCTAGGTCAAATTCGAATATGGATCATCTGGGGTCAAAAATTAGGTCACACCGCCCAAATATCAAAAAAAAACTTGTTACCATTCTAGTGGTCACATGTCATCAAACTTTGTCAGGATGCTTTTCTAGGTAATTGATCGGATGAGTTCGAACATTGGTCATCTCGGATGAAAAACTAGATCACCGGAAAACTCTTGTTAACACTTAAGTGGCTACTGTTGTTTTCCATATAACCTTAAAATTAGTCTGAAAGTTTGTTTTGATGATTTCTAGGTCAAGTTCAAATTTGGGTCACCTGAGTTTAAAAACTAGGTCACACCGCCCAACTATGAAAAAACCTTATTAACATTCTAGTGGTCACATTTTTAACGCAATTGTCATCAAACTTTGTCAGGATGCTAGTCTAGGTAATTGGTTGGATGAGTTCGAACATGGGTCATTTGAAATGAAAAACTTTGTTACAGGAGCTAAAAATAGAAAAATCTTGTTAACAATCTAGTGGCTACTGTTTAATCAAAATATCCTGGGAATTGATCTGAAAGTTTTTTTTTAATGATTTCTAGGTCAAGTTCGAATATGGGTCACCTCGGGTCAAAAACTCGGTCACAACGTCCAAATATGGAAAAACTTTATAAACACTGTAGTGGTCACATTTTTAACCGAATTGTCATCAAACCTTGTCAGGATGCTTGTCTAGGTAATTGCTTGGAGGTGTTTGAAAATGGGTCATTTGGAATGAAAAACTTGTTAACAATCTAGTGGCTACTGTTTTGATGAATTGATCTGAAAGTTTGTTTTGATGATTTCTAGGTCAAGTTCGAATATGGGTCACCTGGGGTCAAAAACTAGGTCACAACGTCCAAACATGGAAAACCTTTTTAACACTCTTGTGGTCACATTTTTGACTCAATTGTCATCGAACTTGGTCAGGATGCTTGTCTAGGTAATAGCTCGGATGATTTTGATGGGTCAGGTGAGCGATCTAAGGTCATCTTGGCCCTCTTGTTATCTAGTTAGAATGGAAATAACATCGGTCTGAGCTGTACTATTGGCTATTTAACACGGGTTTTGTCGCTTTGATACGAACAAAATAAACCACTCAGGTCTACGGCCTTGGTGGTCAATTACTACGCATTAAACCTCGGTGTTAAATGCTGAATCCGACCTTATTTCTGAACTAGTAAACTTAATGTTTCGATAAGAAGCGAATGATGCCGTTACAGCCGCAAATTGCCTTATTTCCTGCAAGTGCCCTTGTTGTCTGTTTCAGTTACATTCGTTTCTGTTTTTCAGGCTTTGTTTAACTTGGCATTTATGGTTGAAGAAGGTGCTGATGTTCCGACAGAACATTTTAGAGCCTTGCATGTTCCTAACAATATAATATCAAACAATATAACTTTGCTGGAACACTTATATACAAGGTATGTACATATATGGTTATATTGCCAGTCCTCATTCATACTTGCTAAAAATAACACTATTTTCAGTTGATTAAATAGGACAAAGAAAAAAACCCAGTTCAAATCATAATTTGGAAATATATATGTTCTTTATTATTTACTTATAAAAGCAATATTGAGAAATATCAATAAAATGAAAATGTGTACTTTCATTTTCTGTGTTTTCACTGTAAAAAATTATTTTTCACTGCAGTGAATCATATTTTCCATATTTACACCGGTGTCTTGCCGGACTTCTTCTTTTTGATAATTAACAAAAAGTAGACCGGGAATACACCAGTGTATTGTCTGAATTAAGTTAATTCAGACAATACACAAGCATAAAGGAGAAGTCCTGAGAATTGTCAAGTCCAAAAAAGAAAAAAGTATATAATAAACAGAAAATTCAAGTTTTTTTTTTTAAAAAAGTACAAAAAGTTATTTTCATCTGGTTATATGAAAATTATATTACACTCTCGATTCTTGTGAGGAATGAAAAATAAAAGCATTTCTGAGGTTAAATTGGCCTTTAATATGTAAATGTGTACATACGCCAGAAACAACGAAATTTTTCACGAACATTCTCGTAATAATAAATATTTTGTTAACAGATGCAAGGACTCGAAGAAATCGGAAGCGTATATGCCGTGCTCGTTGGCACTGTGGAGAATACAGATGCTGGCTTTCTGGATTAAGTACGAGACCGTCATAAAGGTATAAACTTTTTAAATGTAAAATATGTCATATTTAGAACAATTTGTATCTCTTCCTTTCTGTTGCAATATAATATATGCGTTTATGCGTAAATAAAAAAGTACAAAAATAATGAAAGAGATAACTTTTATGCATATAGATTTACCCTTGTCCGTCTGTCCGACTGTACATGTTGTACTTTGATGAAAATTCATTGGATCTCGACATAGTAATCCCTCCCCCTTTCCCCCGAACAAACAAGCCTGAGCATTTATACCTAAGGTGTGTGAATCAAATTTTGTTAATCACGTCTGTGTTTCGTCAGACTGTACATACATGATTTGTAGTAAAAGGCTCACATATGTTATTTTATTATATTCTCTCTTTTAGCTAACGAGTTTCACTGGAATCGCTGCTATGACTGCATTGTCAATATACGTAATATTACGAACACAGATACGTGCACACTATGACGAAACAGACAGCATTTAACGCAAGTCTTGTCACAAACTATAGACACAAACTTCCATAGCTACACCTTGTGAATATAACGCGAGTCCACCGTGATGATAAAATAAATATGATTTCTTGGAAAACGTAGCCACGACGCTAATTGGCTGATATCTTTCAACATAATTAATCTATGGCTAAATTATTACCATTATTATGAAAGATACGTATTTGAATATAATGATTACACGCAAGACGTGTTTTGTGATAATATTGATAATATACATAGTGTATGACGTGTACGGTTAATAACACAATTAGTTAGTTCATAACATTTTAGTTGGTAAATGTCACGAAAATACATGTTTAGTAATCATCATATTGCATCAAGTGTGTAACATCTGTTTACATTGGACTAACTATCTTGATTGTTGCCATTTCAAAGCAAGTGTTCAATATAAGATTCAATATAAGATTCGTTAGAAAGCTTTTTAAAAGATTATTTTACTTTGTATAAACATTTGTTTATTATGTACCATCATCTAAAACGTAACAGAACTGTTCTGTTCTGTTCTGTTCTAAAACGTATGGTGACTGATTTGCGTCCTGCTGTATTTTTGCTCTGCGGATTACAAGTTGACTTTCGTATTTTTCGTGATTTCGTCCGACGTTCCGTGGATCAAAAATACAACATAGCGCAAATCAGCCACCATAATCGCGTTTGTAGAAATGATTATTATCCATATATTGTAAATTAAAAAAAGGATTTAATATAAGATAGCAGTTGTCGATAATATGATATCTTTGAAAATATTCTGATAACAGTTATATAACCGTGCATCGACGGATGTTTGCTTCATAGCGGCTCGGGTTATATAAGCATTTAACATTTGATACTGTTGGTTATAGACATATAGGAGAATATAGCCAAAGTAAGATCTAAAATATCCTAGGCCATAGCCGAGGGTTATATAAGCATTTCAAGACTACATTCAAACTATTTACAGATGTTATAAAATTTCAAATTCTTTTTATTCAATCACTGTATTATTCGCATGTTTAAGTAGTTTTTACGGAAATTCACGAATATAGTGCATGCGCAAAGATATTTTTCAGTGAACATTTGATTCTTACGTTTAGATTCTTTTACTTTATGACAGCCTTGTCGAAGACATGCTTGGCATCGGAAACTAATACATATTCTTCTTAAGCTAAGACACACATGAGTTTTTTAAATGTTTAAAAAATGATTTAAGTGGATGCATGTGGGCTTATCATCTGAAAAAATAACGCTTAGTGTGAAATTGTTGGTCATTAAAGTGGCAAAATGTAAGCAAAGTAGTATTTTGACTTCTGTACAAAATACTAAATCACAATAACTTTATTAATAGCCGAATAGAAACAAAAGTGTATATACAAGAAACCAAAACAAAAAAAAATACTTTTGAGAAAAAATGAAGCATTTCTGGAGCAAAATAGGTATTTTATCAAATTATTATTATTAGTGTCTGCCATTTTGTTAATTATTAAATGTACTATTCATGTACCTACAAATGAAAGCAGGGCGCATGAATTTATAGGAATTAAGTTTAGAACATATATCTAAATACGACAACCAATGAAAATTCGAGAATTTTTTTGCATTATTATAGTTGGCCATATAACGTGTCATTATGCATAGTACAATCAATAAAACATTTTTTATTATATCATCATAGTATAAAACAGCTTTTCATTTGTTAAGGTGCTGAAATCACATCATATTATATATCTCTAAATCAGTAAATGCAATGAGTTAATTATAAAGTTGTTATATTTTATTAATGATTTGCCCATTGTCCAGCAACTGCTCATTCTAGTGGAATTTTGATTTATGTATCTGAAAATTTACTTTCAAGTAGAAGAGTAGAGTATGAAATGCATTCTGTGGACGCAATATGTTTAGAAATTAAGTTTCGTGCAATTTCCGTTTTACTTTATTGTGTATATAGAATCCCAGTAAACCCGTAGCTTTCTGGAATGATTTTGGAATAATGATTGACAATGCTTTAGATAAATATGAAAACATAGCAATTGTAGGTGACATTAATGAGAATCAAATAATAGACAATACCTATCTTAAACAAATCATGCTTTTATACAATCTTACAAATGTTATTTCGTCACCAACTAGATTAACAAACTCAACATCTACACTTATAGACCCTATACTCATATCTGATGGTTTAATATGTTTACATAGTGACGTGTTACCAGTTCCTTCTAACATTAGCGACCATAAAGCAACAAATATATTTTTAAAATCTCCTTTAAGATGTCATAAAACAATAAAAAGAAAAGTCTGGTTATACAATAAAGCTGATTTTAATAGTTTAAATAACTGTATATCAAATACAAATTGGAATTTTATTAATAATATGAATATTGACGATGGTGCTGTTTTATTTACAGAAAAGTTAATCGAAATTACGGAGAAATTTATTCCACATAAAGAAGTAACAATTCGGCCGTATGATAAACCATGGTACGACTCTAAAATTAGATTATATTCAAGAAAAAGGGATAGACAAAAATCAATAGCAATTTCTACAAAAAATACTTACCATTGGACAATGTATAAACATTTAAGGAACAAAGTAAACAATCTAAAGAAAAAACCCAAAGAAAAATGCCAAAGAAAAGTTTTATTCTAATTTAGAGAACACTTTAATAGAAACAAATGCAAATAATCCTAAACAATATTGGAAGTTAATACACCAGTTCATAAAAACAGAAAGATATTCAGAAATTATTCCGCCTTTGAAGACTACAAATAACGATGGAACAGAATCATTATATTTCTCAGACTTAGAGAAGGCAATTTGCTTAAACCAATAGTTTGCGTCCATTTCTCATTTAAACGATACGGACAAGACCCTTCCCACTTTAGATGATTACACGCATTCTATTATTTCTGAAATAGCTATAACCGAAAATGAAATAATTGATATTATAAGGAATTTAGATATTAATTAAGCAGTCGGTGAAGATCTTATTAGTCAAAAATTGCTCAAAAATATATGTAGTACTGTGTGTAAACCCCTATGTTTATTACTAAATAGGTCACTAGCAGAGTGTATATTTCCTTCCATATGGAAATCAGCTATTGTAATGCCTCTTTGGTGATACAAATTTAACTTCAAATTATCGTCCGATTTCATTATTAAGTTGTATAGGAAAATTAATGGAGAGAATTGTTTATAAACATATATACAATCATTTAATAGCCAATAATTTGATTTATTCAAAACAGTCAGGGTTCCTTCAAGGTCATTCAACGATTTTTAAATTATTAGATATATATCACAAATAGTTAAATCTTTAGATGATAGAACATTTACTTGTGTAGTGTTTTGTGACATATCTAAAGCGTTTGACAGAGTATGGCACAAGGGTTTACTTCTGAAACTTCAGAAAAATGGTATCAAAGGTAACTTGTTGAAATGGATTGAAAGTTATCTACTTAATAGACGTCAAAAGGTCTTTGTAGGGTCTTCTTTATCACAACCACTGACTGTAAACGCAGGGGTCCCCCAAGGCTCGGTGCTTGGGCCATTTTTCTTCCTTGTTTACGTTAATGATATTGTAGAAAATTTGCAATGTATAACTCGTTTATTTGCAGACGACACCTCTTTGTCTTGTACAACATCATCAATATTCGATCTAGAAGGAATTATTAATCATGATTTAGCTTTGATAAACTTATGGTCTAAAAATGGCTTGTAGATTTTAATCCTAACAAAACAGAAGCGATTCTTTTTACTTTACAATCCAACGTTAACAATCCAAAATTACAATTTGATGGCATACCGGTAAAATTTGTTGAAAGTCATAAACATTTAGGCTTAACTTTTAGTTCTAATGGAAAATGGCACGATCATATTAAAAGTATAACATTATCGGCTTCTAAATTACTAGGTACAATGAGAAAACTGAAATATTCCCTAAATAGGGAAACCCTAAACCAAATTTATATTTCATTTCTTAGACCTCTTTTAGAATATGCTTCTGTAGTCTGGGATGGGTGTACACATTATGAAAAAGATACGTTAGATATAATACAGCATGAGGCAGCCAGAATCGTAAGCGGCCTAACCCGTTCAGTTTCTCTCCAAAATTTATATAAAGAAATTAATTGGCTCTCACCATCTGATAGAAGAACGTACCAAAAACTTATTTTAACATATAGAATTCATAATGGAGACGTTCCTGATTATTTAAGTAATATTTTTCCAGAAAGAGTTCATAATACAACACCATACAATCTTAGAAACTCAGAAGACTTTGCAACTTTAAACAGACGGACTCATATATTTCCTTCTTCTTTTGTGCCTTCGTCCGTAATGCTATGGAACAACTTGCAACCTGAAACAAGATCTGTAGAAACTCTGTCACATTTTAAATCTCTATTAAAGAAATCAACCTTTCGATCTACAGACACTCCAAATGGTACCTTACAGGTGAAAGAAAACTCTCAGTTTTACACTGCAGACTGAGAAATGCATGCAGTAACTTAAATTTCCACTTATTCTGCAATCATTTGTCACAGGATGCAAATTGTTCATGCGGTTATGAGATAGAAGATGTTAACCATTTTTTGTTTACTTGTCCGAAATATCGGAATGAGAGAATTGATCTTTTTAACGAATTAAAGCAATTTCACCCTTTAAATGTCCAATTACTTTTAGTTGGTAACAAAGAGTTGTCTTTAGAAAATAATAATAAAATATTTTTGACTGTTCAGCATTTCATAAAAGTAAGCAAACGCTTTTGATTTTGAAATCAAACCAGCACAATCCCAATAAATATTAATGTATTTTTCTTTCATTTTTGCAAAACAACAGACAAGATTCTTTCCTTTCTTCCTCTATTTCTTTCCTTCTATATTTCATTTTCTCAAAATCTATTTTTGTTTTTGTTATATTCGGCAAATGTACATGTTTTCTAAGTCATTGTACCGCAAATATATAAAAATCAGTTAACATCGTTAAATACCATTCAAGCTAGAGAACATGTACACTTAATCATTTTTATTGTTCTTTCTTACCTAAAATCATTTTTAAAGCCAAGTACTATATATGTGTGAGTTTTGTTACTTCTATCTAACTGATAGTCATTCTTGAAAAATAATTTATTGTAATTTATTGCATCAGGGAAGACCCGTTGCTAATGTTGAGAGAACTTGTGGGTCAACCCTTTTGCCAAATATGTCAGGTCATTGTATTGTAACTGTCTACATGTATGTATATGTCTTATTTTTGGCAATAAAATATGTTTAAATCAATGTCCAGCATTGTTTTATTTTGTGTGTATATACTTACATGTATATAGACAAAAATGACCGGTTCCGAAACTACTTTTTCTTATTATGCAGTCCAATAATAAGCAAGTTCGAAACGACGTTCTTTTAATTCTTGTGCATGCCAAAAAGGACCGGTTCCGAAACAAAGTATTTCTTAGTATTCAACAGTCTTACAACCTTGTGGTATGAATGTAATAAAATGGCGTATGACAAAAAAAACGCGCTTAAGAGCACGTTGTTACAGGAATTGATGTCATGTACAGTTAGCCATTGTAAAATGAACGCAACATACAAACAGAAAAAAAACACGGAATGATCATGTTGACTTAATTAGTTTGGAGGATCTTCTTCATAGCAATATAAGGTTTAAAGCTGTAACGCGAGAAAATTAAGGCCCCATTAAATGGTCGCCTTTTGGACTCGCAATTATTTCTAAGAAATTTTGTTTACTAACCCTCCAATTTTCTAGAAGTTTCCCCATTAGTATGGAAGGTCTTCTTTGCACAATATAAGGCCCAAAATCCTAACGCAAGCAACATGTCCGGGAGATTTCCGGGTGGCATGATCGTTTTTTTTTTTGAACCGGCGATTTATTCTTTCTGTAAATAAAGTGTATAAATTTTCGTAAAAAAAAAACAAGAAAAAAGCCGAACATATTCCCGAGCCAATCGTTAAAACAACACGTGTTTGATTCCACTGCAGACTCGAATTCATTTTTGTATTAGTTTTGGAGGGTCTTCTATGCACAATGTGGCTTCAAACAAAATGTCCGGGAGATTTCCACGTGATAAGAAATACAGTAAAGCTCACAACCCACTATGATAAGCCTATTTAATAGGTTTACTCGCAAAACTTAAAGCCCAGTGATAGCCTCAAGGAATACAGTAAGATTCACACAACTTTGGAGATAAGCATATCGAGTGTGTCTAGTTGTAACTAAAAGCCAGGTGATAACGTCAAGAAATACAGTAAAGCTGCTCACAAAACCCCCGGTGATAGGCCTATCAAGTAGGTCTAGTCCTGGGACAGCCTGATGGGATACAGTAAAACTCACTCACACGGCCCTCGGTGACAGGCTTATCTAGTTGTCAAGTCCCAACTAAAAGCCGGGTGATAGCCTCAAGGAATACAGTAAAGCTTACATAATCCACAGTGATAAGCCTATCTAGTAAGTCTTATAGCAACTAAAGTCCAGGTCATAGCCTCAAAGAATACAGTAAAACTCACACAACACCGGGTAATAGGCCTATCTAGTAGGTCTTAGCAACATGAAGCCCAATGATAGCCTGAAGGAAAACAGTTAAACAACCCAAGGTGATAGGCCTATCTAGTAGGTTATGTTTAAACTAAAAGCTTGGTGATAACCTAAAGGAATACAGCAAAGCTCACAAAAGGCTCAAAAGTCAAGGTAACATTGCCCTTAGATGTCAAAATGGTTTCCAACCAATGACTCAACAACCAACAATCCCTAAGTCCTCAAACTTCACAGGTGCATTGGTTTTTGTTATTAGTTTACCCCTATTAATTTTTGGGTCGCATGGTCAAAGGTCAAAGTTAAAGGTTACACTGAACTTGTATGACAAATAACTTCACAACCCATTGGCCCTTGGCCCTTAAACTGTTTTTGACCTATAACTTGACAACATTGCGTGTACCTTCCGACATGCTTACGAGGGGAACATGCTTGTTTTACAAACATCTCTTTTTTATTCGAAAGAATACTACCCTGATCGGGCTTATTTATAGACATAATGCTCAGTTTTGTTCGTCAACAAAAGATCAAGATTATACGCCGGGGACATATAATATAAAATATAGTTTGTCTTAGTTAAAATTTATAAAATTTGCGTTATAATTTAGATGTTATTCAGTCTGATATGATACTGTAAAAAACAACATGAACTAGTATATACTAGATTCGATCTGTTCATGGATATGTAAATATTTCATATTCAATCATATGTGGGTATGTTATTGTTACTAATCATACTTTCCTATCGCCTTCGTGTATTGCTCAACAACGACCAGCTTGTGATAAAATTAATTCACGATATTATTATAGTTTCTATGTTAATAATATACAAAAAAAACAACAATTTTCCTATGTGATAATCAAAATATGAACCACTTTAATACATTTACTGAAAAGTGGGGAAATGTAAACCTTTGTACCTTTATTTCCTGTGCCTACCCGGAAGTTTTATGCAGGCTTTAAAGCGACATGCCTCCAGTTTAAAAAAGATAAATCATTAAAAAATCAGAATGATAATATCTAAAGTTTACAGACAGTATAATTATTTACACTTCAAGTGCATAATAATTATATGTAATTTGCCAAATTACAACAAAGATTACTTATTTTATACAAATTTTAATCCATTACTACTGGAGTTAAAGCAACTGCTGCATTATTTGACAAGTCATAAGTAATTTTTGATAATATGTGTCTCAGGCTTGATTAAATCAATTAATTTGTTGTCTTGACAACAGTATTAGTAAATTTTCGTCGTCGTCAACAACAACAACAACAACAACAACAACAACAACAACATTTATTAAGCATTAAACACCTGAAAGGTGAATATAGCCAATGATTACAATTATTTACTGATGTGAACTTGAAATGAAGGTATACAAAAGACAAAACACAATAATTTTAAATTATACAATAATTTTTAATGAACACAAATCTGAGGCCGTGTCGCTATCAACATTCAATATCGTACACTAATAACGGGATTAAATTTGCGCTTTACTATTTTAAGTTAGTGTATTTTTTCATGAATCTTTATTATCTTTACTTATTATGGTAGTCATTTCGCCATAGGTCATGGGTTTGTGAATTCATTTTGATTCACTGAAGATAAAATCATGTTTTAATGTATCCCGTAATGTCACCGATATTTTATTTTCCCAATCCTAAAATATATTCGTCATGACCCAAGGAAATGATTAAATGAATATTATTATATATGAGCCGTGTCACGACAAAACCAACATAATGGTTTTGCGACCAGCATGGATCCAGACCAGCCTGCGCATCCGCGCAGTCTGATCAGGATTCATGCTGTTCGTTTACTAACGCTTTAAAAAGTAGAGGAACTGATAGCGAACAGCATGGGTTCTGACCAGACTGCGCGGATGCGCAGGCTGGTCTGGATCCATGCTGGTCGCAAACCCATTATGTTGGTTTTGTCATGACGCGGCTCATATTCAGATGAATGTTGCGTTAAAGGTGATTTTTTTTTACGAAATCAATATTTTCGTAGCTGGGTTTGGATACAGAGTGGAAAATAGATAAATAAATAAATAAATAAGAAAATATTCTGAAATTGATAAATAAGAGAATATTCTGAAATTTGTTAAGAGAATATTCTGAAATTAATAAAGAAGAGAATATTTTGAGAGACCATGATTCGCGTATTCGTTATTGTGGTATTCCTTCTCCATTTGAATGGATTAAAAGGTAAGTGGAGCCAATAATTACATGTATGTATACCGTTTTTTAATTCATGTCAATTTATGTCAAACGATAGGCTAAATCTAATTTAAAAATGTTTTTGTCACAATGTTACATTTTAATCATTTATCACAAAAATGAAAACAGATACAGTTGTAGATAAAACAAGAATGTTGCCAACCAATAAAACTACTCTACCGGAATTAAAGGGCATTGTCACACTAAATAGAACTAACTTTTAAACTATAAACAACAAGTTAGCTGAAATCAATATATTGTTGTTAATAATAAATATGAGTATGTTTAATAAAAAATATAATCAAGAACTAAAATATATTACAAATGGATGTAATTTTATACCGTAAACAAATAAATATGTCGGTCTTTCAATACAGACAACAAACTGCTGTTTGATCACTAAGACTTAAATACAGGTTTTTACAAGTTAAAAGTAACTGGAAGAAAACAATCTAAAGAATGACAAATTTTCAATATATTCTAAATGTATTTTAAAATGAGTACAATTTGTTTTTCAATATAAGGGGGAGAGTTACGGAACCTATTGTATACACTAAAGTCTTATCATTAATAAAGTTTTATAGCGTCATTCAGATGCGTCGATAGGTTCCAGAAATATTCAAGACAATGTAGATTTTAGGGAAACTTTCAAATTATATTAAGAATTTACCGAAAAGCGAACAATGCAGAGCATGATCACATGGCACAGAGCATGATCACATGGCACAGAGCATGATCACATGACACGAACGTGCCGGCTTATCTTGGTCTCCATTGGTAGAATCAGTTGCCGCTAGCAAGCTAAGGGTTAATAGATAATCTGAGATTAATAAAACAGTAAAACAAGTGTTTATATCTATTTATTTGTAATAATAAGTATCCAGTAGCATGTGTTTATATGGCTTGATGTGAGTTCTTATTCCATATAACTGTGGCGGAGTGGTTACTGTCGCCGACTTCAAATCACTCGTCGCACACGGCTGTAAGTCCGAATGTGAAGAAGCTAACAAGTAAACTTAAGGAAGGTCGGTGGTTCTACTCAGGTGCCCACTCGTGACTGAAAAAAATGCACGGAAATGCACCCGAAGTATTCATTCACATTAAAGCTAGAAAATTACCACATGATTAATAACGTGTCGTTGTGACTCTTGATCCAACTAACAAATAATTTAAAAATCAAGAAAATATTACGCATGAAGTCTCTTATGGACGAGCAAGAGAATAATTATTGGAGATATAAGATTAAATTATTCATGTGTTATCGCGTTATGTTTGTTTTTATTTTTATCTTATTTAGAAGACTATTTATTTATCGTTTTTCATTATTCATTAGAAGGATATTTAGAATAATGATGAAAAGAATTTTATTTCATTTCGTTAATCCAATTTGAAGATGAATACATGAGGCGCGTCACGACAAAACCAACATAATGTGTTTGCGACCAGCATGGATCCAGACTGGCCTGCGCATCCACGCAGTCTGATCAGGATCGATGCTGTTCGCTTACCAACCATATAACATGTAGAGAAACTGATAGCGAACAGCATGGATCCTGATCAGACTGCGCGGATGCGCAGGCTGGTCTGGATCCATGCTGGTCGCAAACGCACTATGTTGGTTTTGTCATGACGCGTCTCAAATGTTCCTGAATGCATTTACAGGTGATATGACGTATATACTTGGCAACGAAACTGCTACATGGAGAATGGCATCAACTGAGTGCACGTTAGCCACGCCCAGGATCAACTTCATTGGCGGAGAGATGATTGCGGAGGTATCAAATGCACCAATCAGAATGCGAGAAGGAGATGAGGCCTGGGTGGGGTATAGTTTAGAGCCTGTTATTCTACAATCCGTAGGTATGAGAATGATAAAAGTTTGCAAAAACAATTATGTTTAGTTTTAGCAAAATAAATGTGTCCTTTATATTTATTTTAATAGCTCAATCTTTCGAATATGATATGATTTTTACAAAACAAAATGCGGTACATAATTATGTCAAAAAGTCTGACAATACTGGCTAGTGCAATGACACTTCATTCACCCATTGAGATGTAAACATGTTGATAAGTATTTTTTAAGTTACGTCCTTCCTAAGGGTATTGAATAATCTTTATTGTAATGAGAAATTGTCACGACTGATCGGCCATAAACACTACAAATTCCCTTAAAGCTGTTGAATTATGCAAAACGTATGTTGGCTGTATTATAAAATATTTCTATTTACATAAAATAACGAAATGGAAACATAACATTTGCTTTTACTGTGTTATTATCATTTTGTTTATCAGTTAAAGTGTTGGTTTCTACGACGGTTTAATACAAATAGGTCATTATTGATTACTTTTTTTTTATCATAAATCATAATATTATAGTGAATGTTGGTGGTTCTACTCAGGTGCGCGCTCATGCCTAACATTATGTACGGAGGGGCAACTGAGATATTCATTAACCAGTAAAGCTGGAGCATTGTCAACATAAGACATTCACAGTGCTGTTGCGACGTAAAACCAAGGACAAAAAATAACTCGCGTAAAACCCAACAAAATAATCATAACGAATAACATCGATATTCAATACAAGGTGCAAGTGTTAGAGCATGTCCTATATAATTATCATCATACATGTAAGGAGTCGTATTTAATTGTCGTGCATGCTTTTTGAAATAAAACAAAAACAATTATATTTCCTATATAAATTGCTTGGCAATATTGACATGAGACTTATGTTTTTTCCGTAAGTTCCCGTAATTGACTTTTATTTATTTATGCACCGGTTTTTAATGATAAAATAGTTCTTGATGACGGTCCGGTGCCAGATTAGAAAGAACTGTGGAATTGTAATTGAGACGTTGCAAAACTAGACTCCTCGGCCAAGCATTCTTTTTTATTTAAGATTTTATTTTATTTTCTTGAAATAACATGTACATATGCATGTACCTAACACCTTGTCATTGATTTAAGTGTTATGCTAGTAGTTTTAAGTTATATGTACATATTAAAGTACCACTGTACCATATACATGTATTAATATCCATATAATTTACTTCGGAATTGGATTATTTCCGATTTAAAGGGTCATTGAATCCTCAAATATCCCGGGTTCATATTGCCAAACAATTCCAACACTTCTATCACATATATTTGATGTAGTCAATTTTTCATAAGATACTTTTCACTGAAAAATAAAACGCTTGCCGCCCATGAAAAAATCCATCCAATCACCGTCAAGCCAAATGTCATGTGATAGTCATATTCGTGCTTATGGAGCGTCCATGCATAATAGGCAAAGGCAATGAAAAGGGAAACACCTGAAATAAACGAATGTCTAACTAATTGACATAAATCATTTAAAAAAGATTTCGTCTAACTGAAGCCATGTAAACTTTTCAAAATACATTTTCAACCGTGTTTTAATAAGTAGGTAGATAGTATGCTGTGAAAAGAGATGTAATTGTATTGTACAAATAAAAACCCTGCTTATACGTGCACCTTACCAAAATTTGTAACATTTGCAGAAATCAAACATTTCGGTCCTTTTGGATTAGGACTTTATTCTGGTGATCAGTGAGGCGTTTCAAATGCAGTTGAAAGGTCCGACCCATGACAACGTATGATATATAACAAGGTCTAGATTTCGCAGATGTTAATGTTTGATATGAAAAAAAAAATGTCTGATTAATCTTGAAAGAAAAGTAACACCCTTTATCGTAGAGAATACTGTGCTTTCTTTTTCTAAAAATCATCGGATATACACGGTGAATAATAAGTAGACTGAATTATGCATAAGAGCCCACACGCGAGACTGTTTCCGAATAAACGCTTGTGGAAGTGTTTATAGCTATTGTTAAATTCAAATTTGCTTCAAAACTTCAATTCGAAATGAGATTAAAACTTTACAAACATTTTTCTAAAATGTCCCTGAGGAAAAGGACTCGTCAAAGTTTGACGAATAATTACAAGTTCAAATCATATACATGTTAGATATCCTAACTGTTTTTGAACATGAAATAACACCGTAAACATGTTTTACCAATTAACAAGGTATAAATTAATAAATTTAATGCATCTGTAGTTTGAAAATGGTACAAGTCTTTAATGAAAACAAGAATGTCAAAATGTCACATAGGCCCCCCTCGCTTGTACCTTTAATGGGAAGTAAGAGTAAGTGACAATTATGAAAGTCACAGAGAAAATGATTATGTAAGGTTTTCTTTTATGAATGATAAAAAAGTACACACTTATATTTTAAAAATAGTAGGTTTACAACACCTGTATAGTCATTTCTAATGCTATATGGTACAAAACAAGGTGAATATGACCTTGACCTTTAGACCCCTGCTCCCAAAATCTATAAGTGTCATTTTTTGGCCGAGGCCAATGCAGCTGTAAAGTTGAGGGCCAATGATCAACGGGTTGATGAGTTATTGGTCGGAAACCGTTTTTACAGACAAGGCAATTTGATTTGACCTCACAGCCCTTGACCTCAAAATCAATTGTGGTCATTTACTGGCCAAGACCAATGCACATGTGAAGTTTTAGGGCAAAGGTCCCATTGGTCGTCGACTTATAAAAAATTCTTTGATGTAGAATGTCAAATTTGCAAAAATAGGGTCTTTGATCTACAGTATTTGATTTGCGTTTTGAAACTTCGACCATGAATGCGCATTCTTTAATTGGTTTTCGCCGGTGTGGTGCGTGGGAGATTCATTATATCATTTTTAGACAATATCTTTTTAACAGTGTTGCATTGCTTTGGCAAAATATACTTCGTGCTAAGCGCCACCCTTAAACATTTCTTGAAATTAAGTTTTTATCAACTCATGCAATTTTGTCTATTTATGAATATTAATCGCCAATATTCCACAATACCAACGGTAATTGAATGTTATCATATTTTTTAGGGCTTTTTCACATTGCCGATGGCTCAAGGACCGTTAGCAATTCATGTGCATAGTACAAAGACATGCGTCACGGTTCTTTGGTTACCATGGCTTATGCCAATGTACTCAAAACACATATTACTAGTGAAACACCACAATATGAGATATTACAACTGAATTGTTAGATTTTATTTCTAAAGAATAATCTCTTACCTGCGAAGAAAGCAAAACAACTTGCCATATAGCCAAATCTTTTCTTATTTTTCATGGTAGTAACACTCAAGACGGCACAGACGAACGAACTAATTAGAAATGCAATTGCGATATAAATTGTATACCGCACGACCTTTAGATCTGCTTGTCTTTCATCTTCAACTAAAACAAAATTGCACAATTTGATAGCATTAATAATAATAATAATAATAATAATAATAAGAATAAATAGCATGTATAAAACTTACTCAGTGATGTTTAACGTCACCGATCCCTCTTTTTGTTTGTTTGGTTGATTATTCCATAGGAACGGAAGTAATGTTTTGCGCATGCACATTTAGCGAAGGGCAAAAGGTAAAATCGAGATTCAAGATTCCTGTGAAGACACGGACCGAATTCCAGGCTATATTAAAATCTAAGATGTTGTGCTCAAGCATTTGAAAATTATTAAAAGAATACTTCTTTGGCTATTCATACATCGATACCAATCAGACCTATGATGTATTTTTAAAGTAAATTCAACTTCAAATGCGATATTTTTTTTCCTTATTTTGTTCGACATGATATTTTTTAGTCGTTTCTTTTTTTATATAAATTCTATGAAAAAAGATCTGAGTTATGTTACTATGTATGACGGAATAAAAAGGGTGAAATTAAAAAAAATCGTTATGTTTTCTACATCTTTTTAAGGCAGCCTTGGTTGCAACACTATAAAGAATCTTTTGCTTTCATTTTTGTTACAAGCTAAATTTAATTTGTAAACGTGCAGTTGTCTACGAACTTCATCTTTTTTGTCCTAAGCCGATTGCGCATGCGTGAGAAATGAAAACATGTACATATGCCAATTTTGAATAGCAATAGGGCGCGTGATAAAAGGGTTTATTTTCAATGAAGAACAAAATCCAAATGTAAAACTTACCAAAATCGTCCAAGACTCTGCATGATTCAGAAATCCCGCGCTTTGCCACGCATACTTCAAATAAACCTGTTTTAATTGTCGTTGTTGAGTCATCATAAACTTGCCATAGATTTATCGTCAACGCGCATGCGCTAAATATAAGATTCACAAGACACAGTGCAAGCCCAACACAACTTAAAATGTACTTCATTATTTTTTAAAAATGAATTTTTTAAAATCTTAATTGAAATTTTGTCGTCAAGCAGTGTCTATAAACCGACACGACATTCCGAAACAATTGCGATGTTGCATTTATATCAAAATTTGATATTCAAGCGTTTCACATAACACATCAATCCTGGAAATACACGCGCATGTAAAAGTACGCAATAGTTATAAAACAGAATTTAATCATTTAGATTTCAGAACCTAAAATTCAATGACAAGTTACCAGTTTATATTACCCACTTGAAAGTCGGTTTCCGTCAATAATTGATAGGCAAATAAAACTGAATTATTGTCGCCGAAGCCGACTAAAATTATAACGACAATTGATTTGTTTTCAATCATTTTATAGACAAGATAAAAATAGATTTAAAAGCAAACACATTGTGTTTGTTTCCAGTGGCACAATATGATTAAATATTACATCAATAATTCAAAACACCACATCAGACATTCTATACGAGGTATTGTCAAAAAGTTTCCGGACAGGGTCGATATTCAAATAATCTGACACTCATTTACCTTGACACTTCATATGGTGTAAATTTCTGTTGATAAATTTATTTTACTCGCCAAATTTTCTCCTTTGAAACAAGAAGAAAGAGGCATTCATTAGGCGCCTATAAAATCATCTAATGAAGACTCATACTAGTATTTTCTTTTATGTATCTACCAGATCAAGCGAATATAACTGGCAAGACTAACTTGTTTGGTATGAGGTAAAACACAACACATAGGTTGAATGAAATAGGGCATTTATTGAATGCCCTAAATGACAAATGTTACATAATAACAAACATGGCATGTACATATTTATATCGAAAAGACCAAACTTGGTGGTAAAAACGCAAAATGGAGCAGGTGTCATTTGACGTCCCAAAGTGCCCCTTATACACTTCCATACATGTGTAATAATAAGCCTCATTATTAAACGTTTGTTTCCATAGTTTAAATGCTTATAGCATTTAAAAGAGTAACACTTATCTTCCCTGATATAAGTTTTAGCCCGACTATTCGATAAGAATAAGTAGACCTTATGTAGTCACCCGAGCGTCGGCGTCAGTGTTTGCGTCGGCGTAAGGTTCCACTTATGTTAAAGTTTTTGTAACACCTCAAATATTTTCAAAGTCCATTTACATATGACTTTGAAAATTTTCACACTTGTTTACCATCATGACCCTAACCTGTAGACAGGAGGAGGTCACTCTATCAAGCATTTTGACAGAATTATGCCCCTTTTTCTACATAGAGGTTATACCTCAAATATTTTCAAAGTCTATTGACATAATATTATAGCTTTGAAACTGCACACTTGCTCACCATCATGACTCCAACCTGCAAACAGGAGGAGGTAACTGTATCAAGTATTTTGACAGAATTATGCCCCTTTATGACTTAGAATTTACGTTAAAGTTTTCTAATACCTCAAATATTTTCAAAGAACATTGACATATGGCATTGAAACTTTCCACACTTGTTCACAATCATGACCCCAACCTGTAGACAGGAGGAGGTAACTGTATCAAGCATTTTAACAGAATTATGCCCCTTTTTCGACTTAGAATTTACGTTAAAGTTTTGTAATACCTCAAATATTTTCAAAGAACATTTACATATGACATTGAAAATTTTCACATTTGTTCACCATCATGACCCCAACCTGTAGACAGGAGGAGGTAACTGTATATTAAAGCATTTTGACAGAACAATTATCTTTTTCGTTAAAATTCGTAATTTTCGTTAAAAGTTTTTGTAATACCTCAAATATTTTCAAAGTCCAATGACATATGGCTTTGAAACAAGTTTAAATTTTATACTTTTCTTTGAGAGCATAATAGGACTCTCTCCAATGACTGTAACTGAAACATGGATTTAAAGAAAATTTTTGCCCTTTTGTTAACTTAGAATATTTTACATTATCAAGGCCTTTTTTACTATGAAGCACTAAGAATAGTCGAGCGTTGCTGTCCAACCGAAAGCTCTTGTTTATATCAATTGCCGCGCCGTTAGTGTCGATCTTTAGTAACAGTACGTAAGTCACCAGGTACATGTATTGTTTTCAATTCTACCTTTATACATGTACTTTGTAAGGATCTGACATTCTAGCATAATTCTGAAATGTACTTACAACAGAACTTATAATGAAATCCAAGTGACATGGTGAAATCCTATAGCTTCATATATTGTTGACTTCTACAAGATAAAGATTCACTTACCGGATTGATCTGAAGGAACACTGTATTGACACTAATTGACTTTGCAATTTAAGCTGATAGAAATGTTAAACTTACTTTATTGTATAAACTGATTTTCTCTTTACATTTTCTGTGTAGCAGACGTCCAATGAGAGACATCTTTGAAATCTGTCACTTCATATTTTATATTGAAGATTTCTTATTGTCAATATCAATTTCAGTCAAATTCAATTCAAAAACGTAATTAATGTAAAGTTTATGATTGATTAAGGTCAGAAATCCTTAAGTATTCACTACATGTTTTTGTATATTAATGATTTTCGTATGTAGATTTTATATGAGATTTCAATATGGCCGACATTGAAATCCAAGATTTCAGATTCAGAAATCCGGCCGTCTGTCTATTGGACGATTTCCGGATTTCTGTTGTTTCATTGGTGGAATTCAAACATCGAACCTTATAAAAGTCGGAATCCAACCAATGTTGTCACTTCGGTCTTGACCTCCAAGTAATAGAAATAAAGTTGTAAAACCGCCAAAGTTCAAATACAGTAAACATCTTACAAACGACATTGTTATCCAAACTTGTAAGTTGGTGTGTATTTCTATCCAGTATTATTAACTCACTAGACACTGTTGTTGCCGAAATACTTGTTATAAACTTAGAAAACTGTATAAGAATTGTACTTATTTTCCCCATCCTGCCATACGTTTACAACTTGTTTCAGGTTGCATGGCGTTTGACATAAGCAAGGAACCAGATCTTGCCAGATACTTCGAAACCGGAGCTGACCCGGGTCGGTGCTTCTCAGCATGCCGTGAAGTTGGGTACATTGGTTTGATGGTAAAGTGAAAACTTTCAATTTATTATCAATCAAAATTCTTTATCATCCAGAGGTGCAAGTCGCATTGATTTGACCTTGTTCAAACTTGTTATTATTGCAATATACATATATTAAAAACAACAACAAAAACTTTTTGTTAAATTGTTTGTTAGAAACATCGAGAATCATTTTCTTTATTTTCTTTATTTAAATCAAGAATCATTTTCTTTATTTTACTTATTTAAATCATCCACAAGTAGCAACACTGCTAACGTTTGATCTGTTTCACCATTTTCTTTCCGATAGGACACGAGGTGTTTTTGCCTCCGGAAGTTACTTATGGAGAGCATATTTGAAACTGAATGCACCATGGCCTGCTCTGGTATAAGTAACCAAGCCGTTTGTGGTGGCAAGAATTTTGTTTCTATTTATAAACAAGGTAAACTATCACACTTCTTTAAATATTTTATATCATGAAAGTCCAATAGAGATTATACATAAATCAAATATACAAAATTCAACTCGGGACACTGGGTTTGATATATATTTATTTTTGCATATAATTTCTAAAAAGGGCACGCAACAGTTATTGTGATGTAACATACTTTACAACCCATGGCTTTGAAATGTCGTTAAACAGTAAGGAGAATATACAAAGTCCCGCGTTTTTAATTTAATTAGTCACAAACTAAATTAGATAGTTCTCGATTGTTTTCAATAGTTACTGCCCCCGCCCCCTCCCCCCTTGCCTTGCCAAACGTGTTCATCAATATTCTATTTAATAAAAAGCAATATAACGGTTGGTTTAGGTAACCTGACCTATTAGCAAAAACGATCAACACGTTAGTTGTTCAATTTTATAAGAATTCCTACCGGATTTCATAGATGATATTATGATCTATTTGAATGGAAAGTATATAATATAAAAATTGTGTGTTCGAACCAATTGCCACAGCCATGTGTCCACAATATGCCACAGCCATGTGTTCTCAATATGCCAGTCATGTGTTCTCAATATTCCCAGCCATGTGTCCTCAATATTTTGCAGCCATACGTCCTCCATACAACACAATCATAATTAATTCTGATCAACTCAGAAATCGAATATTTTTGGCAAATTTAGTGACACTACCGTGGCTTACCATACTGTCCTTTGAGGAGCAAAACGTCCATATAGAACATTTAAGAATGAAGTTATCTAATTTTACGAATTTCAGCTGAAAACATTACGGCCTCAGAAGTTCAAGACTACAACAAAATGCTTAGCGGAAACTGTATCATCTATGATAAAAATGTGAACACATATTATACAAAATTGTGCTCTATCTCTAAGCGGATTGGCTGCCAAGATAGTAAGACATTGTTTATTAAAAAGATTATAACAAAAACTCCAGTCAATGCGAACTTGTAGATGTTTTCATTAAACATTATTTTCTTATATTTATATAATGGAAAAGTCACATGATTCTGATTGGGGTCACGTGATTTTCAAATAACGTGGCTCCATGTATCACTTAATGCATATTTACAAGCATCCTCGTTGACCAATGCATACTCGTTACTGATAATTATATTCGAATGAAGTTCAGTGAAATCACTATCCGTTGGGTCCGAAACGATGATTTCCATGAGAGACGCACCAGACTTCTTGAAGCATTCTCATAAGAATCACTGGCATTCGAGCCAAAGGCGACACGATGTAGACTTTTACAAGAAATCCAGAGTTCCTAAACAAAAAGAGCAATCGATTATTCTTTTAGAAATTTTATTGTCGACCATTTCGTTCATGGAATATCTAATCTACATGTTTTTAAAAAATGCTATTTGAACCTTTCTCTTAATGGTTATATTGCAAACCACGAAACATAGCGAATAATACCTATTTTTTTCCGTTCGATCCCGAAATATCACGATCCATACCGTACATTATATCAATATTTGCACGCCGGGATGGACTCTTTAATTGAATCAAATACTCGAAGACAGGTCAATATCAGTGTTTGAAAAAAAAAAACAACAACAATAAAAAACAACAGCACTTCTTCATGTTCACAAACTTAATATCAATATAGTTTTGTGTGTACATTGTATTTTCTTGTTGTTGTACGTAAATTATTCGTTTCAGATTTTGGTGACCCGATAAACATTGGTTCGAGGACAGTTACGTGGCTACAAATGACCCGGTTTTGCTATAGCCAGAAATTATTTACTTATGCCCATAATGGAGTGTTAGCAGACAATGGGACTTACCTCACAATGTGGACCGGCATGATAAAAGCAAACAAACTAACAAAGACTCGCCAATGTAAGTATAAAACTTAAAATGAAAATAAAGATCCTCTGAATAGCTTGATGTGAACTTCACACATCTTGAATAGCTTGTTAATAATTGTTACACTTCTTGCCGTTGGTTTTTTAGTTTATAGTTAGATGCATGATTTATTATAGTTTGAATGAGTTGGAAGCTATAAGTTTATTGAAACACTGTCCAATGCGCTCCTGCATCTAACCATAATTAAGCAATAATAATAGACATACTGTTCCGTTCCTGGAACCAACCAGTATTAAGCAGTAAGTGTTAAGTTTTTTGCTCAAGGAATCAAAGGCTGGCCCCTGACAGGGTTTTAACCCACTCGGGTAGCGATTATTTATTACTAGTCAAAAGCGTGGGATACTGCGGTGTTCATCGTCCGTCGTCATGCGTCAACATACATCCCCTTCTCTGAAACCGCTGGACTTCGCCAATTTTTTTTCATTGCCTCACAAAAGTGAATTATGTCAACAATATGCTAGAAATCCCAACACTAATTTTCTATGTAGCAGTTTTTTTATTTTCTTTTTGCTGCATATGATTAAGAAATTATTCGATAATGAAATACGTTCTTTTGAAATAAATGTTTTGCAAACATTTATGTACATTTGTGCTCGAAATATCTATACGAAAATGTTGTTTCTATAAGGTTGGACTATAATTATGCTATAAAACAGTATACCTCTAAATATTCTGTATACTGAATGATAAATTTCGTTTACGATTTCTTTGTGTTCTTTTATTCTAGGGAAAAACGATCAACTAACGTTTGCCTATATGAAAGTGGAAAGTAGTTACTTCAAATTGCATTTTTCTACTTTGGCGTACTTGCCGAAAAGGTTTCTGTGTCAAATTGGTGAGTGAGATATAAGGATTTTAAAGGATACATTTGCTATAAACTTAGTTAATTGTTCACTTACAACCTTCCTCCAGAATACTGGTTATATCAAGGTCAGGTCTGTTGCATATTTGGTGTCAGGAGGGTGGTTGCGTGGCAGGCAAAGTGGTAAAAAAACGCTGAACCTAAATCGAATCCCGCCGCTGATATTGGATTTTGTTTCATATAAGAAAGCTATTGCACTTACGACATATGTCAAATCTTCAACGGCTGTCCTACTCAAGTGCCCACTTACGACATATTTTGCTGTTCTACTCAAGTGCCCACTTACGACATATTTTGCTGTTCTACTCAAATGCTCACTTACGGCATATGTCACAGTCTGTCACGGCTGTTCTTCTCAAGTGCTCACAAACGACATGTCACAGTCTTCTTCGGCTGTTCTACTCAAGTGCTCACTTACGTCATATTTTGCTTATAAGTACTCACGACATATGTCACAGTCTTCCAGGGTTGTTCTACTCAAGTGCCCACTTATGACATATTTTGCTTTTCTACTCAAGTTCTCACTTGCGACATATGTCACAGTCTTCCACGGTTGTTGTACTCAAGTGCCAACTTACGTCATATTTCACACTCTTCCGTGGTTGTTCTCCTCAAGTGCACACTTACGTCATATTTCGTTTCACGGTTGTTTTACGGAAGTGCCTACTTACGTCATATTTCACAGTGTTCCACGGTTGTTCTACTCAAGTGCACACTTACGTCAAGTAATTTGTTTCACGGTTGTTCTGCTCAAGTGCCCACTAACGCTTATATTTCACAGTGTTCCACGGTTGTTCTACTCAAGTGATCATTTACAACATATGTCAGTTTTCCGTTAAGCAAAATAATTAAGATTCCTAGCAAAGAATTCTTTATTTAAAAGAAGAAAAATTGGAATTCAGTTGTATAGGAACGATGATATTGTATTTAAAATGGCGATCTTACAATTTTTAGTATTAGAATATGTCTATTTTTATGATTATTTGAGTTTAAACTATTTGTGGAGATTCCTTTTGTTTCAATTTTGATCACATAATTTTATTTAATTTCAAGGTGGAACCACGCCATCCACAACAACGCTAGACCCTACTCCTGAAGGTACTACTTTACAACAAATATGTAATGTTTCTAATGCAGATTTCTGTGATGATATTGATTGCATGTAATTGATTATGCAGTTCATGAAATTTTGATTATTTTTACTTTCATCTATTGACGCTTCGTCTAATATTCTTGCTTAAATTGTCAAAAGCATAATGTGTCTATTTGCCACAGATCGATTGTGCACATACATCTATCGCTCTAAGGACTATATAAACTTTACCAAAGTCTTTCTTTTTTCAGTTGAACCGGAAGCGGAAACAAAAGTAACTTCTGAACCGGAACCGGAACCTGTTGCCGAGGGATCAGTGTCGAACTTACGTAATTATCTCGATACGATAAGAACCAAATATTTCTTAATTATGTTAAAATAATGCACCGTGGGAAGGGCGAGAGTTATCTGGGGGAGATATGCAGGTTTTTACCTTTCGTATGTGTCGGTCAGATCGGGGATTTTGTGTTGGCGCCAAAAACGGCTTGGGTTATGTTAAGGTTGCAGTGCGGAAGAAATTGTACAAAGTGACTGTCCGAAGGAGGCGTCCTTTGCAAGCTGATTTCTTTAACTGTCAAATTCCTTATATTCTCCTGGTGTTTGACGGCATTGTTACAGTTAATTGTTACAGAAATTAAGGCACTGGTTTATCTTTGTCTCATCAATAGATGCAAAATTGTAATAATTTAGTAGTCTCTTTTAACAATATGAAAAGTAGGTTTAATATATAAATTTTGTATGATACTTTTTTCCCTTTTATGTATTTTTTATTCGTGACGTTTTCTTGAATTCTGCTCATATATAGCATTTACATAGCATTAAAATATATTCTTCTCTTTTTTTCTATTATAATATTCTATATTTTATAATTTCAGTACCAGTTTATATCATTGTTCCCCTGGTGATCATTGCTCTAGCTATATTGCTGATTTTCCTTGTAATACGGTGGAGAAGGAAGAAAAGGTCAAGTATCACTCTTCTACATATGCCATCTCCCTACTAACCATTACAATTATCTCCCCTTTACTCATAACAATCATCTCCTTTTTAAACATTTCAATTATCTCCATTTTGCCCATTACAATGATCTCCCTACTAACCATGTCGATTATTTACCTTTCACCCATTACATTTATATCTTTCCTCTAACTATTCCAATTATCTCCCGTTTGCTCATTACAATTATCTCTCTTCTAATAATTTCTGTTTCCACCTTTTACAAATTACAATTACATGTATCTTTACAATTATTTCCCTTCCAACTATTTCAATTATCTCCCTTTTACTCATTACAATTATCTCTCTTCTATCCACTTCTTTCAACTATACCCTTTCAAACCATTTCAATTATCTCCATTCAGTCAATAACAATTACCTCCCTTCTAACTAGAACTACATTCCTGTAGCTTCATCATTAAAATGTAAAATTAAGCGAAATATTACTACATGTATATTAATTGGAGAATATGCTTAAGCGTGTCCTATTGAATTTAATATTGAATCATGTAACACTAGTGTGAAGCAAACTAAGATTGTTTTATACGTCTTCTACATACATGAAATACTAACATGGTATATCTTCCAAGCACAATTCTATAAATGAAACATAAACTGTTTGAAGTTTTCTTATTCCTAATACCTTACCATTTTCAGGAATGACCAATTGAAATCTAATTCTTTAATGAAAGGCTCAAACGAGGAAGCAGGAGCGAACGAAAGAAACAGGCCAGTAACGGAGAAATCTCGTCTGTCACGCGAGAATGTTGGAATGTATGATATTATGCAAAACGACGGTAATCCTCCTACCGAGAATGGCCAGCAAACCACAGAGCAAAAGCCAATGAAAAGACCGTTAAATCCGAATTACTCCAATAACCTGCTTGCAACGCTCCCTCTTGATGATGTTTCTGTAGATAACAATGACGAGACGGAAGCTGTTTCTACTGCTAATGCTTTTACAGTCGGAAAACCTGATAACGAGTATGCACGGATAAATAAGGGCCGCAAAGTTCCTCCACCAAAAGTCCCCGGTGATGGACAAACGTATGATAAGGTGGGCAATGAGAAGAAAGTGGATGATGAGTCGCAGAAAGATCCGAACTATGACAAATTGAAATTGGAAACGGAAGGCGACGACATGTATGACACAACTGTCAAACCAAAAACTGACCGAACCACTGATAGGTTTTATGATGGATTATCCAAGATTTAGAGAGAAAAAAATCAATCAAAACACCTTGGATGGTCCAGAATTTTAATTATAGCTTTCAAATTGAAAGTCAGTTCAGATCAGAGTTTCTGATCAAAATATTTTCAAAGATACAGATTTGCAATGTTACATTTCAGATTGAATTCATTTGAAATTGGTGATTCTGGATATATGGTTTAAGATAACGCAGATCCTTTTATTGCATCGATTGTGTGTATATAATGTACATGTATAATAACGCAGATCCTTTTATTGCATCGATTGTGTGTATATAATGTACATGTATATAATATTATCATGAGTGTTTTTAAAGTTTATTTTTAATTTACCTAATCGCAACATTGTTTTTATATATCATTAATGATCTTTCTGCTCATAATCTATCATAAAAATAATCATACATGTATATCTTTGACTTCTTATCTTTTACAAACTGAGAAACAACTTTTTTCAGTGATTTATTGGTAGTGTAACGTGTTCAGAATTGCTAATCAGAAACTTGAAAAAAACGTATTCCAAAGTTTTTATATCAATATTTAGCAAGAGTGACATTACATATTGGACAGAGTCTAAAGGGTCATTGTGCATGATATGGGTCATTAATATTTTCTTTATTGCCATAAAATATGTAATCTTGAGCACTGAGAATTTTACTATCTATATATAAAAGAATACTAAGTATTTAAAAGAAAACACACAACTAAAATAGGATAATGAGTTTGACTTTTGGGCAATAGGTCTTAATGATGGGCGTTACAAAATTTGGTACTGTGACTTTGAAAAAGAAAACGTTTGTTTTAAAGATTTAATGTATAGATGTACATAAATGCCAAACATCACTCAAACGAATTAAAAAAGTAAATATAAGTACATGGTGGATTGGCAATGGGACACATACATATATTTCTGATTTTTTTTGACAAACGCGTGCACCGTTGCTATTTTTTAATACAATGCTAATAACAAAAGTCACTGACAGTGGGGTCAGAGAATTTGATCTAAAGCATGTTTAAAAAGTACTTTTATCAAGTTTGCTTCTTCATCTACCGTAGACAACATGGATTTTTCTAGTTTTACTTCAAATTTACAGATTTTCTTTCTATGTCGCAAAATATTGGTACATCGTGTACTATTTACTAGTATATATGTCAAGCAATTCAACGTGTCTGTAATAAATTGAAATTAGTTTTATCATATTTTATTGTGCGTTTTTCTTTTCTTTCTATACAAAAACAGATACAATGTCACACGCATACATAAGACAAAACATTAACAATTACATTACAATATTTACATGAATGTTGTAGTTGTTTATAAAAAGCAAAAGGGTCGGACCACAAGTTTTAACAACATAAGAGAGTTTGCCCTTCCCACTTGAATTTAATTTGAATTTATAAAAACATGTACATGCACTACTTGGATCAATTTTAATGGTAGCACAACTGGTGTATAGCATTAGAGCTTGCTTTTGTAGAGGACAACAGGATGATCTTACATACCAAATATCTCAGCTGTTACTATTGTTGAACAACCCATCTTAACTTCTCAAGATTTTGAAAAAAAAATAATTATTTAAAATCTATTTACGTGACTTAAATTTTTCTGTTTGCATTACAGGCAAATCGGATAAAGGATATAATCAGGTAGATTAGCACTAAAAATGCATTATCACCTGTTCTGGTATTTTTTCTGAATGATTATTAATCTCGATTTCATGTTATAAAATTTCTTTTGTTTTTAAAAACTATTTCAACAGCAAATAAGTTGACTTTTCATTTGCTAATAGATATATTACCACATCTTTTCAAAAAATGATCTCAGTGTCAGGTCCGTGAACGTAAATTCTTAAACAAGTATCTTTTTCATGGCCTTTTATGGCATTCTTCGCCACAATTCTATAAATTTAAGTCATCTTTTCTATATTTGTTAAAAGCTATTTTATATAATTTTCTACCGTTTACCTTTAACTAACTCGGAATTGTCTGTGAACTTCTACTATATTTCTATGTAGGGCGAAGCATTTTTTGCCTTACGCAGATTGCGCATGCGCGAGAAAATTCTAATTCTGGTCTATTTTTCATAGCAACGGACCGCGTCGTAAAAAGGTCTATAGGGAAGGAGTTCCTTTTCTTACACTAGGGTTGAATTATTTAAATAAATTACCTCGTTTGAAATTATCGTTTAACACTTAATTTAAATATCGGGAATAATATGTCACAGCCATAAGTGGCGGTAAGGCCGGGTGGTAACGCGTCGGACTAATAATCTCAGGATCGCTATCCGCGTGGGTTCTAACCCTGTCAGGAGCGAGTCTTATTTCCTTGAGCAAGAAACTTTAAAATTTCACTATTGCTCATTGCTGGTTGCTCCTAGGAACGGATTCGGCAGTGTGTGTATAAGTTATAAGCTTCCTATTCAATCGAACTAAAATAAATTCTACATAAACCATTAATCACGCCGCAGGCACTTGATATACTCGAATTATGAAAGTTAACCTGTTATTGTGGCACCGACAAAAACACATGACTTTTCGGAAACAAAGTGTATGCATTTACTAAATGTGAACAAAGGTTTTCATAGTCGACGATCTAAATTATGTTAGGGCACATCAAGCAGTAGAAAATGGTTATGATTTGAGCCGCGCGTCATGACAAAACCAACATAATGGGTTTGCGACCAGCATGGGTCGAGAACAGCCTGCGCATCCGCGCAGTCTCATCAGGATTCATGCTGTTCGCTATCAGTTTCTCTAAGTTGGTAAGCGAACAGCATGGATCCTGATCAGACTGCGCGGATGCGCAGGCTGGTCTGGATCCATGCTGGTCGCAAACCCATTATGTTGGTTTTGTCATGACGCGGCTCAAATTTTATCAACTATTCGTCAAATATTAAAATCATTAACTGTGATCTGAACAAGGATTAAAGCTGCTACGGTTAATTTTAAGTTAAAATGCGCTTTCAGGTCTCCTTCCAGGTTTTAAAATAAGCTGACAAGAAAATACGCCCGTATAAAGGACTGAACGCATGATGTACTGTGACACAACCTTAAGTGACTCCAAAAGGGGACAAGCCGATTGTAAAATATGTAAAACCAGGGTCTTTCAAATAGAAAGACCCTGGTAAAACCAATGTATGAATCTTTGCAAAAGCAGATTAGTCTTTGCAAAGCCGGATTAGTAGCAAGTTTATTCAGTTGGTCCCTTTAACCAATAGAATTGAAACACATACCAACAGAATCCAAGTACAACCAAAGCGACAAAATTGAAAATACTTCAGGCTCTATTTGATTGAGCCTGTTAATGAATGATAAGTGTTAACGCCCTACCCACCCACTCCCACTCCCTGAACCAGATTACACAGTTTTCAATTCAACATTAATTTATGACAATGAAGATCATGGAATTTAGAAACATTCGTAGATCTATATGTGTTCATACGTCAAATCATGGTTTTTAAAAAAGACACTTATATAAGTGCCATGCCATAATTGATATACGACTCCAAAGAAAAGATTGTGTATGTCTTAAACAAGAAAACAAAATGCAATGACGAAACAAAATGCAATGGATTTTTAAAAGGAAGAGCGTTGATCGAGCCTCGTGGTTAACATCATTGATTGTGGTTAACGCGTCGGACTAGTAACCTAAGGATTGCTGACCGCGTGGGTTCAAACACTGTCAGGGGCAAGCCGTTGTTACCTTGAACAAGAAACTTTACATTCATTGCTTAGAGATGGTTGATTTCAAAAACGGATTCGAAAGTGTTCAATATGCTTATAGCTTCCAATATAATCGAACTAAAATGAATTTGTATAATATAACATTATTGATTGCGCATTTCTAGAATAAGAAGACCTGTCATCGGTAATAACTTGATTTATCCCCAGATCATACCTGTCCAAGATTAAACCAGGGTCTTTCAAATTTGAAATACCCGGTAGACCACTGCCAATGCATTACCTCCTTTCTTTTTTAACATTATTTATGTATCTCCCAGATACCTTATGGAAGAAAAAAGTGTTTGATTTTAATTATATTATCATTGTAGGTATTAATTTGCTAAATAATGCCAAATTTAATAGCAAATATGATAGCAGATATTTTCAGTTTAATAAAATAAAAACAACGATAAAAGTATTTTATTTTTTGCATGATCAACCAATGTACTTTTAAAATAATTGAGTCAAACTTTGAAAACAGCCCCTTGAGCATTGTGAATAAGGCTTTTTATATAGGGAAATGGTCAAATAAGTGTTTAAAGTGGGTGGGGTAGTGTAAGTTGGGTAACATTTTAATACATATTAAATGCATTTTGTTTAGAAACAATAATTTTGCTGGTGAAATTTGTTACCTGAATGTTATAATTTGTTTATAGGAAAACATTTTTCATAATGATGATATCATAGATTATTTAGAGTTTCCTCATTTCTGAAAAAAAATCCTTCTAATAGTAAAGTTTTAGTTCAGAATTATGTCCACAACTCATAAACAACAAGGTAAATTTTATTTAAATATTGCATACAAGTGACCTTAATTAAGGCATATAACTTTCCTATATGTTGTCAATTTTACAGTTCCGTATATATAGTGCCCATTATCTTAAAGGCTACTGTATATACATTTTAATCATTCTTTCAATATAAAAATAAGATTCTTTACTACTCGCATACCAGTTAAGTTGCATTCTGGAAAACTTATATTCTTTTTACGAAAATATTGGCCATCTTTAGAAGGACTTTCGTGATGATATTTAGCTCTTCAATTGTTTTCAGCCTTGACTACAGTAGAGTAGAGAAAAAGTACATTTGTTCGGCGAAAGTACATGTATCACAATTAATCAAATGCGAAACATAATTTCTTTCTTAAAAAATGGTTTATCCTTAAGAAATACTATATTTTTTCCTACTAATGAAGTGTTATTGATTGATTATTGAACTGCCATTGGTAGAAATAGGACTTCTTCATTTCGCGAAAAAGATTTAAATTCTCACCTTTTCGCTTGTATAATTTCCTTATTTCGCGAAATCGAGTAACATTCGCACTTTTTCCCTACCGGTGTCGGTACAGTTTACACCTGTGACCTTGCTATAACGTGTTTCAGGTCAGTTTACTCGGCATTTCGTAACATTTAACTGTAAGAAAATGCATCGTTAAAAGTTCTCGCTTAGAGTCCATACTTGAATGCACTCCTTTATTCACATTGCACCGTCGATCTTTAGTTTAAGTCCCTGTCACTCTGCATCTTGATTTCACTCGACACCTGCAACAGTGCACTGCAAGGCTGCATGACTACGTCTACGGCAAAATTACATTGTAATATATATTTTGCACTGCTATAAACATGCAGGATGATTTATATCTGCATACTTTATAACTGAATCGGACCGAACATGATTTTTAATTTGGGTAAATTCTATTTAGACATTTCTGTCCTGCTGGATAGTTTAATTATCACTTTTATCAAAGTTGGAAGAGATAAATCATATACAGTAACATACGTATTAGTTCCTCGCACTCTAGTTACCTATATGTCGGGGATAAAAATAGAGCATGCTCGTTGATCGGTTCATTTTTTTCTGGGGTTTTATACTTAATTAAGTTTATTTATTTCCCGACAGTGAAGGGGTAACGATAGAAAAATATTCAGATGCTTTTACATTGAATAGTTTTTTCTGGGTTTTTATATTGTGATGACAGGGAACATGTTTTTTGCCTATGATATAAAAAAGAAAGAACATCAAAACACTCTGCAATCTAATTTATACTTGGGGGCCATGCCTTTAAGCACAAAGTGGTGATAATTTACCTAAATTCAGTTTTCATGAAGTATTAGCCAAAGATGTGAATTTCGAGCCGAAAGTAGGCCACTGTTTGATGGCTAATGAAAACCTAGTCACACACCCAAGCACATTTTCCTAGTCGTCCCTGCCTACTTTGTTGGGCTACACCCCTCTGTGTTAGTCAGAACATCAACAGCTGGTCTGCAGGATACAAGATTTGGTTATCTTTTTCGCTGTCTCAAGTTCTCTATATCTGCTGTTGATGTCATGTGCCTTCTCTGCCAACTGTTCACTACCAAATTTAAAATGCATTTTAAGGAGCAGATAATCCTAAAAGCCAGCCCATTTTTGCAAAATTATTTCCCTTTTTCGACTTACTAAGTTAGAATATTTGCCTTTTTCTAAAAAAAGAAACATTTAAGTAACTTGAAATATTTGTTGATTTTTGTGTCGCCTCTAGGGAGTAGTGGCAACGTAGAGGGATCACTTCTCCATCATCTGTCTGTCCATCACAAAACTTGTCTGGACTACTCCTCATAATGGTGCAATTTCATCCAAACTTTACAGGAATGATCAGTACCAAGTCTAGTTGTGCATATTGTCAGCATTTTCCGGGTTCAATGATTTTTGTAAGAGTTATGGCCCTTTAATAATTTTTTTTTTAAGTTTGTCCGGACTACTTCTCTTATACCACTAATGCAATTTCAATGAAACTTTACAGGATTGGTTTGTAGCTCAAGTCCTTGGGCATATTGCACGGGTTTTCCGGTTGAATGATTTTTGGTCGAGTTATGGCCCTTTGATAAAAAGGTGTTTTTTCTGTGTGTTGCCAGATACACAAAAGCTTGTCCTAAACTACTGGTGCAATTTTATCCAAACTTTACAGGAATGATCAGTACCAAGTCTAGTTATGCACTGTCCGTCTGTCACAAAACTTGTCCCAACATGAAATTGGCCATCATGAGGCGACACATGTGATCACTGATCGCTTTTGTTAAAAACAAAAGCAGGTATTTTCGTTTGTAGAATTATGTCCCCTTTTCTGTGTTGTCTTTTTTCAACTATCCGGCACTGAGAAAAGTTGGAGGGTGCTGTTCTAAAATGGATCTTGTTTTAACTTTATTTTTTATTAACATCACAAATCTCTTTTTTAGGTAAAGACCATGGGAAGAGTAGAGTGAAAGATCATTTATATTCTTTGCTGTAGCCATGTATCGCTGTAGGAGTCTTCTTTTGCTGTTGCGGGAGACAAGGACAGTGTTAACCACACCCACGCAGGTAATGCAGGGCACTAGACAACTTTTGGGGACAGGTACCCATACCCTCAGGAAGGGGAATTTTGCGTCATTTTAAGACAAAAAGGGGAATTTTAAGCCATATATGAGTTCTTTAAATTTAGGTTTTACACTAACTCTTGGCACAATTTCCTACCATTACTTACAATAGCTAGTATATTTATTACTATAGTATAGACCTAACAAATAAAACATATAACATGAAGTTTTTCATGAGATAGGCTATCTCATTGTTTTCTTTATTGCTTTCTTATTGCACTTGACTGACTCAGATATCAATCAGAGCTCCAGATATATGTTTTTGGCCAAGGGTTTTATGCCCCTCAAATTCTAAAGTGAGGGGTAAAATGCAAATTCTTAAAAAGTTAGGGTTATATTAAAATCAATAACAAGCATAATGCATTTTTGTTTATGATAAAAAATTAAAACTGACAGTTGTTTTTGTTGTTGTTGTTTTAAAAAAAAAAACTTGTACAACAAAAATTGAATCAGTGCAACAAGCTCTGGAAAGGCAGACTTTCCTAGGCAAAGGTATGTTGTACCCAAGTTATGGAAACACAGGAAAATTATTTCCTATTATAGTCATTAATTGTTTCTTTATTTTTAAAGTTAAAAATGTATCACACTATTTTGCAATCTGCACTGGTCAGTTCTTAATCTATTTTCTACATATTTCTGCCTGTTCTTTAGATTGAAACAATTATAACAATGAGAACTGAAATAAGAGTTCAATAAAAATAAACATGAAAGTTTTATGCCTTTTCTAAAAAAGGTTTTGGTTTCAGAGAAAATTGTCTGTAACTGTAAAACTGGGTACGAAAATATTTGGTACGAAAATATTTGAGTACAAAACTGCAAGAGAAATACGTTTTTTCCAACAACAACTGACAGAAATTAGAATAGTTTTGTTTATTTACTAGCAGAATATGACAATGTATGTCTATTCTCTAAACAAATTGAATATTAGGTAAACTCCTACGATGATTATCTGCCACATTAATTTTGTCAATAATTTTACGAGAGTTACCTCCCTTGTACATTTCTCACTTCCTGCTACTTTCGATTTTAACATACAGCGTTGTTGACAACTGTAATTTAGTTTTTAATCCATTGAAAGTTAAACAGAAATATATTTTATTTTTATTAAATCAAAACATCACTTTTTTGTAAAATATCAAACATTTATACAATAATTTTTTTTTAGGGGAATTTTCTGCTGAAATAGGGGAAAAAAGCATATGATTTTGAGAGGGGAATGGGGCCGATATTCGGCCCCAAAAATGGCCAAACGAGTGCCCTGTAATGCTCAATGAATTTTTCTTTTTACGTATATTTTAAGTCTCTTCTTTTCCATAACTGTGTCTGGCATGTGATTACAGAACAAGTATTTGATTCAGTTCACATACTTGAAGTCTTCAGAGAGTTTAACACCGGGAAAATTAAAATGAAATATTTAAAAAATGATGGTTTTTGTGCCCCCACTATAAGGGGGGGGGGGGGCATTTAGATTTACCCTTGTCCGTCCGTCCGTTCCCTTTTTGTGTGGCACGTAGCTCAAAAAGTAATTGACCTAGAGTCATGAAACCTTACAGGAATGTTGATCAGCATGTGTAGTTGTGCACCTGGGTATTTTCATGTGGATATTTTTAGTATTTTTAGAGTTATTGTCCTTGACTTAGTAAAAATTTACAATATTTAACTTGTGTCGCACATAACTCAAAAAGTTTATGACCTGTAGGCCTGAAAGTTTACAAGAATGTTGGTCAGCATGTGTACTAATGCATGCACCTTGGGGTTTTCTTGTGGATTTATTCAGTATTTGTAGTATTTACCCTTTACTTTATAAAAGATTTTTTGTTTTCAACTTGGGCACATGAAGCCAAAAAAATTATTTGACCTAGAGACATAAGATTGACAAATAGGTAGAGTGTGGGGGCACCCGTGTCCTATGGACACATTTCTAGTATTAGTATTCTTGTGGATTTGTCTTTAAAACATGAAAGAATAAGTATAAATCGGCATTAAAATTGGTAATAATTGGTGCCATTTGACAGAAGTTATTTAAAGTTGTTCATATTCCAAGGTATCACTAGCGCTGAAATCTGAGAAACTAATGAACAACTAATGGAGTTTTTAATGGAAAGTCACCAAATTTACTTATTTACATGGGTGCAAGTTTTCAGGCATATGCCTGAAGCTCAGGTTTTTGTGTGACAAATTTCATCATGTTTTACTATAAGATTATATAGGAAAATGATTATGAATAAAGGTTTTCAGGCTTTTCCAAATTTTCAACTTGCACCCATGTATTTAGTATATATAACATTCTGAGAAGATCAGCTCCCAGGTTTGTTTTCACAAACTGCCTTCAGGTCTTTTTAGCTCGCCTGAGCACAAAGGGATAAGACTTGGTGCTGAGCTTCTGTAATAGCATATTCGACTCTCCATTATGTTTTGTTGGCCACAATTTCTTTAAACAATGTTTGCTTGTTAACCAATAATTATGATTGCAACTTACATAAACACTTATAAGTTTTGGCTTAATGGAAATTGGTGTTTTGGCTAAATGGAAATTGGTGCTCCTAATGCAATTGGGTAGGGTAATCACAATTAGGGTAGATAGGTGGAAAAAATACTGCATTGAAGAATTAAGTCCTTTTTCTAGCAATAGGTGAGTGGTTTTGGACAGACATTTCTCTTGTAAATACTAACACATGCTAAATGGCGACCTGTTGTATTACTTTAGTAAATGGAAATCATTGTATATAGCTTAAATGAAAAGTATTTGTATTAAATATTTTCAAATTTATACCATTATTATATAGTATATTAAAGGGACTCCACTAAAGTTTTTTTGACACGATAGGAATAGAAATATTTTTCTGAGATTTGGGTACCATTTGATGAATGTCTAGGCCAGTAATTTTTTCAGGTCATTCGTCAAAATGATTGAAATAAGAACCACACAAAATTACAATTTTCAATTTAATTCTGAGCATATTTCTTTACTGCCCTTTGCAGATTGTTCCATTTTCAGTGATTCAATTGATATATGCAAAAATTTTAAATCTTATGTTTTTAGATTTATTGACCTCATTGGAGTTCCTTTAATATGCACAATTAGCTAATTTTAAACAAAAATTTACAAACATTTCAGAATTATACTGGAATTTAAGCTGAAATAAAGTTTTTTCAAGACTTTGGTAGTTCTATCAATATTATTAATTAATGATCTTTTTTTATGTTATTTAAGGTTGCAAGATGTGGATTTTTGAACTGTCACCAATTTTCACAGAGGCATTACACAGACTCTGTCAGTGTGGCTAACCTTAAAAATGACGTAGAAAAACAAGATAATGGTTCCAGTGAACAAGGATCAGAAACAAAAAAGTTGTCTGTTGATGAAGGAAAAAAGAAGCGTAAAACTAAAGTTAAAAAAGAAACAAAGAAAATTGAAGGTGAACCAAATGTCTCAAATGAAGGCGGTAAGAAAGAAAAAGCTTCCAAAGATGAGAAAATTGAAGTGAAGGAGATTGTTCCAGAAAAAAAACAGGTAAAGTAACAAAAAGATGATTAAAGAAATAGAACCATGAACCAGTGCTCTACATGAATTTTAATGTTGTCAGCATAAATTTTAGAGTAAAAAGTAACGGTGCTTATCTTAGCGATTTTAAAGCATTTTTATGCTTTAAGAAATTAATATTAAATAATTAAACTGTCCACCTAAACTTCAGACTGGACAGATTAAAAATGCATTTGTGGGACGTTTATTTACTGTTCATATAAAGACAAGGTCACAAGACTGAGAGATGATGCAACATCTAGAATTTGTCTGTAGTTTGAAAAAGATAATGGTTTTGCATCTCATTTCTTGATTACCCTTTTTCCTCCCCCGATGCAGTTTCACCCTCTCCATGGCCTCTACTTACATTCCCCTTAAAGTGAAAAAAAAGCCACTGCCACTTTTAAAAGCACTGTAAACATATAACACCCTATGTTGACCAGTCATCCATAGTCCATTGTTATACAAATATACTAAAATTTGAGAAAACACTAAGAATGAATGTTTTAAAATGTTTTGTTCTATTATTATTATAGGAAGCCTCTTCAAGGAAGCACCTTTCTAACCCTGCCATTGTGGCTAATATTATAGACGATGAAGAAAAGCAAGGTAATGGTTCATCAGAACAAGTGTCTGAAGCAAAGATATTTTCCTTTGAAAGCTTATATGATGATGAAAAGAAAGTTACTGTTGATGTAGAACAAGACCAAGAGATTGGTGAATCCCAAGCTGAACAAAAGCTAGAGAGTGCTGAAGTTGAATCTGATGTGTCACGGGCAGACATGACCACATCTAGACTAGATGGAATCATACATGATGTGGAAGAAGGCAATAAACATGATGTGGAAGAAAGCAACAAACATGATGTGGAGGTAGGAAACAAACATGATGTGGAGGAATCACAACATGAAACAAATATAACTGACGCTTCCAATGATGATACAATTGGAAAGGAAAAAATGGAAGATATGGAAAACGACAAACAAAATCAGGTTGAAAATAAGCCAATCTTCAATCAGATGGCTAGTGAAATTGACTATCGTAGGATGAAAAACGAAATTTTCACTATGGATAACCCAGAAACTATTCTAGAATATCTGGAGTATTGTTTTGAAGGTCAGATATATTCAATAGACAAGTTTAAACTATTCCTATGTGCTGTATCAAGGATGAAACTCATGGAGCCTGTTGCCTTAAGTTCAAACATTGTTAACCACATGAATGATGCTTTGGAAAAAGATTCACTGATATCAAGGATAGAGTTTTCTGTTCTTCAAAAAATTTCTTATTACGTTATTAGGGTAAGGACAAAATATATTTCTCTTTAGCTCACCTGAACACCTCGTGCACAGGTGAGTTTTTGTGATGGCTGATGTCTGAAGTGAATTATCAATTAGGTTTGAACAGTTGTCTCACAAGGAGACCTTCCCAAGCTGTTTGTATATTTTTTAACAAAACTTTACTACAGAAATCATTAATTTTGAAATAATCTTACAAAACAAAAATAATGGTTCTGGTCTGTTGTGCAAGTAGGTAAAAATTATGTATATGTATTCTGAAGATATGGTCTTTTATTATTAAATTTGGGTTGTCTTTCTGGTCCCTACTATATTTAACAACTTGTTGGTCAAATTTCAATTAAGTATAGTATAAATTTATGAGTGGTTCATCAAATGCAAACAAAAATTGAGCTGTGCCATGACAAAACCAATATAGTGGGTTTGGGACCAGCATGGATCCAGACCATCTGCGCAGTCTGATCAGGATCCATGCTGTTCGCTTAAGTAGAGAAACTAATAGCGAACAGGATGGATCTGATCAGACTGCGCGGATGCCCAGGCTGGTCTGGATCCATCCTGGTCACAAACGCACTATGTTGGTTTTGTCATGACGAGACTCATTTATCATTGAGATAATGAGCTAAGGCCAGGAATGTAGAGATCCTTTAACGGACTTGTCGTCTTGGTATGTTTTGCTGCCAGAATCAATTAGCCAGAAAAAATAAAATACTTTTAACTATTGGGAACATTTTATCCCACCAGAAAATATTGTCTTGACTTAGCTAGTGAAGAAAATTAAGGTTTTTCAATCCCCGGTTATGGTCCTTTATTACTTGAAATATGCATGTTTTAAGTCTGGTGCCACATATTGTAGATGTAATTTAACCTTTTACCCCATGAGCATATTGCGAAAAATGGCCATTTTCACTGAAAAGCCTCCTGTAACAAGTTCAAACTGCTATGAAACTATGAAAAATGCTTCAATACTAATGAAACTTGGCACAAATGTTGACTACACCATAGCCTCTGTAACAGCATGCTCAATGGTAAATTTCCTGTTACCATGGCAACGGGGGGACGTCTCAAAATTGCCAAAAATCACTGTTTTGCACTGTTTTTTTTCCATCAAAACTGATTTCAAAGTGCTGCAACTTCTCTATGAATTGAGATAGAGTAAAAGGCTTTTCAGCGTCGGTTACTAGCTACTCTAAGATCGACCTGAGGCCATTGTTAGCCTGTCACATGTCCAAAATTTTCTTGGAGATGAGGGGGACTCCGCCCCCCTTCAAACCCCCCAAACAGAAGGGGGCACATCCCCCTTCTGGCAACCCCCTGATGTAATATTTGGATGGGGGACGGCGCCGAAAAAGTGGTCACTCTTTTTAACAACATTTCTCAAACGAAAATCAGTGTTTGGGGCCTAAATAGGGCATTTTTTCACTGTTTGAGGCCTCAAAAAGGGGGGGGGCAAAAAGCCGTCGAAACACGCTTATATAAGGGAAAAGGTTAAGCTCACATGAGCAGCACAGGAGCAAAATGAGCTCAGAGTTGAGTATGTGATGGCAGTGTGTTAGTTGTTTATATCCACAATTTCATTTAACAACAATCCACTTGATGGATTTTGATCAAACTTCACAGAAATGATCCTTTGGTGATCATCTAGGAAAGTTATATGAATGGTTCTAGTCTGATGCTTTAGTAGGTCACACTAGATGAAAGTAGGCATTAAAAAGAAATTAAAGAAATATTTTAAAAAAAAATTCTCAGTAACTAGAATGCCCAGAGCTTAGACATTTGCATGAAACATTGTGGTTCTGTATATAAGTAAAGTTGTATAAATTACGACCCGGTTGTCAAAAATGACCCGATCCTAGGGGTTTCCAAATTTACATAGACTTGGATAGGAAAATACATTGAATTTTATGTATGCCAAGAGCTTAGATATTTGGCGTGTGATATGCCAGGTGGACCTCTAGAAAAGCTATATGAGTCCTGCTGGTCCCCTTAGGGGTCATGTAATTTACATAAACTTGTATATACATGTATATAGTAATATATACGATTTAAAATTTGAGTTTGCACTTATTGTCGGCGGATTTTGCACGGCCAAAATATGACTACGTCTTATATGAGGGTCTTCATAAAAATCCCCAAATCATGAGGCCAAAATAAAAAATATGTCTGGTTCAGGGAACCCGACCTACCCTATTTTTTTACCCCCTACCCTAAACTTTTTTTTTGATTTTCGCTACAAAATTTTTTGGGTACGAAAAGTTTAATAAGCTTCAATATTTTTGAATATGAAAAAGCAATGAGTTACCTCATAAACATTTATGTACATGCATTGTTTTTGTCACCAATCTCAAAAAACTTATAATGAGTATTATACGATGTCAAGTGTGAGATGTCAACAGCCACCCAAGGGGCAACATTTTGGAAGGTAAAGTAAGATTTTTTAGGGCATTTGTTTGATAGAGTGATTCATTTACCAGAGCTGATTTAAGCGAAAAGATGCTAAACTGTTTGCTAGTGTCATTCTTAACCTGTTGACAGTGATCATTTTAATATAATTCTTTACCGATACCATTCATATTGAGACCTCGGTGAAACACAGTATGCTGGAAGTTACAAAATGGTGTTTGCATTGATTGATTACAATTTCTGTTTAGTATGTTATGCAAGCAACACATCTAAAAATGGAAAATAAGAAGTTTCAAAAAAAAAAATGAAAATCCCTACCCCCCTAATTTTTGGGCCAATATTTCCTGAACCAGACATATTTTTTTATTTGGCCTGAGCCTGAAGTAGGGAAAGCGTCTTATAAGTGCGTATGTACGGTAGTAAATAACTACAATGCCTAGAACTTAGATATTTTGCATTAAGCATCATCTTGTTATCCCCTTAAAAATTATATAAATCCTGCCTCTGGGGGATCAAAATTTGCTCTGGCCTGGGGGTCACATAGTTCATATAGACTTTTATAGGAAAAGACTTGTTAAAATACAATGCCAACAGCTCAGATATATTGCATTAAGCAATGCCCAGGTGACCTCTAAACAAACTTTAAAAAAGTGATGAAAGTCAAGCCCCTGGGGTAAAAAATGGCCCAGTCCTTGGGGTCACTTAGTTTACATAGACTTGTATAAAAAATTTCTGAACAGTCTTTTTCTCTGAAAGTACATGTACAATGCCAGTTTAGATATTAGGCATATTACACAAGTTACTGAAAAGTGCATGCCCCTTGGATTAAAAAATTGACCACGCTTTGGGGTCACAAGTTATATTAGTCAGGTGTTCTCTTGTTAAACAATGCCATGTAACATTTAGCATGTACCATTGCTAAGTCCTTTTTTTACATGTATATGTCTTTTGATGCCCAAAAAATATACTCTCTGTTCAAGCCAATTTCTAGCTACATATAACAAATGTATGAATCACATTTGACGAGAGAGTAAGTTTTACTAGTTTCATTTCTGTGCTTATAGCAACAAACAAATTTACTTAACAATGATTGTTATGAGACCCATGTATCACTTTTTGTAGCTTCAGTTATTTGATACAGACAGTAAGTAAGTAGTAAGTAAGTAAGTATGTAAGTAAGTGAGTAAGTAACGTCTTTATTTAACAAGGCTTACACATTTGGTTTCCCGATCATCTGTGTGGGCCTCGGCTGATGTTTACAACATAATTACAATAATATAAATAGTTTACATGTACATAACATATAAACAACATATATACACAAATGTCATACTAGAATAGATCAATTAAATTGAAATAATGAGTAATAATAAATCAAGCAAACAATGATATGATTGTACACCAAAACAGTCATGTGTAGGTGTAGAGCATGTTGATTCCTTTTAATAAGTTAACATCAACATCAGGATTTTGTTTTTTTTCTACAGTCAAGCTCATTGGATAACAAATTGACAAGTACATTGTTACATGAAATGTGCTGGAGGCTAAGGAGGTCGTCAATGCAAGAGACACTGGATGTATTAGAGTGTGTAAAACTACGAGCGACCACAGAGAATCGCTGTGAAGTTCACAAGGTAACAAAATATTTGGTAACAATTATACTAGTACAAATTGCAAGATGTTCATCACATTGTTACTTAAGGCAGTGGACCTAAGATAGTGGATGACATGTTTTAAGTATGTCTGTTTCTAACAAATAATCGAGCTATAATGATTGCCACGGCATCCCATAACGAAATTCATTTATAAGTCTTTTATAGGCTATTTTGTATGTAAATTGAGCTTCACTTAGTCAATTTACCTAAAAGTCAAGTAGTTGGGACTGATATGTATTTTAAATGAAAATTAACCGCCTCCATGGTTGGGGGGTTAGAGTTGATATTTAAAATCCATTTTCCCTCTGCGTGGTTCGACCCCCAAAGTGCATTGGTAGTTTGCGGGAGGGGGTGTTAGTACTGTTTTACTCTCCGAGATGGTTAGGAAATCCCCGCCTATATGACTGAAATACTTTTGGGGAAAAGGGCGTAAAATGAAAAAAAAACAAACAAAAGATGAAAGGCACCTATGTCTGCATTTTAATATATAAAGTAAAGTCATATGAAATCCAAAATTTGCACAAAGTCAAAGAATTTTTAATTTTTAAAGAACATAAAAGTGACTTATATGTTAAAATTAGTGATAAAATATAAGTCATTATAAGTCACATGTAAGTCACATATATGTTGCTTGATGTCAAAAAAGCTAGAAAGAAAATAAAAGTTGAGTTATCTAATTACAAAAATGTTTATTGATTTATATTCTTAGTCATATAAATAAACAAAATACAAAATTCATAATATATATAATAATACATATCCTTCAGTTCATTACACAGAATAGATCATCCTACATTCACTATTATAACAATAACAATTTTAATAATTTTTATTTATAGCAGCAGGTTTTTGTAGGTACTAGCTTTCTTAGAATCAAACACTAAGTTTTTACAATTATTTGCTGAAAGTCTGTCAGTGAGAAACTGTTAAAATCATAAATTTGTTTCAAATTTTTCTGATTATTTAAACTACTATTTCTTTTATTGATGTCTGTTTCAGTGCTCTGCTTCTATTTCCTCGGAGAACTTATTGTGGCTGTGTTCACCTTTAAAGATAAAATTCATAATTAATTAACAAAAAGATGTGGGAATAAATTGTGTACTATTGTATATGCAGTTATATTTCATATTGTTTAATATCATCAAATTCAAATGTTGAAACAGTATTAACTATTTATGCATATGTATATTCAAAATAAATTTAAAGTTAAACAGTATCTCATTTCAGTGCAAATATCCATATACTATGCGATTGTTTTGAATTGTAGTTAGCCAAAGAGAAAGACTGAAGGATATTATAGGGACAGTTTCCACGCCAGCCGAGGTTTTATCGCTGATGTACAATCTAAAAAATACTGATGCTCAACAGAGGGTCGAACAAGAAGCGTTAGCCATGCTACACACTATGGACTGTTACGAGACTTACAAACTTTTAGATATTTTAGTGAAAAACAAATCTCTGAACTTTACTTTAATGCATCAAGCCAGGCAGCATCTTTTCTCGCGGCCAATCACCTTGAATTTCCCACAGTTAAGGAACCTACTCTTCATCTTTTCAAGTCTCCAGGTAAATAATCCGTCAGAGTTAAAGGAGATATCTATTAATATACTGGAATTTCTGGAGAGCAAGTTCATTCCAATATCAAACAGCCACTTAGTTGCAGTATTACTTTCATGCTCCAAGTTAGGATGGAATTACACGCAATTAAGCAATAAGATAATTAACGAATTGAATAATGATGAAGAATTGTTCAAGACTGAGAGCGACAAAGTGCTGACAAATCTTCTCGTGTCTTTATGTCATTTGAATTTAGAAACCTACAAAGATTTTGGGCGTAAAATCGCGGATCATTTAATTTCAAATAACAATATTACAAAGAACTCTCAGTTAGAGATAGTTAGTTCTTTAGCATGTCTAAAAATAGCCGAAAAGAATGATGTTCTACAAGTTCTGCAGCCTGACGTCTATCAACCAATACTTGACAGTTTAAGAGGTAAGTTTTCTTTTACGCATCCTAAGTTTTGCATATAATTGTTTCTAAGAACTGATGTTCTATTAATTTTTTTTTCGCGCAAAATTGCAGATGTTCTTTTCACCAGATTGAGATGGTACTTAGGGGTCGATTGTATAAAGTGAAATGCACTTTGTTTGTCTATATCTTTGCCATGGATTGAATGATTCTTTAAAATAATTTGACTTAATTTAGATATCGAACTCGGTGAAGGGATGTTTCCCTCAAAGGTCAAGGTCATTTTATAAGGTTACATTTAAAATACAGTTATTGAACACTGTTACTAAAAGTACGGTAATTCTACAACTTAATAGTGGATTTTGAACAACTTGTCAAATATTTAGCTTGATATTTGGGCTATGCAAAAAAACCCGTGTGAAACCGTAAAAGGTCAAGGTCACATTAAAGAAGACCTAATTTCCAAAAATTTTAAGTTTATGAAAGATTATCTTGAAGTGGATCCAAGCTCAGGTGCAAGGGTATTGGTCTTTGTAATCACACGGATTGCTTTGCCCGATCCTCTGCTCCATCATTTATTTTTACTTGTAAATAGTAACTACTGGTATTGCAGATTAAGGATTTATAATCTGGGGTCCCATGTATCGATGCTCTACCTTTTTTTGCAAATGTAAATAAGAACCCAGGAAATTTTTGGGGGATCTGGTGACCACTGTTTAATTCGTGCCTTTAAACCTTAAAAAAAAAATTTAAACATTCATGAACAGTTTTGTGTCAGGCCCCAGAACGACTGAAAGGGTTCTTAGCGTGAATAAAGGTCCCTAGAGGGTGGAACATGGGGTAGCTAAGGGGAATAAATAGATGGAAGTATTGGGGAAATAAATTATTCATTGGTTTTTAACGAATTAGATGTGTTGATTTCGTCCCCTTTAAAATTATCCCTTTGGGAATTTCCCAAATTTTTAAAATTCTTTACTTCTAGGTAAAAGTATTAATTTCTTGACCCAAGTATAGACCCGGGCCCCAACCCTGCTAAATCCAAAAAAACTCGGGCAGGGTTCTTTTTTCCCTTTTGGGTTTCTCAAAGTTTTTTTAATTTTTATTTTAAAACCCCCAAAAAAAAACCTGAATAAAACTTTTTTCCATATTAAAAGCGGGGTGAACCCAAATAATAACATTCGGGTTAAAGGGGTTTAAAGAAAGTAAGAAAAGGAAGAACATAATCATGCTTGTAAGTATATTGTTATTTCAGATAGTCCAAAATTCTTCCAGGACAATGTTAAATGTAAATTATTGAGTCTTTATGGATACTTGAGAGAAGATCTAAGCGAGTCAACTGGGGATATAGATAAAATTGCTTGTAAATGGAGGGATCAGTTACAAGCAGAGGTAATTATACATGCATCATTTCTGTACCAGCCAGCCCACCAGACTCATTCGGTAAGAGCGTGATCCTTGTAATGTCAACATTAGGGGTTTAATTCCGGGCTGGCCAACTGAAATTACTAAACAGTCGTTCGGATGAGACTTTAAATTTAGCTTACCTGTATAAGAGTGCTTAAACACTTGGCATGCTAAAGAAACACTTGGCATGCTAAAGAAACACTTGGCATGCTAAAGAACCAGGAGAAGCTTCTGGAATTGAGTAATCTTTCTGTATCTGTATCTTGCACTTTACTAGAAAAAAAATCTTAAATGACTAAGAGGCTTCTCGAGGACATGCCTATATCTGCAACCGATGGTGACTATAAATAAACTCAAATACACAACATTACTGTAATATAACACATCATTAAATGTAATATACAGTAATGACAGGGACATAACTGTAATGTACAGAGAGGCAGTTCATCATTAATGTAATGTACAGAGGGGCAGTTTATCATTGCTGTAATGTACAGGAGGGATCTTTGTCATAACTGTAATGTATCGAAGGACACTTTGTCATAACTGTAATGTACAGAGGGACACTTTGTCATAACTGTAATGTTTTGTCATAACTGTAATGTACAGAAGGACACTTTGTCATTATTGTTTTGTACAGAGGGACATTTTGTCACTAAACTGTAATGTACAGAGGGACACTTTGTCATAACTGTAAAATGTACAGAAAGACACATTTGTCATAAGTGTAATGTACAGAGGGACAATTTTTGTCATAACTGTAAATGTACAGGAGGGACACTTTTGTCATAACTGTAATGTACAGAGGGACACTTTGGTGTTCATAACTGTAATGTACAGAGGGGACATTTTGTCATAAACTGTAAATGTACAGACGGAAAGTTTGTCATAACTGTAATGTACAGAGGAAAACATTTTGTCATAACTGTAATGTACAGAGGAACATTTTGTCATAACTGTAATGTAAGAAGGGGACACTTTGTCATAACTGTAATGTACAGAGGGACATTTTGTCAATAAACTGTAAATGTACAAGAGGGACAACTTTGTCATAACTGTAATGTACAGAAGGACACTTTGTCATTTTATTGTGTTTGTACAGAGAAGGACATTTTGTCATAACTCGTAATGTACAGAGGACATTTTGTCATAACTGCTAATGTACAGAGGGACACCTTTTGTCATAACTGTAATGTACAGAGAGGAACAGTTTGTCGTAACTCGTAATGTACAGAGGAAAACATTTTGTCATAACTGTAATGTACAGAGGGACACTTTTGTCATAACTGTTAATGTACAGAAGGGACATTTTTGGGGTCATAACTGTAATGTTACATAGGACACTTTGTCATAACTGTAAGTAACAGAAGGGGACATTTGTCATTATTGGGGTTTTGTACAGAGGGACATTTTTTTCATCAAACTGTAATGTTACAGAGGGACATTTTGTCATAACTGTAATGTACAGAGGGGACACTTTGTCATAATGTCAAAAAAATTACAGAGGGGGACACTTTGTCATAACTGTAATATTTGTACAGAAGGACACTTTGGTCATTATTGTTTTGTACAGAAGGGACATTTTGTCATAACTGTAATGTACAGAGGGACCACTTTTGTCATAATGTAATGTACAGAAGGACACTTTGTCATTAAATTGTTTGTACAGAGGGACAATTTTTGTCATAACTGTATCATGTACAGAAGGACACTTTGGTCATAAACTGTAATGTACAGAGGAATTTTGTCATAACTGTAATGTACAGAGGGACCATTTGTCAATAACTGTAAATGTACAGAGGGGACACTTTGTCATAACTTGTAATGTACAGAGGAACATTTTTGTCATAACTGTATTGTTCAGAGGGAACTTTTGTCATAACTGTAATGTACAAGAGGGACACTGTTGTCATAAAACTGTTAATGTACATGAGGGACATTTTGTCATAACTGTAATGTACAGAGGGACATTTTGTCATAACTGTAATGTACAGAGGGACACTTTGTCATAACTGTAATGTACAGAGGAAGCATTTTGTCATAACTGTATTGTAAAAAGAGGGCCCATTTGTCATAACTGTAATGCGTACAGAGAAGGACACTTTGTCAATTAAAATTGTTTGTAACAGAGGGACATTTTTGTCAAAATAAACTGTAAATGTACAGGAGGGAACAGTTTGTCCTAACTGGTAATGTACAAGAAGGACACTTTGTCATTATTGTTTTGTATCAGAGGGACATTTTTGTCATAACTGTAATGTACCAGAAGGGGACATTTTGTCATAATTTGTAATGTACAGAGGGACATTTTTTGTCATAACTGTTAATTTTACAGAGGGACATTTTCGTCATAACTGTAATGTACAGAGGGGACACTTTGTCATAACTGTAATGTACAGAGGAAACATTTTGTCATAACTGTAATGTACAGAGGGAACTTTGTCATAACTGGTAATTACAGAGGGACACTTTTGTCATTATTGGGTTTTAATGTATAGAAGAACCCCGTCATAAAACTGTAAAATACAGGGGCCCACTTTTTTCAAAGTTCATGTAAAGAAGGAAAAGTTTTTTTTAACCCAAATTTAAAAAGGGACATTTTCCTTATTACTAAGTCAAAGGGACATATAACTTTTTCCAAACCCAAAGTCCCATTGCCCAAGTGGGTGTAGAAAAATTTACCAAAACCCCTTTTGGACCGAATTTTTGGAAACATTTTGGAATACCTTTAAAAAGAATTATAAATATTGTTTTTTAAGGGGTTTTTTTTGCTGATATGTTTTTTATAATTTATTTTGAGGCAGAAAATTTTTGGTATTACCAAAAAGGACAGGGTTTTTCTGAGAGAATGCCAAAATGTTTTTTTGAGAGAGACTTTTACCCTATTTTTTCCCCCCTTGAAAGACACCCCTTTGGGTAATGGATCGGGCCAAAATTGGTTATTTTTTAATTTTTTGTTTAATAATTTAAAATAAAAATTTTTGGGTAAAATAGCCCAGTTTTGTTTTTTTACAGTCATAGGAATTTTTTGGCAACCCTTTTGGGGAAAATGGGCAGTTTTGTTTAAATCTTGTCTATTTTTTTGGCCGCGTCCCGAAAAAATCAACTAGTCCCTTTTGCCCAGCAGGGAAATCCAGACCGGGCCTGGCATCCGCGCAGTCTGATCAGGATAAAATGTTTCGTTTAAAGCCCCTAAAACAATTTAAAAAAACAATGGGAAAAACAGCAGGGATCCTGTTTCAGACTTTTGGGGAGCGCAGGTTTGGTCTGGACCCTGCGGTCAAAACCCATTTGTTTTTGTTGCACGGCTCATTTGTATCATTGTGATTTGTTAATTTTTGCAGATAAAGACAGACCCAGGGGGACAAATTTTGGGTTTAAACAGGGGACCAAGTTATAAACCGTTTTGCCTCTACATAAGAAAGAAAAAATTTTAAATTTTGTAAAGAGATAGGGCTACATTTATAGGTTTGTTTAAATTTTCCCCTTCCCGGAGGTTCTGTATAGTGGTTATCGGGAATTTGGGGCAACTGTGTGATCTTTTCCGGGTAACCCACCCCAGTCGAAAAAAACTTACCAAATTGTTTCACGATGTTTTCATTTTGGGTTTCACAATAAAATTTGTCGATCTGTAGAAACCACTTTTTCCAAAAGCTGTGACTGTAAAAGTTTGTTTGGAACCTGGATTTTGCGGGGAAAAAACTCAAAATTTTTTAAAAATTTTCTGGTGTTAAGTTTTTGCTGGGTAGGCTCAGAAACGTAACTTTTTTTGTTTAAACTAGCCAGAGATAGTAATTTAAAGTAATATCTATTTCCCCATTTACTTCTAGGGTTTTTAAATCCAAACATGATTTTGGTTTCTTTTATGGAAAGGGAAAACAAATCCCTCTTTTTTTGGGAAAAAAAGCAGTTTTTTCTACTATGTGCCCACTAAATCCCTAAAAATTTTTTAGGAATGGAAAGCTGGGGTTTCCTACATAAGAAAAGCGGGAAAATTCCAAATATGATTTTAATTTGGGTGTTGGGGGATTTAAAAAAACCCAACCAGTTACCAATATGTTATCTGTTGACAAGATGATGAAAGAATATGATTTAAAATTTCAGATTTTGAATTATTTGTTGATGAACGCTTTAAGTCAGTGAGACTTGAAGATTCAAAAGGAATGCAAAGGTAATATTTTTTTTTTGTTTTTAAGCATTTCTTCAATACCACTGGTGAAATTTGAAATGGAATGTTGCATTTTTAGCTCACCTGTCACAAAGTGACAGGGTGAGCTTTTGTGATCGCTTTTCGTCCGTCCGTCCGTCCGTCGTCCGTCCGTAAACTTTTTCCCTTTAAAAAACACTCCTCATAAACCCCGACCAAAATTTTATCCCAAAATTCACAGGAATGTTCCTTTTTGGTTTGGGCCCTTTAAAAATTTTTCAAAGAATTTAATTCCCTGCAGAACTCTGGTTTCCAGGCAACCGAAAGAAAAATCTTAAATATTTCCCCTTTTAAAAAAAACTAAAAAGGTAAAAGTTAGATATTTTTTGGGATGAAACATCTTAAATAGGTCTTTCTAGTCAAAAATTTGGGCCCCCCCCGGGGGTCCCTTGATTTTTTCCCATATGAAAATAGTAAAAATTAAAAAATTTTTCTTTTTTAAAAAACCCAAAAGGGTAGAGCAAGATATTTTGCATGAAAATGTTTTTAATGGGTGTTACCAAGTTTGTTCAAATAAAAACCCTGGGGGTCAAAAAAAGGCCCCGCCCCCCGGGGGTCATTGAATTTTTTTTCCCCTTAAAGCATATGTAAAAACTTAAAAAAACTTTTTTTTAAAAGAAATCAAAGAGCTTTTGGCTAAGAAATTTTTGGGGCATCAAACATGTTCTAAAAAGGTTTTCTACCAAGTTTTTTTCAAATAAAGCCGGGGTCAAAACTGGCCCCCCCCCAGGGGGCATTGATTTTCCCTATATGCCCTTTTTGTAAAAACTTAAAAAAACTTTTTTAAAAAACAAAAGAGTTAGGGGCTTTAAAATATTTAGCATGAAACTGTTCTTAAAAGTGTCTACCCAAATTT